TTTCTTCAGCTATCTCCAAGTTGGGCATGCATGATATTTACCGCCCAACTTGTGGGGGGGTATTGGAAGAAAATCCACGTCAGCATATTCAAGTTGCAGCTAACTCAGCTCAACGGCACACTCAACTAAATGTAATTCCACCAATTACGTGATTAGTTACATGATTAGTTAGACCTCTGTTAGTTAACGTCTATTAGTCAGTTGTATCACTTATTAGTTGGTTGTATCACTAGCTTAAGCATGAGTTTTAACTGGTTGTATAAATATAGGGATCACGTGTATTATTCCTCAGTTTTTCAATAATGAAGTTTACCATCAGTTTTTAGAATATACTCCTCGAAATACATAGTGTAATCTAGTGTACTTCCGGGAGTACATAGTGTAGTTTGTAAAAGTTTGTAAATATAACCATTCCCATAATTTGGTCCTCTCTAAAATATGGTTTTTTTTTCTAGTCCTTTCTATTAGCATAATTTTTTTCTACTCCCAGTTTATAAATCTTTGCTCCGCCTTTGTAACTATGATTGTTAACTTAGTTTATATAAGGGGTTTACATTTGTCATTTAACATGACACAACAAACTTTCCTACACACACAACATTTTATGGAGCCCACACTTTTTGAAAAAAAAAAATAAAAAATCATGGCATGCAAAACGAATCTCTATAACATTACACAATCACTTTTCCTACAGCATAACTCTTATAAAATCATTTATATAATTACACGGGGGAAGTGAAGGGAATAGCTATTTGTTACATTGCCACTTTGTAAATTGAAAGGAAAAGCATCATCACCGGTACATTTTAATATTTGGGTCTATGCTCAAACAATGAATCTATGGCATGCCAATCAAATGATCAATCATATGTTGAAATCTTTTCCTCCTTTTTTTTTTTTTTATAACCTGAACGGTATACTCATTCATCTTGTTCTCGGAGTACGGTCTGAAGGCTACCCCTCATTAGAAGAGCGAGTACATTGAGCTTCGCTATCATAGGAAGGATGAGACTAATCCCCCTTCAAAAAGAGAGGTACATCCTCTAACCCCTAAAATTTTTCTAAGAATTTACTTAAAACAGAGTTTGAAACCTAAACCAATCAAATTCAAGAATTTGCCAAGTGAGCTATTTTGACGCTCCTACTTTAGATTCTATTGGGAATTGGATGCTCCTGCTTTACCCATCACTCCTTTTTTTTTCTTTTACCAGTTTCTTTAAGAAAAAAAAGGAAAAAACAACGTAAGGATCTGCTTCTTGCTCTAATTTTGTATAATCATTTTGGTTGAGTACCTAAGCAAATCTCAGAAGTAGAAATTAATTGATATCTTAAAAAAAAATTCTTTAAGTCTAAGAGATTTTTTACATAAAATAAACTTTGGTAATTAGCTATGATATTGGCAACAATAGGAAAAAATTTACAACTTTTCCTAAGGTTAGGAATATATATTTCAAAATAGAAAATACATATAAACAATTCTTATACAGGATTTGTGATTCTTTCCATTGAAACAGATAAACTTCTCACAATAAAAAATCGTTTTTGTTTGCTGAAATAAAAGTGTTATGGTGACTATATATTAAATTAAAACAATAATGTTATTTTTATGTCATTTTTATCATAGCATAATTATTTAAGTATAAACAGGAAAAAAAAAACATTTAATATATTTTAATTTTTTCTCAAACGAAAAGACTTAAGGAATAATATGAAAAAAAAAATATGCAACATTTTCCAAAGAAGATTATGCGACTTTATAGTATGTACATGATATGTAACTCGGTTAATATACATGGATAATTTCTGGACAAAGACCAAAAAGCTAATTGATTTAATTAATATATTAAATATATTTCTTATGATGATCGATAATGCAATGAAAACTTTTAGTAATTACACTTTTCTATAGACACTTGTAGTTATACTTTAGTTGGTTTAGCTCTAAATTTATGTTTTTTTTTTTTATATTATATGCTTTAAATATATGCTTTATTGTGAGCCTCAAACATATTTTCATTCTTAGATGAGTAATACTAAATATTGTGAATAGAATCCTGAGAGTGTATAGAAAGAGAAAAGGGTGTAATTAATAATGAATTTCATATGTATAATTGATTATCAAACTCTTATAAGTACTATTTTATTAATTGCTAAAAAAAATTGAAGGAAAAAAATATTGCATTATAGTAAAGTTTTACATGTAATTAAGTATGTAACAATAAGATTTTATAGCAGTGTATAAAATTCTACACGAATTGAATTTAATCCTGATATATAATTTGTCTCCATCCTTGCAAACTGAATCAATCCCCATTGACTCCCTAGGGTTATATATTTGTAACTCTTATCAAAGGGTAAGTATAATAAAATTAATTATACATTTGTAACTCTTATCAAAGGGTAAGTAATAAAATTAATTATACATCTGTAACACACTGCGTAAAAAAATTTCATGATAAATGATATCATGTTGTTAAAATTATTCTCTGGACATGCACATGTACTTAATTTTATCATAGCTTACCAAATTGTTTACATCATAATTTATTGGTTGATTAGAATAATTAACAATAAATTTAAAATCGATTGATATCATGTGTATATATACACACACATTATGTAGCATCGATACCGACACGGGATATGAGACACGACACTACACCTGACACGATAATTTTTAAAAAAATATTAGATTTCGACACGTTTTGATATTAAATAATATTTTTAATTTATGTTGTGTATATTATATTTAATATTCAATAACTTAACAAAAAAATGAAGTTAAACTTATAATAGTCATCAATTTTGCAAAGAAACATAAGATAATTCAAATATTTATATTAAACTCAATAAAATAATAATCGTAATCCAACAAACTAATAGTTTGAGCTAAAAACGCAACGCAACGCTTCCTTTGAACTTTTTTTGAATCTCTACAACACGTATTGAAGTGTCGGACATGACACGTCAGGGTTTTTGAAGTGTCGGTGCTTCATAGTGCACACACGAATTGAAGAACAATTTAAAATTTAAATCGATTAGTTGTATAGCAGGCAATAGCAAGCTAGATGTTATATTAATTATAAAATTAACACACTTCTTTCTTTAGTATTTCCTTTTGATCACGTAATATTACACTCTAGGTTATATGTGTTTCAAATAATTTTTTAAAAGCAATGACCGACAAATCACACGAAGGGTTTCTGAAACGAAACACGCATCATCACTTTCACTTGATAAAGCAATTCTATTTTATTCTATTTTTTGGTTTTAATTATATGATTCGCGGCAATCTAATTATAATCTTCGTAATGTGTTTTGTACATTAAAAATTTATTTCCAAATTGCACCCCCTCAATTTTTAATAACACATAAGCCAATTGGTCTCAATATCTGATTTGAGGGGCAGTTAGTTTATTCATATTTAATTTCAGATATGTTTCAAAAAAAATATTTAAAATATTTTTTTTATTAATTAAATAATATAAAAGAGGAAAAATACCAATTTCACTGAAAAATCACGGTGCAGTTATCTAGTCACCAATCAGTTACTGATTTTAGTCGTGAATTTACATGGACCTTATGATAATATTACGAAAAGAAAAAAAATTAAGAAAATGAAAAAATAGTAATTGTAAATCTTTTATTTTATATATTTTTACAGTACCCTGTAACTATAAGGAAAATTATGTGGAAAATTGAAATGGGCATTTTTTATTTTACTAATTAAATAATATAAAACAGGAAAAATCATTAATTTCACTGAAAAATCACGGTGCAATTATCTAATTACCAATTACATGGACCTTATGATAATATTACTAAAAGAAAAAAAATTAAGAAATGAAAAAATATTAATTGTAAATCTTTTATTTAATATATTTTTACATATACCCTGTAACTATAAGGAAAAATAAGTTGAAAATTGAAATGCGCATTTTTTTTATTAATTAAATAATATAAAAGGAAAAAAAATTTATCCTAACACAGGAATAAAGTTATTTCAGACAACTCTAAAATTATGTCGTTTTGGAGATTAACATAAGGGAAAAGTATTTTTCCAGTCACCGGAGATAAAGTTATTTTCAGTGAGCTCAAAACGACGTCGTTTTGGGTTATAAGATTGAAAAATCATAAGGATAAAGACTAATATAACCCTGCAATATATTAAAATTATAAAAACACCTTGATTTTTGGCCTAAAACGACGTCATTTTTAACTCACTGGAGATAACTTATTCAATTGATTGAAGAAATCCTTTACCCTTAGCATAATTAAAAATGATATTTTAAAAAAATTATTTATTTTTATGTTATATGAATTTCTCCAAAATATCATTCTTAAAGAGAAAATGATTTGTCATTTTAAATGATGTAACTTATGTTCTTTTAGAAATTTTATAACTATGTAATAAAGGTAGTACATAGTAATAATATTAAAGTTGTACTTTTTTCTCTCTTTATACATTGTTTACTGATGTGAAAAAAGTACAACTTTAATATTATAACTATGTACTACCATTACTACATAGTTATAAATTGCTAAAAATAAATAAGTTACCTCTTTTAAAATGACAAACTTTTAACCCATCATTAAATCTAAAAAAAAGGCCTCAAAATGACGTAATTTTGTGATTATTGGAGATAACTTCATCTCTAGTGGCGGTAGAAAGTATAAACCCATAAAAAAAAGTTTAATATTTCTCTTATTATAGGAGATACAATTTTATTTTTATACACACATGAAAATATACAGAATTCATATTTTCTCATTCTCTCTTTTTTCCTCACATTGGTCTACATGGGCTCCATATATCTTTATACGTGCATAGGAGGAGATAAATTTATCTCATATAATATGAGAAATATTAATAAAAAAATATAAATATAGTTTTTTAAAAGCAAAAGCGTGTGAAAAAGAAGATTAAAGTCAATTTAATAATGGTGCAGTGTGTGTAGACCATTTTGGCCAAGTTGGACCTTTCTTCCCCTCTCCCCCACACTCTTTAAATCTCCCACCAGTTATCACATTATTTCACCCCTAACTCTCTCTCACATGTCCAAACTCAAAAAGTAGAGAGAGTGAGAAAGAAAGAGAGAGGCATGGTGAGTTATATCCTAACTCTCTCTTTTTATTTTCCTTTATTATGAAAATATATTGTGGTGCTTTAATATATACATATATAATTTAATTTACACTTTATATAACCAATCCTGCAGGAATTAGAACAAAACCAGGTGGTTAGATGGGAAGGTTATGTGGATTGGAGGAACATGCCTGCTCTCAGAGGCCGTCATGGTGGCATGCTTGCAGCTTCCTTCGTTCTTGGTCTCTCCCATTATTTCTTTATCACTAACACTTTAATTCATTTCATCATATTATGGCCTATTGCTAGTGGTTGTTTAATTACATTTATAAGTATTTGATGAACTTTATGATACATATATAAATCATATTAATTTGGCAATTTTTGGTGTTTGTGCTGCAGTGGTGGAGATATTGGAGAATTTGGCATATCTGGCCAATGCAAGCAACTTGGTGTTGTATCTAAGACAGTACATGCACTTGTCCCCTTCCAAATCGGCCATTAATGTAACCAATTTCATGGGAACTTCCTTCCTCCTTGCCCTCCTGGGTGGTTTCTTATCTGATGCCTTTTTCACCACTTATCACATCTACCTCATAAGCGCAGTTATTGAGTTCCTGGTATGCACTTGTTATTGTTAGCTTAATTTTACATTTATTGGTTCCCTTTTCATTGGTATTGTTGTTCTATGATTAATAATTAAGAAAGGTGTGTGTGTGTGTGTGTGTGTGTGTGTGTGTGTTTAAGAGAGAGTGGGGAGAGGCTTTAATTTAGTTTAATATTGGGTTTCTTAAAGGACAAGTATCTTTGAAAATCATGATGTCTTTCTTAACTAGAATCAGAGTCAATTGCAAGTTGCATTTGCAACTTGCAAGGTGGGGTTGCATCAATTGGTGCAACCAAATCCCTCTAATTGAAAAGACGTCAATGATATTGAAAAATAAATATAAACTATCCTATCCATCCCTTTGATTCTCTTTTCTTTTCGCTGCATTCTTTCCCCCCACTTGGTCTTAGAAACCCTCATGAATTGCATGACGAACGCCCATTAAGATACCAATCAAAGTCAAGAATCGTTTTTTGTTTTTTTTGGGAACCAAATGGGAAAGGAAAAGTGAAAAAAAGAAAAGAAAAGAAAAAGAAAAGCATATAAGTAGCTTTATATCTTCTGACTGTAGCATAATGTTTAACGTTGAACTCCCAAATGTGTACGGAAACTATTACTAGTGGTGCCTAAAGAAAGACAAACAGTTATTATCAAAAAAAAAAAAAAGAAAGACAAACAGTTTGCTCCAAAAATAAGAAAGACAAACAGTGGCAGAGAGAACAAAAAAAAAAAGTGGCGTGTTAGACAAAAGAGTAGATGAGACAAAATAACAATAATGTTATGGCCGAGTTTTTTATTTTCTTAATATTTTTCTTTCTGTTCTATATTTATTCTTGGTATCATTGAGAAATGAATTTAAAAGATAGAGGGACCCATCTATTTATATTTAATATTCTCATGGTTCCAAAAAATATATATATTTTATTTTCTCGAGAGTGCCGAGGATAAGAGCACCTTGGGTATTATAATGGTACTGAGCATCGAGTATCATGGTAGTTTAAAATAAAATTATAAATTATATATTTAAAAAATATATAATTATAATTATAATATTAAAATTATTTAGAAAAATATATCAGCTATGTGTTATATATATATTGTCACCGAGGACCCTTATGTTTTTGTGCCACTGCTATAAAGGGCGTTTGATATAAGGTATTTTTAGAATTTTCAGGAAATTAAAATTTTTTAAATTTTAAATTTTTAGATATTATCGTAAACTGAATGTTTTCATTATATTTCTGAAAATCGAGATTCTCATGTAAAAAAAAATTTCTTTTTTACCAAACGCTCCGTGAATGAGCTCTCAGAAACTTCAGTCTTGTTTGAGTATTGCTTCTAAAAATAATTTTTTAGTTTTTAAAAGAAAATAAAAATAAAAACCCATTTGACAAGATATATTTTGCAAAAAAAAATTATAAAATTATAATTATTTTTTTATTTTTAGAATCAAATTTACAGAATATATCTGAATTATTTTATCTTATGTTTTGACTTTTAATTTTTAAAATACAAATCAAATTTGAACTTGGAAAGCCTATACAGTAACCCAAGATGCCACTTTCTCAACAATTATTTTTCTCTTATCGGTATTATTTAATAATCTATAAATAATCACATTAATTTTTCTTTTTCACAAATTTCTATAATTTAACAGGAATTATGCTCATCTGCAAAATTATACTCATTTAAATTTGATATATGAAGGGAAAATAACACGTACATTAATAATAAATTTGTGAAACGAAAGTAGTTGAAAGCTGCTTGATACCAAAAATAAATTATACTCAAACAACTATGTATATGATCTCGAATATTTTTTGTGACAAATTATTTAAATGGATATTATTCTTAGTAATTTATTATATAGTTTATTATTGGTATACGGTATACCAAGATGTAAGGCTTCGAGCACCCCTAGTTTTTTTTTTTGGAGATAAGCACCCCTAGTTTTTTTTTTTTTTTTGATAACAAGCACCCCTAGTTTTTGTAAAGGAGTTTCATGAAACCAGGTGCTGGGATGCCTGTTTTGATAGTACATTATTTATTGTAAGAAGCTACCCTATGTTGACACCACGCTGGGACTGTTGGTGTGAGATATATATACCTTGCTTAAAATAAGTTGATAGGGAAATATAATTTGTTGTTTGTACTATACATGGCCAACATTATAGTGAGGTGGGGATCAACACATGGCTAAGGCCCACTTTCGTGGACACATTTCTATCCATAGAACTTTACCTTCCTTTTATTTATTTGATCACATTTTAGGAATGGTACTAGACACATTATATACTCTTAATATTTCAGAATCTCGATTTTCAGAAATATGATTCTTACATTCAGTTTATGATAATATCTAAAAATTAAAAATTAAAAAAAAATTAATTTTCTAAAAATTCTAGAGAATATCACATACCAAACGCTCCTTTACAATCTAAATATGTGATGTGATAGGTTTACCTTTTTTTTCGAAGAAAAAACAATAAGTGTTGGGAACTAAGTATAAATAATGGGTTTTGTGTTCTGATTTTTTTTTTAAATCACTTTATAAAATAGTTATGAAAATAATTATTTTCTATATTTTTTTTTTAAAGTTAATAGCCAAAACACAAAATAAAAATAACTCAGATATTTATAAAATTTGATTCTAAAAAAAAAATAGTTATAATTTTTAAAAATATTTTTTTACAAAACAAGTTTTATCAAAAGGATTTTTTTTTTTAATGAAAAAACCATGTTTAGAAATAGTATTCAAATTGGGCCAAAATTTTACAAAATGGACTTATGATGGACTATATAATAGAATGATTTCTAAATATAGAGGTTAAGATTTTAGATTCACATTTCAGATTGAAATGTGAGTAAAAGCTATCCTACTTTTTATTTGAGTTCATCTCTCACCTATCTTAACTTAGGATAAATATGTTGTTGATAATCAATTCGGTTCTTCAAGAAATCCACTTCGGGTCGACTTAACTCATTGAGTTACCCACTTAATATTCTTTTGCAATTTTTAATTCTTCTTCAGATTTGGACCTCCATGGCTTAGTACGTAAGAAATTAAAATAACAAACTGATTATTCTGCTTGATTATATGCACTAGTGTACATGGCTGTTCAATGTGGTACTTGTGCAGGGATTGATTGTACTCACTATACAAGCTCGTGTGGCTTCACTGAAGCCACCAGAATGTGACTCAGCCACCCCATGCCGTGAAGTTAATGGTGGAAAAGCAGCAATGCTGTTTGGTGGACTCTATCTGGTGGCTCTTGGAGTTGGAGGAATTAAGGGGTCATTGCCAGCACATGGTGCTGAGCAATTTGATGAGACTACCGTATCTGGAAGGAAGCAACGATCAACCTTCTTCAACTACTTTGTCTTTTGCTTATCATGTGGTGCCCTTATTGCAGTTACTTTTGTAGTGTGGGTTGAAGACAACAAAGGGTGGGAATGGGGTTTTGCAATCTCTACCATTAGCATATTTGTGTCTATCCCAGTGTTCTTAGCAGGCTCTGCCACTTATAGGAACAAGATCCCTTCTGGAAGTCCACTTACAACCATTTTGAAGGTAATAACTAAGGGAAAAAGAAGTCTTGTCTCTTTTTAGGTGATTTATACAAAGTCTGACCGGTTAGACTTTGTGTAAATCTAAAAAGTTGCTTTTTTTTCTCTCTCTCAGTCACGTTGCTGACATGTAAAGTAAAAAAAAAGTAACTTTTTAGATTTAAATAAAGTATGACCGATCAGACTTTGTGTAAGTCGTTAAAAAGACATATCTTACATCCGCACACTAAAGTACTAAACCCAATAACTAATAAGAGAACTTTATGTGCTTGGTTCTAAGATAACTTTCTTTTACCCCCACTTTATGCTCCATATTTAATTATCTTTACCCTTTGACTAATACTGTTTTTGACTAAGCAGGTTTTGGTTGCAGCTTCACTTAATAGATGCATCTACAGAAATTCTAACATTGCTGTGGTGAATATGGCTTCAAGCCCTTCTAATCCACACTCAGGTAGAAAAGAAGCAGTGGAAGAAACTGAAAAATCAAGCAAGGAAACTGAAGCCCCAACAAATACACTAAAATTTCTCAATAGTGCAGTTGAAAACAAGCCAATTCATCCATCAATAGAATGCAGTGTAGAGCAAGTAGAAGATGTCAAGATAGTATTGAAAGTTCTACCCATATTTGGTTGCACCATTATGCTAAACTGCTGCCTGGCTCAGCTGTCCACATTCTCTGTTGAACAAGCTGCAACTATGAACACCAAGTTTGGTTCCTTAAAGGTGCCACCAGCCTCTTTACCGATTTTTCCAGTGCTCTTTATCATGATCCTAGCACCAATTTATGACCACATAATCATCCCATTTGCAAGGAAAGTAACCAAAACAGAGATGGGGATAACTCATCTCCAAAGAATTGGAATTGGACTAGTCCTCTCTATAGTTGCCATGGCAGTGGCGGCTGTTGTTGAAATGAAAAGGAAAAATGTGGCCACTCATTCAGGCCTACTAGATGATGCAACAAAACCATTACCTATCACATTCTTTTGGATTGCTTTTCAGTACTTATTCCTTGGATCAGCTGATCTTTTCACCTTGGCTGGTTTGTTGGAATTTTTCTTCACAGAAGCACCAATTAGGATGAGATCTTTGGCCACATCACTTTCATGGGCCTCTTTGGCTATGGGGTACTACCTAAGTTCGGTTATTGTATCAATAGTGAATAGTGTCACTGGGAACTCCTCCCACAAACCATGGCTATCTGGTGCCAACCTTAACCACTATCACCTAGAGAGGTTCTACTGGCTTATGTGTGTGCTAAGTGGGTTGAACTTCCTACATTACCTGTTTTGGGCCATGAGGTACAAATATAGAGGAACAGGAACTACAACTGTATGAAGAAAAGGCCTAAGAGCACTTTACAAGGCCATTGATCAAAATCTTGTCATGCCATTCTTAGGCTGTAATTGTACATACTTGCACTTGCCTGCAACCGAGTGGACCAGCAATTCCCAGCAACAGAAATGCAAATAGAAAGAGAGATATCCTACATTAGAAAAGGAAGAATAGAGGGATATATATATATATATATATATATATATATATATATATATGGAGAAAATATTTCTACAGCCACTTTAGATAAGGTTGTCTACAGCTATCCTTTTTAACTAAGTATGACCGGTCATATTTTAAAATTGCATTTTCTCTATCTGCCACGTCAGCCGATAGTGTCTGAGGAGAGAGAAAAAAAACAGTTTTATTGTTATAACTAAGTATGACCGGTCATACTTAATGAAAAAGGATAGTTGTAGAAATACTTTTTCATATATATATATATATATATATATATATATATATGAGTTTAATATCTTTCATGTTATAGGAGATAAAATTATCTCTTACATACATATAAAAGTAGGTGGAGTCTACTTTTTTCTTTTTCTCTCTCTTCACTTCGCATGGGCACTACATAATTTTATTTATGTGTAGGAGATAATTTAATTTTATTATATATATATATATATATATATATATATATATATATATTTAATTATATATAGGTTCGTTTTTTCTGCGGTGAATGCAAAAAACTTATTATCTACAGCGAGCCTAAAACGACGTCGTTTTGAGGCAGAAATCAACGTGTATTTATAATCTTAATTTATTCAAGAGTTATAATAGTTTTATCATTCTAATTTTTTAATCTTTTAACTCAAAATGATATTGTTTTGGGAATGAATGCAAATAACATATTTATAATCACTGTAGAAACATTATATATATATATATATATATATATATAGGGTTCGCTTTTTCTACAGTCAATGTAGATAACTTATCTACATTGAGCCCAAAACGACGTCGTTTTGAGGCGGAAATCAAGGTATTTTTGTAATTATAATTTATTTCAAGGTTATAATAGTCTTTTTCATTATTTTTTTAAATTTTCAACTCAAAACGACGTCATTTTGAGAGCGAATGTAGATAACTTATCTACATTCACTTTAGAAATATTAAAGCCATATATATAGGGGAAGGATATTGTGACAACCAAGTTGTGTTACTACCAAGTGACTACCAATCAATCTCACCGTTAGATCGATTATGTTAATCCAACGGTTATATTTTTATTTTCATCTTTGTATGGTCATGATTTCCCATATTTAAAGTGAAAGCATTTAATATGGGAAATCATAACAATACAAATGTGAAAATAAATATAAAGTATTAAATTTGGGGAATCATGACCATACAAAGATGAAAATAAATATAATCGTTGGATCAATATAATCGATCTAACGGTAAGATTGATTGGTAGTCACTTGGTAGTAACACAACTTGGTTGTTACAATATTTTCCCCATATATATATATATTATGAAAAGGGTGGATCATGTTTAATCCATATGCCTCTTCTTCTTTTTTGGTAAAAATCTATATGCCTCTTTCATTAATTTATTTTGTGGGATCATAGATTAATTTATTTTGTTCCATAGTACGTGAGAGCAAGTGATTTACATGCAGATAGATGCTCCCACTGAACTTATTAATTTATTTTGTGGGATCATAGATTATTATAGTGAAGCTTGGCCCCTCTGCTTATTACTCAATTAGTTACCGTATTGGAGCGAATAGAAGTTCTAGACTTGCTTTTGACTCCGAAATTTGTGTATTAAAAAAAAATACTGTTGAAAAAAGTCTTCGCCTCGACATGTGATTATTTCTAGGGATGTTTATGGATCGAACCGAACCAAACCGAATTTTTTGAAAAATTGAATCGAATTGATTTAAATGGTTTGGTTCGGTTCAGAAGTAGTTCGGTTCGGAACCGGTTCGTGTCGACACTATTTTGAAAAGAAAAAAATTAAAAAAAATAAAGTTATAAAAATTAATTTGATTCGCTTTGGAAACGGTTCGGTTCGGAAAATGTTCAGTTCGGTTCGGTTCAAAACGGTTCGGTTCTTAAACTGGTTCTAAAAACTGGATCGGTTCTTGAACCGGTTCAGTTCATGAACTGATTTTAAAAAATCGATTATTTTAAAGGCGATTCGATTCATGATTCGATTCAATTTTTTGATTATTTTACACACTTCTAATTATCTCAGAGATTAATTTCTCACTTACCGGGTGAGATACTGTGAGAAATTGAAGAAATGAAAAATTAAAAGAAAGAAAAAAATTGTTGGTATTTATTTGATTTTATTTTTTGGTGTAAAATTGTTGGTATTTATTATCTGTGAAGCCATTGTTTTTATATGGGAAAAACTATTCTTATGTCATATGATATAAATTTTCTCTCCTACACACCCTTCGATAATTGTGCCACCTTTTTATTTTATTTTATTTTTTCAGGTGATGGAGCCCACTAGTTTGTCTCTATGACATGAGATAACTATCTCCTTTAACATGAGATTAATAAAACTCTTTCTTTATCTATATATTTTTTGCAAAATAGAAGTTTAATGTTAAAAAAATTTAAAAAATTCTTCCCGTTCTCATATCAGGATAATTTAACTGCTAACTTCAAAACAAACAAAAAAAAGAAAAAAAAAATTGGAGTAAAGTAACATACAATCCCTGATCGAGGAGGAGAGTAAAAAAAATATTATTCTTTTTGTTTCTTTTATTAAGATAGGCCACAAACTAGGGCCTTAATTCTTGTCCCATCTTAAAGTCCAATATCAAAATATATATTTTCACTTTTATTCTTTTCTTTCGCTATTAAACTACTATGATTGGTCTAGTAGTGATAGATTTAGGGTATATATATATATAAAAGATGAAACATATAAAAAGAAGAAAATAATATAAAGATAAAATAAAACTAAATATGTGGAAGAGTCCAAAAAGGGTAAAAGTTCATATGTGGATTACCATGCTTACTAAACTAATGATTATAAAAAAAAAATTGAAACGTGTTGGGCCTATTCTGGCATCTGATATAAGGATATAAACCATTTCAGTTCATGTCTTTAATTACTCTGTTTCTTGGATAGGTTATGCAAGGGTTTAAGAACATTGATCAAAGTGCTACTGTTTTCAGTCTTATTTTCCTGAATGTCACGTCAACAGTATTATTTTCCAATCTTCCACGGGAGCAAGTTCGCTGGTCAGTGTAGCGAACTTGGTGCACTGATGTTCACGTTTCTGGTGGATCCCAAGATCGCTGGTGTCAATAGCGAACTCTGTAGCAATTAATGTTGACAAGTTCGCTGCCACATGCAACGAACTAAGTGTGAGATACACATAGATCGCTGATGGACATGGCAAACTATGTGCCTTCCAGTTAATTTCCTTCTTCCTTTTTGTTGCACGGTTTTTGAGGGAAAACAATTTGCTTGTTTCTTTTTGTTCCTTCCACGTAATATCCTTTTTGTTCGCTAATGGGCATGATTCAAGGTACTAGACTACTAGTAAAAAATTGACTAATACATTGAGTAATAATATATATCCCTCGAAAACAATTATATTTCTCATTGTTTTCCCTCGAAATCTTTCCACATAATATCCTTTTTGTTCGCTGATGGGCATGATTCGACGTACTAGTAAAAAACTGACTAGTACATTGAGTAATAATTTCCCTCGAAATTCGTGCAACAAAATGGAAGAAGCAAATTATCTGGAAGGCACATAGTTCGTCATGCTGATCAGCGAACTTGTCAGCATTAATTGCTCTAGAGTTCGCTACTAACACTAACGACCTTGGTGTCCACTCAGAAACGTGACACATCAGCACATCGAATTCGCTATACTGCCCAGCAAACTTGCTCCCGTAACAGCTTAAAAAATAACACTGTTAACGTGACATTTAAGAAAATAAGATAGGAAACAGTGACACTTTAGTCACTGTTCCCGAGGGTTTAAGTGTTCGAGCGCAACTGTAGTTGCGCTTTAAAAAATCTGCAGTTCCATTTATAATCATGAACTGAAATGGCTTTATATCCTTACATCAGATGCCAGAATAGGCCCAACACGGTTCAATTTTTATTTTATAATCATTATTATGCTGGATTAGATCAAGCTCAAAGATGGAAGCCCGATGTTGATAATGTTTATTTATTTTATTTATTTTTATCAAACTTAAGGATAATTTTGTTTTCAAAATGGAAGGTATTAATATAATTTATAATTGTAATCAGAGTTGCTTTAGGTAAATTATAATTTCATTTAGTTGGTTAATGGTTAGTTAGTTGTTCAGGCGCTCCATTGTATAATTAGGCCTTAGATGATTAGGGTATGCACGATAACTATTTTGGTTTTATAAAAAAAATAATTCTTTTATATTTCTGTGCCTTGGAATAGTTTTTGGGAAAAAAAATTATTTGATAACATATTTATTTTTTATTCTGAAAATGGGAATGCATTTGATAATACAACAAATAATAGAATAAAAAATTATTTCTATTAAACATAATTCTTTTTTGAATCATCACTTTTCTTTTCATATAGTGTGGTGGCAATCGCGACGGCGGTAGTGGTAATGATAGTGATGGCGTAATGGTGGTGGCGACGGAGGAAGAGAGGAGTTGTCTATCCTTAACTTGAAAAAATATTAGAGTGTGTTTAATTATGTTCTGACTTTTTTTGTCTTTAAAACTGTTTTGTAGAATAGTTAATGAAATACATGTTGTCTATGTTTTTTTTTTTTTGAAAGTTAAAAATCAAAACATAAAATAAAAGCAACTCAGATATGATTTTAAAAAAAATAGTTATAATTTATTTTATTTTTTCTAACAAAACAAATCTTATCAAACATATTTTTTTATTTTAAAAATCAAAAAATTGTTTTTTAAAACAAATTTCAAACGGCACCTATAATTCTATCATCGGTGATATTGTGCTGTAAAGCAGACGCAATTTCTATTAACATATCATAGTTGGTCAGTTCTGTTTAGTGTTGCTTTCTTTAATTTTATTCAAACCTATGGAGCGCTAAGACCTGGTCTTGTTTATAATTTTTGTTTTGTTTTTCTTGTTCAGAAATTTTATTTTATTTTTTGAAATATTTCAATCGGTTCATTGCTTCGCAACTAATTCGATTCGGGGCGGGTCCAAGATTAAGGCTTTAAACCCTTCCCAAATGTGGTACTGGGGAGATTCGAACACATGCTCTCACCCCCACCTGCTTAGCTCCCATACGCCAACTGAGCTACCACCATTTGGTAGAAATTTTTTAAAAAAATATATATAATTTAATTAAGACAAGCAACTTAAAGGATCGTTGAATGCCCTTCTTCCAAAAACCTCTTTTATTACCCAAGCTATCAAAATCAGTCAAAAAAAAATTAACCCAACCCAATTCAAGGGTTTGCTCAAATTTTTATTATTTTTTAGGGGAAAGAGTTTGTAATGTTGTAGGAAAATTTTGAAATATCCTACTGATATATACAAAGTTGTACCAACCATTTTTGTTTTTTTATTTTATTTTTAAAAGGTGGGCCCCACGTCAGTTTGTGTTCATAACATGATGATAATTCTTTTCTACAACATAATATCTATAAATCCCTATTTTTTAACCTTATAAACTGTGATAAGAACACTTTGCCATTTTTTTATTCAAAGAATTGAGCTCGTTGGGTAGATAAGATGGGATAGGAGCGCTCGATAAGAGTAGAATAAGATATGAGCTTGATAAGCTTATATCCATCCAACTCATATTCTATCATGTGTTTTATGTGCACTAAATAAGCAGTATGTTAAAATAATATTATCATATCTAGTGTTTGAGGCGAACCATATAACATGATATAAATAAACAGAAATATCCTTTTAATAGAATTTCATATAATATTTTAAAAATGATTTTAAACTACTTTATTTTTACTTATTTACACATTATTTCTTATTCTAAATTATCAAAAAAATAAAAAGTCATTATTTTAAATAAAATGTATTAAAGTACATAATTAACTTTCATTTTTTCTTAAAATATTAAAAATTATATCTTCACCAAATATATTTTTAAAAAGTAAGTTTTAAATTAATTGTCAATATTTGTGGCTGGTGACTAGTGACAGAGGTGGGCGGTGACGGCGGCAGCAGCTAGTGCGATGGGTGATCGATTGAATTGGTAGTGGTATAAGTTGTGGGGGCAAGTAATAATGGGCGGTGGTGATAGTACCGATAATAATCAGTGACAATTGTGGTGATTAATTGATGGATTTGATGGTTGGTGTCGACAACTAATGGCAACGGAGACGATGGTGGTAGTTATTGGTGCAATAGTAACATGTGAGAGTGGTTGGTGGAAGTGGTAGTGGCGGCGCCGATACTGACAAGTGGCAATTATGGTGGCTGGTCGGTGATAAGGCGAACCCTCGTGTGCCCAATAATATTTGGAATGAGAGGAGGTAACATTTGCTATTATATTGTATTTATTTTTAACCCGAGTTTCCTTAGTATAATTTATCCTATTATTAACATGATAAAATAAGCTAATAAGATAAAATTAAGATTATCTTATCATGTTGATTCACTAAATAATAAATAAGGGGACAAAATATCTAATGTTACTTTAGACAATTTTGTCTAATGTTCACTGAAACGACGTCATTTGAAGGTTAAAAGATTAAAATAATTAAAATAATAAAGACTATTATAATATTAAAATAAATTAAAATTATAAATATACCATAATTTTTACCCAAAATTACATCATTTTGATGAATATTAGACAAAATTATCTAAAGTAACTTTAAGAAAACAAACGGAATAATTAAAGGCAATATATGATAACATATCCTGTCTAATGCTCTTTATCCTATCCATTAAACTTGCTAAAGAATAAAGTTTTTTTTTATCTCTAACAAAAAATGTGATCCCTATTTTTGTCTCTTACAATAAAAAAATAGTCGTATTAGTCATTTTTTTAGAGACTAAAATAGATCTTCGTTGAATTTTTTAGGGATCATATTTTCAAAAAACTGAAATTGTAAAAGGGGGAAAAATTGAACTTTTTTTATAAAAGGTAAAAATTGAGATCGTATTTTTTTTTTTTTGTTAGGGAACCGCGAGGAGATTTATTATTGAAATCAGACGGACACCAGCACAAAACGGTGCGTTTCGGTTCGTCAGTAAAGAAAAATTAAATTGTGCGTGCAGTGGGTGGTAGTGTTGAGCATAATCAGATCGAGATTGAAGTGGGAAGTGGGGGTTAGTCGCAACTACAATTCTCGAAATCCTCTTGTGCTTGATCCTTCATCACATCAGGTATTCTTCATATCCCACACTATAGATCCCTATTTTATCATTCACTTTTCCATTTGCATCATTATCTTAGTTTTGGATTCGGATTATCATTTACCATTTTCGAATTTTTGCAGGTCGAGAGAGAAAACACGATGAATTTCTTGATGCGGTCTACCACACATGTTTATTCAGATAGAGAAAAGTCTTCAACGACTCCAGAACCTCGCGCAGATGCACCTCACGTGACTTCATCTTTGGAGAGTCTTATCTCCGATGAGGACCCTTACTCGACAGTTGAACAGCTTGACGGAGACGTTGACACCGAAAACGACACTGCTCAGAACTCTAAAAACGACACTCCAGTTCTCGCTAAGCACTTGGATGTTTCTGAACATGAAGGATGTGTTACCATTCCATATAGTATGTCTTCAACACTAACCCAAACCAACTTGTTAGCATTCAGTTCAAACTAATATAGTTTTTTATTTTTATTATTATTATTATGTAATGTGATAAATCTAATTCTCAAATTTATTTATTTTATATTCTCATAGAGGAACTTCCCGAAAACTTGGATCATGCGTCAGATATTCAGTCCCTGCACTCTCTGGATCGTTCTTTTCTCTTTCCTGGTGAGATTCTTTCCTTTAGGGATAGATTTTTCAGTACTCATGTGATACAAACTCCACTCACTAAAATCAGAAACACATGACTCACTTTATTAATATGTTAGCTGTTGATTAGTTATCCCTGCAGTTATTCTGTTATGTTTTGTTATGCCTGCGTGGTAACAGTTGTAACAAAGCATATCAGAATCAACATCTAACATCTTGTACATGTATTTACTCTAATGCACTTAAATGCATTTACAACACCCGAATCAACATTTTTAATTCCGTGGAAATCCATGTGTTTGTAATTTTAGTGGTGGAGTATGTGGGGGAGTACTGAAAATTTAATCCTTCTTTAGATGCATGAATCTCGGTGTTGGAATGCATGGTTTGGTTTGCCAGCTTGCTCGGAAAGTTGATTGGACCTAATTTATACATGTAATTCAGGGGAACAGGTTCATATCCTGGCGTGCTTGTCAGCGTGTAAGCAGGATACGGAGATTATTACTCCATTTAAAGTTGCTGCCGTGATGAGTAAGAATGGAATAGGTCACGGCTCTGAGAAAGAAAATGGAAATGTTGAAAACGGAAATAGTTCAGTGTCTGGAGAAGGGCATCTGAGTTCCTCTGGCCAAGGGCAGGATGAGGAAAACCCGGCGAAAGCAAAGAGTGATCACTCGGCAGATGTTTCTACCGGTGAATCACTTCTGAGGATGGAGGTTCACAAAAGAAAAACTGCATTGTTGTTGCAAAAATTCAAGAATTCTCACTTCTTTGTGAGGATTTCCGAATCTGATGAGCCACTTTGGTCCAAACGAGGTTCTTCGGAAAAGTTTAACTCATCTGAAACAAATGACCAAAAGATCTCAACAGATGGAATTACAGAGACTGAAAAAAATGTGCCTTCTATTAGTGCAGTTATTGATAGAGCAAATTTTGATGCAACTATTTCTGGTGGGGTGGCTAGGAATTCTGTCAAGTGTTGTGCCCTACCTAATGGAGACATAGTGGTATGTGACATAAAACTTCGGTTACTATGATCTTTGCATTTTCTTGATGTAAAATTTTGGTATGGATCCCAAAGTTCCACTGTCCGATGGAGCACTGTGTTTTGGTTAAAATTGGGACTTTTATAAGCTCTCCTCTTCTTCCCATTTGATCACTTAAATCTCCCATTTCCCATTCATGCGCACACACAAGCTGCTTGGCCATCTTTTACCTACAATGTACAATCATTTGTAATTTTAAGATGCAATCTGTTCAGATGCATAGTTTTTCCTTGCTTATATTCAGCTACAAATAGCTTTTAGAGAACCAAGACATGGAATCAAATTCATTTGTTCCTCCTGTTTTTAAAACTCATCGAGAATTATTTAGTAAAAATGTATAAATTCTTACCGCATCTGGATGAGGTTGGGCTATGAGTTTATTGCTTGCTCGGCTTTGATTCATCTTGTAACTGCATTATCAATGTTTACAATCTTTTTTATTTCTCTAGGGCATTTGGAGCAATATATGGTAACTGGGCTGTTTTGTAGTATTTTGACTTATGTTATTAGCATCACTATTGAGGTTTCTAGAACATATCTTTTATGATGGGAAGTTGTTGCTTAAGTCTAGTCTTTCACGGGCTGGAACCTTGGTCTCTTCTCTTGATTGAACTTAAGCATTTGTTAAATTTTAGATTATTTTAATGGCATTTGCCTGGCCTCTTTAATATCTTAGAAAATCTTTATGAAATTCTAGTGGATCTTGAAGTGCTTTTTATATAACTTGATCTCGAGGCATTTGTTGTCTTCAATATGCAAAAATCCAAAATCCTCCTGTTTATGCCTTGGTAATCTCATTTACTCAGATTACTGATCTGATTCTATTTTCCTATTTGGAAGGATCCAGGTTCTTTTACAGGTGAATGTTGGTGTTAATTTTCTTAGAGACCCTTGTATAGAAATTCTCCAATATGAAAAGTATCAGGAGAAAATATTGTCTTCTGGCAACCAAGACAATTCAGTATATACAAATCCGGATCCATGTGGAGAACTATTGAAATGGATACTTCCTTTAGATAACAACCTTCCACCTGCTTCCCGCCCGTTATCCCCTCCTCTTTTATCTTCAAATTCAGGAATTGGTAGCACCCCTCAGAGATCCAATTCATCATCATCTGGCTCCCAATTATTTTCCTTTGGCAGCCATTTTAGAAGTTACTCCATGTCATCGTTACCCCAAAGTACAAATGCACCTACTGCTCCTTTAAAAGCAGCTAGTTCTAAGCCAAGCTTTGACATTGATGATTGGGATCCAATCTCATCTCAGAAGTTTTTAAGGAAAAAAAATGGGGTTGAAGAACTTTTATCTTTTCGAGGTATCTCATTGGAGCGAGAACGATTTTCTGTTTGTTGTGGATTAGAAGGTATCCATACACCTGGAAGAAGGTGGAGAAGGAAAATTGAAATAATACAACCTGTAGAGATTCATTCCTTTTCTGCTGACTGCAATTCAGAGGATCTTCTGTGTGTTCAGATAAAGGTTTGAACTGTGATGTCATTGAACCAAATTATCTGGCACATTTTCCTTTTTTCTATTGAATATTCTAGTGTCATACTTTTTGGGGGGCATTTATACTGTTAATTGTCTTTGGCTTCTGTTTTCTATTAATATTTCTTAAGTTGTTCTCCAGAATGTTGCTCCTGCACATGCTCCAGATATTGTGATATTTATAGATGCCATAACAATTGTTTTCGAAGAGGCTACAAAAAGTGGGCCACCATCATCATTACCAATTGCGTGTATTGAAGCTGGAAATGACCATTCTTTACCAAATTTAGCCCTCAGGTTGTTATTCTTAGTAAATATCTTAATGTTGTTTGTATTGTTACTTATATGATATCATGCTCCATACCCCATTTTATTCAGTTACATATGATTGTGCTGAGGGACCCCTAACCTGCAAAAGAAAGAGGGGGGGGGGGGGGGGTTTGCGAATTGTTTCATGATGCGATGTTGACTATCCATGTGTGGGGTTTCAATATGCAGTTAAGAGGACCAAAGTTATTGATTTTGAAAATGCCTTAAATTTTCTTTAGTACCATATAGGTTTAGGAAAGGGAGGGGAATATTGCTTTTCATAGTAAGAGGAAAAGAAGAGTATAAGGGTAAAATTTCATTGTAACCTTATAATTTTTAAAAAAAATTATAATAAACCGGTGATATGTGTGTTTTATATGTTAAGACTAAGAATGTGTAATGCACTAGTATAATTCAATTCATATACTTCTTTTTCTTATTTGATCAACTGATTGGTGAATAGTTGGAGGACATAGAATTGGCGTATAAAGTAAAGGCAACGATGGGGATAATATTGTGAAATCTTAAAATGTTAATTAATAGAAAAAAATTGTGCTCCCCTGCCCTCCTGCACTTTTAAGATATTAAACAACCATCTTCACTTAAAAGCTCAAGCTATTAAGTGAAGGCAATCTTAATGATTTTATATTAGATTTCTCTAGCACACCCCTCATACAAGAGTTCTTTGGGCTTGAAGGATGGATAATGCACAGGCCTGCTTACCTATGCTAAGAAATTCCATAATTAAATATTTATTAGAAAAACAGGGGCTATAAGGATCGAACTTGTGACCACTTGGTCACAGGTTCTGATACCATATTAAACAACCATCTTACATAAAAGCTCAAGCTATTAAATGAAGGTTATTTCAATGGTTTTATACTAGACTTCTCTCATATAGGGAGTTTATTATTTAACTTTTAGACGAGTAAGGGAAGGGATTGGATCCCCATCAATTCATTTCTTCTCTTCTTTCAATTAAGGGTGTTATTGTTACTTCCCCTTGCTTCCTTCTATATTCCCCCAGTCCAACCTAACTAAGAGTGCTTGTGCTACTTCACTCTGTTGTTAATATGGCAGGGTTTTGGGATGATAGATATAGGTTTAGGGTTATCGGTTGCAAGGGGAATGTACATAGTAAATTTAGATCAACTGTGGTTTGAAATGGTTAAGATCATTTGTTTAAAGATTGAAGGACATCAGATAATGTAATTGAGGATTTTTCTGGCTAGTAACAAGTATCTGGCTTTGAGGCTGAAATTGAGGTGTGTTTAGAGCCAAATGTTGTGGAAACCTAAAGGAGGGGTATATTTTTTTTATTAGTAAAAGAGGAAAGATGTCGATATGATTTTGAAATTGAATGGTTATTTTTGAATGATACCAGGGGCAAACAGTTTAATTTTGTATTTTTTATTTCTTTTTTTGATAAAAAAATGATATCAGTGACAAAGAGGAGGGTACGAAATGATTGACCAAATAAAACAAAATTAAGAATAAATAATTATCCGGTATGAATTTGAGTACTTCATGCTTCTTATTGGCCATTAGGACTGATTGACTTGAAATGAAACTAGAGAAGCTGGACAGGTTAACTTCAACCTATAGTATTAAATCAAACTCACTGAACAACTAGGCAAAGTGATGGTGTACATAATAGGTCATGAATCTTATTAGAATGTGTTTTCCCATTATTCTAATCTGATAGGCTTGTGCTATACAAAACAGCTAGGGTACTCTCTATCATAAGAGTTGTAGCATCTAGCCATCATGTTCAGTTGGTATTCCTGCTGTAGCATATGTTATAAGCTTTTATATGAACAAGCAGATAAGCATGATTAAGATTTAAATGAAGTAGGGTCAACCAGATCTGAATAACTTCCAAGTATGTATACCGCTGATTTAGGCAAGAATGATACTTTGTTAGTACTGCACTGCAGCCTTTATTGTACATGAAAATATCTGTATAACGTTTACGTAATTTTTTTTTCTTTATGTTACATGTTGCATTTGTGAATTACTTGTTAATAATAAAGTCTATAATAGGGCATGAAATAATCCAAAAAAAGACCTTCGAAAATGCCTTAATTATCTTTCTTTGTGGACCTATAAAATGTTATCAGCTCATAGGTGGTGAGGAAATTGTGTTTTGTGGAATACATGAGTTTGTATCTTTTTTTGTATTTAAATCAATCTGATTAGCTGTAGGAAATAACAGAAGAGACTAAATACGTTTGGTGAAATTCAGAATTTTGTTTATTCAGTTAGCTCTAATTTTCTTCATCTTATTAGAAGTTTCTAATTACAGGAGAGGTGAAGAGCATTCTTTTATCCTTAAACCTGCAACTTCTATGTGGAAGAATCTTAAGGTTCAGGACGAAAGAAGTTCCCAATTTTCAAAGTTACAATCTTTGGACTCAGCATCAAAATTAAGTCTTTCCTCCACAAGTCTTGACAGAAAGAAGATTGCTTTAATTGACGATCAGTATGCAATTATGGTGTCATGTCGATGCAATTATACTGGTTAGCTTTTTATCCCCTTGGTTTGTAGTTTGTGTTACTAATAAATGTTTAGGTGTTAATTAGTTGTTTATCCCTTGGTTTTGTGCTTAATATAGCATCAAGATTGTTCTTTAAGCAACCAACCAGTTGGAAACCACGTACATCGAGGGATATTATGATCTCTGTTGCATCTGAGATGTCAGGAGAGTCTCCTGGACCTTATGAAAGAAATTCCCAACTTCCCGTGCAGGTCAATATATGTTTTACCTATTGACTATCTCGAGTTGGGGCTATGCATTGGAGCTCATATTTAGTTTGCTTTGATTATTTTCCTGCCGAAGTTACAATTTGGTTAACCTAATTGCTTCTACTTTATCAGGTTTTAACTCTTCAAGCTTCAAATTTGACATCTGAAGATCTAACTTTGACAGTTCTTGCTCCAGCCTCTTTTACTGCACCCCCTTCAGTGGTCTCTCTGAATTCACCTGCCACTCCAATGAGTCCTTTTATTGGTTTTGCAGAGTTTTTGGGAAGGAGAAACAGTGAAAGACATATAAGTGCCACCCAGGGGCAGAGTTTCACTTCTCTAATTAAAGAAAATGGGAAACAAAGTGATGATGGGCGACCTCAGACAGTTTCTATGAGTGATGATGTTATTCCTAGTTCTGGCGTGAGCTGTACACATTTGTGGCTGCAGAGTATAGTTCCACTTGGGTAATATATTAACCTTCATTTTTATTTCTGGGACCTTGTTTAAACTGACACTGAGTAGTTTAAAACCATGTATTGGCCACATCAGGTGTATCCCATCTCAATCCACAGCCACCATTAAGCTTGAACTATTTCCATTGACTGATGGCATAATTACACTTGACTCTTTGCAAATTGATGTCAAAGAAAAAGGTATGGATCACCATACTTTTGGATGATACTTTGTCTTCTTAACTAACATGCTTGATTGTGCTTCTATCTCAATAATATTTGGTCAATACTTAGCAATGGGATGATGGGAGGATGAACTGCTGCCTAAGATCTGTTAATTCTGTGATTGTCATGATTATTGTGAAGAATCACTCATGGGCGCAACAATAAAGTTTCATCTTAAATATAGCAATTTTTAGTCATGAATTTACAAGGTCTTGTATTGGCTTCCACTAGCTGTGACATTTCTGTGCCAAGTGCTAATTTGGGTCCATATTGTTAGTTGTTCTGCCTGGGACTAGTAATATATTTCCAGTTTTCCGGTTATATTTTTATGTGCAAAGCATATTTCTTACATATGTATCACTCAAGCATTTTTACTAAGAAGTTTGGTTTATTTTGTGCATTCTATTTCATTCTTCATTAGATACAGTTTTCCTGCTCTACAAATGAAAAAGTTTCTCTGGAGTCAGGTTTTCTCTAAAGTGAGCAAGTAAAGAGTGTATCTACCCTTGATTTAATTTTTAGTGTATCGTGATCCTAACTCAATAAAATTTAAGGATGGATACACTCTTCTTGCTTACGACAACTTTACTTTGGAGGAGCCTTATCCTCTGTAAAATGTGGCAATCATGATGCAAAATGCCTATTATCATATATTGCTCAGGTTCTCATGGGTTTACATTCCGATCTTAACAGGTGTTACCTACATTCCTGAACGCTCATTAAAGATAAATGCAACTTCAAGCATTTCCAAGGGGATTATTTAGAAACGAGTTGGGCTGGTTGCATTTCGTCAAACATGTTATCCGGTGCAGTAGAAGCAAATATGGGTGATTTGTTTACCTGGATTTCAGAATTGCTCTTGCGACTTACTCTCAGTGGCACAAAGGTATTTTCCATTATTTGTAGCATTGTGATGGAGTTGACGTGTCAATTTTTTTAGAAATAAAGCTTCACCTTTGTATTGTAAACGACGAGATTAAAATTCATGATTGTTACATACCCCTTAAAGGGGGAAAATGTAATCTTTATAGATAAATCTATTTTTTGTGAAGATGTACGTATATGACTCTTCTGAGTGAAAGCAATGAATTGCCTCTCGAATCATAGCATTGGACAGCTGCAATTTAGTGCCTTTCAAATTGGTCATCAGATGAAGCCTTGTATTCATGAAATCCTACTTCCGTACTTTATATATATTTTATTTTATTTTTGATAAATTAATAAACATGGTTGATGTGACTGCATCTAACTTTAAGTTATTTTACCTTTATTTATTTTATTTTTATTGTGAAAGTCATGCAGTCACATATGTTAGCAATATTACTCTATGTTCAAGTCTCTAGACCCTCCAACCTGCCTTTTAATGGAAGGCATAGTATACCTCCTAACAAACTCTAGCTATGCTATTCTCTTAATTGCGTATAAAGACAAATAAAACTTCCTTTTTTTCTCATTGTCTGACGAGAATTAAGGAGTGGCTCTTTTAATTTAATTTAAAGTGCATTGTCATTTTCTCCCTAAATGATTTAAGAATACATACATCTCTTTATTTGTTTATCTTAGGGATAAGTTATTTGTAAATGATCCTTTTCAGACAAAAATTACTGGATTAATCTGTACCCGATAAAAAGCATTGGAAATTTCCCGCGAGTCAGTTTTGCAGGTATCCCATCTCTAAAATAAATCCCCCAATTGATAAATGTGTGCTACTGCAGAAAAGTTTGATTTTGAAGTTTTTTTTTATTTTTATTAAGATTTGGGAAAATGAATTTTGCAATCTTTGGATTTGGATTTGTGAACGTGCTGAAGTTAATAGATTAAGCAGGTAAGGCTAATTGATTAATAACTCTCTGGAGTCTGAAAATTTTCAGGTCAGAATCGAGTTAATAAATTAACACATAACGGTTAATCGATTGAAATGCTACGTATAAACTTCCCAGAAAGGATTAATGACGTTAACAAATTAATGGATTAAGTGGAAACAAAGGACTCTATAATCAGGTAACACATAAGCTAGTCGATAAAGACATCAACCCAGGTGAATTAATAGGTTACTAGGGCATGGTAATCAATTACCTTCTATAATATATAACCAGGAAGCGTCATTTAGATGAACAAGTTGCTACTGGAAAACGTGACATGTGGAGCTGTCACTGCACGTTTTGACCACATGGATGGCGAGATTGGATGATTCATAGCTCAACTTCGAAAATGACATTACTGTACTGACATAGAAGATGACGCTGCTTAGTCACCTCTGTTACACCCCAATTTGAAGGTGACATGATACACAATAATCCGAAGGAAACAAAAGACGTCCTTCAAATAAGAGTACGAGTCTCTAGCACAAAGCAATTCAACATCCTTGAAATTCAAATACATGAGATTTTTCAAGTACAAGTAAACAACAACAAAAAATTACACTAACCCCATCTTGGTGCTCAAAACATCAAAACATGAAGAATTAAGGACTGCATTATCCACAAAAGAAAAGTAACATACTTATGTGCTACCGGGTCCACTGTCCTTGGACTTTGAAGTACCTGTAATGCAATCAGTTTGCAACACATTTATAATTTCTTGGTAACATAACTGACATGGACAACACCTCTAAATATCATCAACATAACTGTATGGTCTTACGACCCCAAAATTAGCTACTGTATGTCCTAGTTAACCTGTATGTAGTTTGAGCTCAAAGTACAATGAGATGTCCCTCACAAGTGTCAACTAAACTACTCTATATCAGGAGGTACAATTAATAACAAGGGAAGATAAAAGTACCAACTGTTCCATCTCACAAGCATGTATGCATACATAAAACTGTTTAATCTCTCAGCGAATCATATACTGTCAATAATAGAATCATAATGCATGTAACATTACAAGAATTAAATGGAAAAATTGGGTTTTTATAGAAGGATATCCGGATATCTGAAATTTGATATTCAGATATCTCACCCCAGGTGTCCGGATACTTGAACATATTCGGATATCTAGCAACAGAATAATTACCATAAATCAAATATTTCTTGCCAAAGGATGATTCTAACCTATTCATATGGGTTCTAGTGTCTACAAAAAATAAGTTTTCGGCATATAACAAAAGCTTTTTACTATTTGATTCTTGGGGTAGTGGTTCCACATGCAAGGAGTTTTCTTTGAGTTCCTCATCGCAGTACTTCATACCACAGAATTACTAATACAGTAGGGTAAATTACACTCAATGTATGTCAGGATTTCGAATTTTTTACAGGCAGAAGAGGAAGGGTCTCAATCTGAACACTTACTTGAGATGTGCAACTTGAACAATTTGAAACTTTGTTGCTTTCAGTGTCCCTCAATTTTAGTTGAATTTAGTCAGCAAGTTTTATCCTATTTCCCTCGGTCCCTTTCAAGTTTCTGGACAGAACGAGCAGTGTGTATGATCTGACTTCAAAATACGGAAAGGCAGTGTTGTTACCACTGAGTTGATGCTCCAAATTAAAAGAGATAATGGAGAAGAAGGCACATGCATGAAGAATTCTTCTAATTATAATTTATTCCAGGGTTATAATAATCTTTCTCGTTATAATTTTTTAATCTTTCAACCCAAAACAATATCATTTTGGGAGTGAATGTAGTATGTAGAAAACTTATTTACATTTACTGTAGAAACATTAAAGCCTATATATATATATATATATATATATATATATATATATATATATATATATATAATTCACTTTTTCTGCCGTCAATGTAAATAAATTATCTACGTTGAGCCCAAAAAGACGTCATTTTAATGTGAAAATCAAATTTTTTTTGTAATTATAATTTATTTCAGGCTTATAATAGTATTTCTCGTTATAAGTTTTTTAATTTTTAATCCAAAATAACGTCATTTTGAAAGTGAATGTAGATAACTTATCTACATTCACTATAGAAACATTAAAGTCATATATATATATATATATATATATATATATATATATATATATATTGGGGCAGGATCTTCTTACACCGGTGTAAGAGTTATTACTCTTACACTCAATCTTAACCATTGATTTTCGCATATCTAACGGTTATAATTAATAATTAATTAATGAGAATAATATAATTAATTACAGTCGTTTGATGGATGGAAATCAACGATTAAGATTGAGTGTAAGAGTTATTAATCTTACATTGGTGTAAGTTGATCCTGTCTCATATATATTTCATTTTTTCTGCAGTTAATGTAGATAACTTATCTACATTGAGCCCAAAACGACGTCGTTTTGAGGCGAAAATCAAGTATTTTTGTAATTATAATTTATTTCAGGGTTATAATAGTCTTTCTCATTATAATTTTTTATCCCAAAACGATGTAGTGAATGTAGATAAACTGTAGAAATATTAAAGTCATATATATATATATATATATATATATATATTATTAAACTGTGGTTATTATGAAAATGGATCTTCTCATGATAAAATTTTACTGACCTGGTTATGTGAAAATTTTGTATCTATCTCTCTCTTCATTAATAATAATTGAATCTCACCTATTTAATACACGTGGAGAGAGAAATAGATAAATTTTTTTACATAAATAGATTATATGAAATTTTAACATTAAAGATCCACTCTCGAATATTGGGCATTAATGTTGTTAATTTACTGCACTAACATGATAGTCTTTTTTTGACATGCTTACTGATTTTAGAATGAGATGATGGGATGCATAGTATAATAATCTTGCTGATCTATACAATAGATCATAGTTTTGGATGATGAAATTTATATTATGCTCCTGTGTGTTGGTTGTATCCTGAACCTGTATGCTAGACAAAGTTGCATGATTGTGTTCTGCATATATTGAATAGCTGATTTTAGGTAATATCCAATTTACAGTCTATCGGAATTTCACACAAAAATCTAATGCTTATTTCTCTGCAAACTGAATTTTTTTTTTTTTACAATGCTAAAAAGGAGAGAAATAGGAACATAAAGGAAGGAATGGATTTGCATGAGTGAATGCCAGAAAAAGGTAATTTAATCAAGCAAATTTACCTCCAAATTGCGCCTTGACTCTAAATTCTTTACTTTTTAAATTCCCACCTATATGAGTGTTTCTCATCATTAAAAAAAGAGAGAATGTGAATGCTTACATTAACTACTTGTATCTATTTGGATGATAAGAAACAAGTGAAGGATTCAAGTCCAAGGAAAGCTTCAAAGTGTATTTCACACGGGGCTTAAGATTCTAAATTTTATAAAAGGTACTTATTAATTGAGATATGAGCTCAAAAATGATTTTCCAAAGTCCATACAGGAGAACAAATTGGTTGATGCTTGAAAATTGTTTTTATTGGTTGTATTAATTGATTAAATTTTATGGGAAATCAATTACATAGCTTGTTTGTTTATGATCAGTGTACGAATCAATTACAGTGACATTCTAATCGATTAACACATTTATGCCAAGTAATCGTTTTGAAAATTGGGGGGGGGGGGGGGGGGGTATTCCATTATAGCATCCCTGTAATTGATTAACTCTTTTGAAAAATATTATTCGATCGATTAATGTGTTCCTTAATCGATTAGAATGTTCTTAAAATGCTCATAAATACATTTTGTAAAAGCCTCTAATCGATATAAGCAGGGGTATATATAAATCAATTACAGAGTAAGGACAATAACTGTTTGTTTTCAGTGTTTTACATTATCTAATGCTTCACCAATCAAAACCAACAATTCTAAAATTTCCATTTTGTATAAATACACATTTTGGGCATTTATTGAATAGTTACTACACCCTAATATTGATCATCTATCATTAAAACGTGCATTAAATCACTTTTCATTTCATACTCTTTTATTAATTTGCACTTCTTATCCATGAGTGGTTATAGAATTTTAATTTGTATTATTCACCCGAATGTTATATCCTCTTTCATTTCTATATTCTAATAAGAGGGTAAGGTATCCATCAAATTTATAAAGTTGAGTTATCCCTTAAGAAATTCAGACACAAATATTTGGGTGAGTTATCCTAATGTAAGGAATGCTCCAAATTGTAAAGGTAACAAACACATTTTTAAAACTTAAATTTAGAACTCTCTCTGATTTTGCTTGAAAACTAAACATAGATTACAAGGAAAGGTTGAACCAATATAATTTTGAGTTTGTACTTCTTTCTCCTCACTCTTTTACTTTCTAGCATTACTATTCTGTTTTATTGATTTATTGACTATGCTATTCTTATTTGTGTTGAAAAATTGTGTAATAAATATTATCTTCATCATTCATTCAGCTTTAAAAAACAAAACAGTTTCAATAAAAATTCTCAAGTACCAAAGTTTTGCAAAAAAATTGCCAACTAGTTTTAGAAACTCATCCTCTCGAGTTTGAACCCAATTAGTAACAAAACAAGATCTAATATTTGCTTTCAAAAATAATAGGAAAATCTAATATCGACCTCTAAGGTACCCAAATATAGAATAAGGAATGGATTTATCTTTATAACTAAGGCTGTGTTTGGTATGGGGTATTTATGAAGATTACTGGTATTGCTAAATTGGTAATCATCAATTGTCATGTTTGGTTTAAATCAACAAATTCAAATATCCAGTAATCTTCGTTTACTAGTAAACTCATTTACAAAGAAAAGGAGGATTTCAGATTACCACAAATTATATGGTATTCACGATTCCAATTGAAAGGGAAAGCAGGAAAAAAATGTGAGACAAAAATACCCTTTGCATCTTGCATCTTGCATCTTGCATCTTGCATCTTGCGCCGCTGCCTTCGTTGGTTCTCTGTAAGCTTCGTGCTCTGTTCTCGACTTCGATTTGATTTGCGTTGTTCACCAAGAAATCGTTTTCCTTTGTGGTTGTCCACTGTCAGTTGTCTTCTTTAGCTGGGTGACTTGTATAAATTATTTTTTTAATGAGTGCAGACCACTTCGCATATACATTGTTTTCAAAAGCACAGTACGTCGTTCTTCGTTTTTCTACAAGTTTTCAAACCAAATTCAAATACCCAGTTGTCTCAGATCTGTATTCTCACCTTTGCATGAGTTCCTTCAAATAAATATCGTGCTTGTACAAAATGCCTTCAAGAATCATGTTTTGAAAAGTTAAGGTTAGTTTTGTAAAATCATCATATATTACCAATAATATTTTACTATCAACCAAACATATACTCAGTAAAATTATTAAGAGTAAATACTCTTTTTCGTCCCTGACAATTTTTACGAGGCACAATTTAGTCCTCAACAATAAAAAAGGCACAAATTAGTCCTTATTTTTGGAAAAAAAGAGCCATGTTTGTCCTTCTGTTAGATAGAATGTGACAGCCCACTTGACGGAGCCCAGCTGGAACGTTAAGTGGCTGAGTCACTAACGTCATAAGCCACGTGGACATAATACGACGTCTTTGTGATACATGCCTTGTGTCTAGTTGGATTTTTGGACAGGTGACCCTTGCATGAAAGGGTTAGTGACCCAATATAGTCCTTGTGAAATTAGGAACCCTAAATCAGCCTAAACCATGAACAAAAAAACCCCCAAAAGCTCCCCACGATGAATACTGAAAATTGAGGAGAGTAGAAGGTGTTTACTGGCTATTTTCTGGTGCGTAGAAGAAGATGAGTATGTCATCTGGTATGGGGGGATCAAGTGGGAGTACGTCTTTTGGGCGTAGAACAACCTCTCAGACTAGCGGTCGAAGGTGCAAATGTGGGAGGCAAACAATCGTCTATACCTCCAAAACAGAGAGAAACCCAAATAGGGCATTCTTTGGGTGCCCTAATTTCAATGTATACATTTGTAAATTGAAGTTAATTAACTTGGAATATTTGCTTACCGTGGTTTGCAATTTTGGCAAGATAAGAAGCCCTTTTGTAATTTTTTGAGATGGGTAGATGACGTATGTAATGAAAGGCTGGAGCTTGAAGATGGAAGAATCAACAAGGTGGAGTTGGATGTTGCTGAAATGGATTTCAAGTTGAAGTATGTGAACATGATGATGAGTGAGCAATTGCAAGCTAAGTTGAATGACCAAGGTGCGAAGATTAGTGAGCAAGAACTGAAGCTTAATGAGCAGGAAAGAAAGCTGAATGAGCTATAACTGAAGATGGTGGAGGAGTTAGATAGGATGGACAAGGAAATTAGGCATGTTGGTAGGGCAGCTAGGGTCTTAGTTGCTGCTTGTGTATGGTTTGATGATTGCTTTTTTGATTGCAATTGTTATGACAATGAAATGTAGTGTACGAAATGTAGTTTTTCTTCAATGAAATGTAATGACTTGTTCACAACTGTGATGATTAAAGTTCACAAGATGCTATGATTATATGGCAATGTAGTTCTGTATTTTGGTTGGAAAATGTGTATTTTTGCGTGTACTGCTAACTTCATGGTATAATACAGTATATGTCAATAGCAAATGAACAAGGTTATGGAGTAATACAACCCATCTGTTTGCATCATATGAAGTTTATTCCTGTTATGATTCCACTGTCATGATGGAGCATAACCATTTTTATCTGCATAATGAGGGTGGACTGATGTTATGTGGTGGTAAAACTGAATTACAGATATATGACAGTTGGATGTAGTGAAATATGTAGTCAAATTTGTTGTTGCAAATGAGAATTTAAGAACTGGATATTGGTACCTAATCATGAAAACTAAACCCCAACTTTGTCCCTGACAATATGTATCGGGGGCCAATTTGGTCCTTGACAAATGCTATCGGGGCCCTATTTGGTCCCTGACAGTTAAAAAATGGACATGAGCTGTTTAGAGAAAAGAGGTATTGTCAGTAACACAAACAGATTGCAGCAATAGGATGAACATATTGTTGCAAAATGTATGGACATATTCATCACCTCAAACCAGCAAAATGTATAACCCCTAACATTTAAAAGCTGCATTGTAACCCATGACACATTGGATCACCACCTTTTTCCAAAAACATGTACAAAGACATATTGCATTCAAAAAATTTGTTCAGTTAAAATTATCAAACATGACCTAAAGAAATGAATTCACAAAGAAACTTGTAGTCATTTACAATTCGAAACCCTTCCTTCATAATTACAGGCCTACCAATTTGAGAACTTGTAGTCCACATAAACCATTCTAAATCATCCTTCAAACTGTTTTCACAAATGTTTTTTTATTCAAAATACACTCATACAGAGACATATTGTGATTAAAAAAAAAACAAGTACTTCACCTAAAGGCCTTAAATACAAAAAAAAATATGGGGGTACAGCTGACAGTTCATACAATTCAAAAAAATGGGTACTAAGGACCATTGTTGCCTATACAACAAAAACTGAACCCCTATACAAAAAATACTGGACCTACAACTGATCATCTTCATTCAAGCTGGCCTTGGTGGCCTAAACCCAAGTGTGGTCATGAATGCCATAAGCCTGCTCCTTGTGCCACTGCTTGTTGCATTGACAGTTTGAGTTGACAATTGTTCTGCTGGTGGTCGAGCAGTAGGTGATGGGCAGTTGCCCCTAATGGATTCCTCAGCTTCTTGGGACTGTCTTGAAGGTCCTCCTTGACTCAAAGGGAGCTCCTCTTCATGTCTTGCTGGTATGTTGACATTAACTGCATGTGAAGGTGGTGTTGCTCTCTTCCCTCTCTTGCTTGCAGCTGGTCCCTTACAGGTCTTTGCATAGTGACCAGACTGCCCACATGTAGCACACTTTATAGCATATGTCATTTTTAATTTTTTGGTTTTGCTATCATGCTCTTCACTTTAATCCTTCTTCCTATGTTTTTTGGGACGACCAATTGGCCTTTTGAGTGGTGCAGGAATGAGTTTAGGCTCAGTTGATGCAGGCCAATACTGATCAGGATTGACAGGGTTCAAGGTATGTGCATAAGTTGCATGCAAAGCATCCACTGTCAGCCATTGATGAACATAAAGCTCTGCTGGTTCATTCTTGTGACATATTGCAACAATTGCATGCTCACATGGAAATCCAGTGAGCTGCCATACATTACATGCACAAGTCTTATAGGTTAGATTGACTCCAACCCTTTCACCTTTTCCAGTCACTTCGTATAGATCTTGCTCCAAATTCCCTGTCCAAGTTGGGGTCCAGGAGTTGCTTAACACCTTCAATTGATCCAACTTCTTCTGTTGTGCTGGGGCAATTTTACCCCTAATTGTTCCAAGAATTTTTTTGATGGGCAGCCATCCTCCTCATGATATAGCATCTAAGTTCTTCACATAGGCTGACAATGAGCTTGGACCTGTACCCTACAATTTTTGCATTCCACACCTCAGCCATGTTGTTGGTTATATTGTCACACTTGGGCCAGTGACTAAAATAGGCCTTCACCCAGCATAAGGGGTCAATCTTGTTAAGGTATGCCCAAGCATCTTCATTCAACTCCTTCAATTTCTGCATTGTTCTTTGGAATTGGGGCACAGTAGTGCATCGTGCAGCCTGCCATACTATTCCCCTAATGGCTTTGTCCTTCTATTGTTTAATGAAATTCTTCCACACGTGCTGCACACAAAACCTATGATGGCCACCTGGCATGACCTCCTGTAATGCTAGTATCAATCCCTGCATTAATATATCAAGCAACAACAAAAGTCATTACACATGGCCAGCAATGCACAGGTTTTATAAAAGCTCAATAAATTTGAAATAGGCAAACCTTTTGCTGATCAGAAATGAAGTTCCATCCATGTACTACATGGCTGCCAATGTCCTCTTGTAACAAGTTCAGAAACCACTTCCAATTTTCTTTAATCTCACTATCAACAACTGCAAAAGCAATGACATAAAAGCTCTTGTTTGCATCCTCTCCCACTGCACTCAAGAGTTGTCCCCCATAATAGCCTTTTAAGAAACATCTATCCAGGCCAATCAATGGCCTACACCTATCTTTGAATCCTTTCTTACAGGCATCAAGGCATATATATAGTTTAGAAAAAATAGGTGGGCTATTAGGGACTGGTTGTGGTATTACTTGCATCTGGCAAGTGGAGCCAGGGTTGCTCCTCAATAGCTCAGCCAGGTAGTCCCTTAGCTTGTCATACTGTTCCTTCTCATGTCCTTCTATTCTTCTCTTGGCTTTGTGTAGTGCCTTTGTGACTTTCTTCAGATGAACATAGACCTTGTACTCTTCCTTTAAATGCTCATAAGCTTCTGCCCTTGTCATATTGGGCTGTGTGACCAGCCTTTTCTCCAACTTTGCAGCAACCCAATCCCCGGTGGCCCTTTTATTTTTGAGAATTCTGCAGCAGGAATGGTTATCATTGAATGTCTTGACTTGGAAACAATTGAATTTGTTACTCCGGGAACAATATATCATCCACTCACAGTCTTCATTTGAGCATTTGGCCCTTGCTCTTACCTTGTCATTCTTAACCCATATAAATTGCCTCCCAAGACTTATATTGTAGTCTTTGACACCATGTTTAAAGTGCTCCAAACTGACAAACTCCATTCCAAGCGCAAGCTATACATGACCAAAGGTATTCTCCTCATTAAACTTCGGAAACACTTCCCTCTCAACCTCCTCATCCCCACTTGAAGGATGAGTCTTCAATTCTTCAGAATTGTAACCATAGCCCTGATCTTCAAATGACATATTATGCTCATCCTCTTCCAAGTTTTCTTTCCTGTCACTCTTGTTAACTGCCTTTTTTTCCTTCTTTCCTTTCACCTTTTTTCTCAAAGCAATTATTGGCTCGTCTTCTTCATCCAATTCATCCTCTGTTTCGTCATCAACACCCGGTGGCGGAGGCTTATAAGGCTCATCTTCTACACTGTCATATGAATCACTTGACAATCCATTGCCCTCTCCCTCTTCGTATTCATCAGCAGAAAAAGAATTGAACTCACATGAACTTCCAACTGAATCACCTAAGACCCCCTCCTCATCAGCACTTTCAGGAGGAGACCCTTCTGCAGGACCAGCCAATATGTCCGGAAGCGCAATGCAATCTTCAAAATATATAGATATTTTGTTCCCATTACTTAAGGCAGCCTTCACCATTTCCAAAACATTTGAATCCTTTTCAAGAAGACATAACCCAACCTCTAAATCACTCTCAGTAGGCTTGAGCCACCACATATGTTTACATTTTTCATACCCAAACCCCTTGAATAGAGTATCAAGGTCACGCAGGTTGACATAGTCTGCATCCATCTTAGGTAAATCATCCACTCTCCCATTTACATAAGTCAGCTTTCCTTTGTCATTCTTAACCAACACACCCCCATGATGATATCTTATGACTATATATTCATCCATCTGCATAGAAAACAAAACATAATCATTTTTTACACTACCTTAATATTATTTTACAGTATCATACAACCAATTAATTATTATCAATATTACTATAATATTGTAACAGTCATGGATATTTTAAATGGCTGCATTGCTAAAAAATTAGGTCCACTAATCACTACACATAGCAACTTAAAATAACAACAGGGGGACCACATGCAACAAGTTCCAAAAATAAAATACCAAAGGGGACCAGATAAAAAAAACCCTAACCATCTCTTGCCCTAAACCGCACATGGGGGGACCACATTAAACAAAAACACAATGACCAAAAAAGATAGATGGACCACACATACTAAAGAAAGGGTTTCTCTCACGTACCTTGCACGAATGTCACCACACTCACAACCGTTTTAAGGATCTTCACCCTAAACCACACTACTTCCAAATGCTTGCAACTGCAGAAGACACGTACACCAACAAAGCACCGTAGGTCACCAACCTTCACCGAAAACGAAGCTCACGAGCAGAGGAAATGGCGAGTATGGACAAGTTACTTGTTGTCTGACTGTGTTAACTGAGTCAACAATAAGGTTGAAGAAGTCTCTCTTCATCAAACGACGTCGTCCCCTTCTACTCACCTGATACAACCTTCCAATATAAGACGTCGTTCCTTTCTCCTCCACGTGGCTGTCACGTTAGTGACTCAACTAACTAACGGTCAAGCTGGCTTCCGTCAAGTGGGGTCGTCACATTCCAACTAACAGAATGACAAACGTGTCCCTTTTTATCAAAAAATAGGGACTGAAATGTGACTTTTTTTTCCTAGGGACTAAATTGTGCCTCGTGAAAATTGCTAAGGACGAAAAAGGGTATTTACTCAATTATTAAATATTCCCGGTAATATTTACGTCTACCAAACAATTTTTTTATACCATTTCCGGTAAACTGAATTTCTCATTATATGACTGGAAATCATCGATTCCCGGACACAAAAAAATTTCTCTTGTACCAAACACATCCATTTTTTTTAGTAGATAAGAAGGGCAAAAGCCCAAACTGCAGAAAACAAACTAACAACTAGAAAAACGACTCGGAGGCTGCGCTATAAAGATTAGAACTTATACAAAAGATCCAACTCCTTCACCCTTGTCAATAGCCATGTTGGCGAAGAAATCAGCACACGTATTACCTTAATGATAAATGTAACTGAACTCGATGGACTAAACCCTTTTCATGCAAGCTCAATCTTAGTCATCAAATGAGACTCTGCATTACCAACCAACCTTAATAACTCTCTTTCAAAAATAATTTTCTGTATAACCCATGCTTCAAGCAACCTCCTTCCCTTTCAAAACACCTTATAGTGGATGAAGTATGAATAACTTTGTGAGCATCAGCCATTATCCACCTTTAATTTAATTTAAAGTATATCATTATCTTAATCTATTAAATTCAAGGATAAATATATAATTATTTTAAAATTAAATTCACTTTTTAATTTTCTTTCTCGCAAGTATATTGTGTGCATTAAAATATTCAACTGTTGATTTAAGGGGGATATTTTTTTCCGTTCGTTCGCAGGAAGAAAAGTATTCTCCTGTCAAGAGACATCCAAAATTTCAAATATTTTTTTTCTATTTTTTTAATAAAAAATGTGATGGGCTCCATGCATTCCTCTGACAGAAGAATTCATTAACCTTTGGTTTAAATGCGTGTTTAACTCATTCATTAGAAACATAAATAAAGAATTATATTTTAGACGATCATAAAATCTGACATACATGCATAAATACAGCACAAAATCAATTATAAACTCAATGATTACTAACCCGTTTTAGATCACAACATCAAACTACAGCTTCCTAAGTCAAGGATTAGTTTATGAGGAATATTCTCAGACCCATTTTTCGTTTTTTGAATTTCTATTTTCTATTTTTTTCTTGTTTCTCTGGTTAAAAAACAACAAAAAGGAGAAATTATACTTATACCTTTTTTTTTTTCAACCACTTTCGATATTGGTGGATCAAAATCAAATGAGAGTTGTTGTTTTCATTTTGATCTAGTAATAATAAAAATGGTTGTAATTTTTTTTTTATAAATATAACCTCTTTTGGAAAAAGAAAAAAAAAGTTATAAATTAAGAGACAAGTTATTGCGAATTACGTAAGAAAGAGATTCTTTTGCTGGGTTGTTGGCATTTAAATGAGAAGCCAAAAAAATGGGACAAGAAATGAGAAACAGTATTTTATTTCTTTATTTTTTTCTTTCTTTTCATGAGTATTAATATCTAGAATGAGCTGTTAACATTGATTATGAAATGATAACATTAATAGCTAATAAATAATTCATAACTCACCCTAATACTAGTACTCGTTAGGATATCACAATAAATCACTCTATATAATGAGTAAGTGAGAGGCACGAAAGTGAATTAATGTTGATGCAACATGCTGATCCTTAAAGTCAAGGGTAATCCCTTGTATGGGCAAGTAATCTATTAGTCAATCTTATTTATCAGCTGTCACATATATTCCTGTTACTATATATATGCTTGCCAGTTATCACCTACACTTGAAACAAGCCTTTAGGTATTAAAATGTTAAAAGCAATGCTAGCTTTGTGCTTCGGTTCATTTTCTAAAATACCATGGAAGAATTGGTAAAAGCACAACACAGCAATTTCTTAATGTTCTTTTTCCAATGATCAAATAGTGGGTGAATGAAAGGATGAAAAGTAAGACAAAGAGTACGGAATTTTCCTCCTTTTTTGGCTAATCAAAAGTAATTTATCTTCTTTTTATTTCTTCCTTTTTCTATATTTTCTGTTTTCTCTTTCAAGTTTCAAAGGTGGAATTTTCCCTCTCTCGCTGCCCCAGTAGTCGGAATATTAATAACTTTCCCTTTTGTAGCAGTAGTTCAAATTAGATTGGCTGTGGCAAATTAGATTGAGATCTTACAAGTCACAAAATGATGATGTATATAATGCCCCCATAGTTATGACTATGAGAAATAAATTTGCATTTATTTTAGATATAATAATTGACTGGGTATGAGAATTTAAGTAATAAAAAATAAATATAAAAATTAGCTTTGACAGGATTTGCAGACCCAGCATAATTTTCAAATATAAATAGAACCATAAGAACTACTAAGTAATAAGTGATACTTTTTCAACCAAAAAAAAAAAAATAAGTGATACTTTAATAATGTGAAAATCTCATATAGGTACCTAGATCCTGCTAATTGGGTACCAATGTGTGTGTATACCTATTAAAACGTGTCAAAATTTGTTTTTATATATATATTTGCTCCACAATCTCATTACAAATTTACTCTGGATGACTTTTTTATCAAATATATAGGAAAGCTTTTATCTTCGGTCACTGAGAAAATGAAATATGTGAGACTCACCTGTTTAAAAAAAAAAAATCAATGCAAAAATTAAAGTATCATTGGAAGAAATTTGTGTTCTCCTATTAACTCCCTTTATATATAGAGAGATAGGATCATTTGACACTAGTGTCAAATTTAAAGTTTGACACCTCATCTGAGAGTCATTAGATCAAAAAAGATCAATGACTCTGATTTATAAGCATGTGACACCATTGATCTTTTTTTATCTAACGGCTCTCAAATGATGTGTCAAATTTTAAATTTGACATTGATGTCAAATAATCCTACCTCAATATATATATATATATATATATATATATATATATATATATATATATATATATATATTAAATAACTAGTCTTACTCTTTGAAATTGAACAGAAATTCAATCCTAATCATCTGTTATCTTCATGCTAACACTTTCACTATACCAAAAAAATTAATTAGGTAATCGGTTTGATCTTAATAATTCTTGAAACATATATGACATATATCTTAATACATAAAAAAAAATGCTTGTTTTCAAACAATCAACATAACACAAATGATTTCTAATTATTTTTTTTGTACAAATGAAGTTTAAGATTTTATGTGTAAAAAAAAAAATTAATCTATGGTAAAATTATGTGAAATGATTTGACTTTAAAGTTTTAAATAATTTTTAAAAAGCTTAATATTGCTTAAATTACTGTTAAACATATTATCTACTTTTTTTTTGGAGGTTACATATTATCTACTTTAACCACAAGATATAACTTAATTAATAAACTGATTTATATGAAAGTGAGGTTTAATTATATAACAAAACTATAAAAATTCATGAAGAACATCCTATAATCAGAAACAAATTGACAACCGGATGAAAATTAATCTTTAATAATAAAACTAATTTGAGTGAACCATATAAAGTTTATAGTGTCCACGCCACTCTAACTCGAATAGTTTGAAATGCTGGAGCGAGTCCATGCAAATAGTGAAAGTGAACCATAATATTAATAATAATTATTATAAGAATAATTACTATATGCTAATTAATCATACATTACATAACATTCATGATTTCGTATCATATGACATAGATACATATGCGAATGCGAATATGCCAAGAATGGGAACCACCTGACGCGCGACTTGGCTTGCTCTACGCTACGCCCGCCGAAGGAAGACACATCACCATCCGGGGTGGGTCCCACCTTCTCACTTTCTCTCTCCTGTCCCAACTTTCCGCTTCTTATGCTGCCCAAGCTGCCCTAATTGCCCGCTCTCTGTACGGTCAGACTCATAGTCTGTTTGGGGAAGAACGGGCACATCAAACTCCTACCCCTCTCTCTTCTTCGGGCAGCCCCACACACACAAACCCATATTCCATTTAAAACAACAACAATAATTTCCATTTCTTTTCCCTTAAAAAAATAAAAAAAATATATATTAAAGAATGTGAGAGAAATAGAATTCATAATTTTTTAATTATATATTTATTTACAGAGAAAGATTATACTTATTATTTATTTTTATTTACAATATTTTACAATTATATGTTGATTTTCGTCAATTAATAATTATTATTTTTGCAAATTAAATTTATTAATTAATATTTAATTTATAATGAATGATAATCATTGATCGACAAAAATTAACAATTAAGATATGATTATAAAAGATTAAAAAAAAAAAAAAGTTGTATATATAATTTTTCCCTTTTTAATATATCTATTATCTGTTTTTTCTAATTTTCCACATTTTTGTTTCCTTTTTTCCATTTCAGCATTGAGTTTGTAGTTTTACTGGGTCAGCTTGCATAGGATAGGACACAGCCTCGTCTCCGAGATTTATGTTTGTGTTTTTTCTCTGAGCATAGCTTTTCTGAATTGAGCTAAGTTGCTGTGTTCCTTTTGGGTAAAGGGTTCGCATTACTGTTTAGTTTGCCCACAAGCTGATCAATCTAGGGTTCAACGGATTTGTTATTTTGTTTTGGGGGTTTTGATCTGCTTCATGTGATCTACACCCCTTTTGTGTCAGTTACATTTTTAAACTTCTGGGTTTCCTTTGTTTTTTGGTTTTGAGTGGTAAAGTTGTGATTTTTAGGTTTTGTTTGGGAATTTGTCATCTGGGTCTGGTTTTCTTGTGGGTGATTTTGCTGGTTGTGGTGGTGGGAGGTTGGACATTGTGGGGGGTGGGGGTGTTTTGAATTTGGGGTGGGTTGGTTTTGATGATTTCTGGGTTTGATTCTTTAGGACTTGCTCGAGATGGGGTTGGGTGCTGAGAATGGTAAGGTGGTGGAGTCTTTGGATGTGAGTAAATCAAAGTGGAGGAAGAAGAAGAAGAAAGAGGATAGGGTAGTGGAAGAGGAAGAGACTGGGTGTTGGCTTAGGCTGAGGTTCATTGGCAGCTGCATTTCTTCGAGATCCAAGGTTGATAGCTCAGTTAGCGGCACCAGCACTAATTATGGTAACTTCTATCTCCCTAGAAGAATTACTCTTCTTCTTTTGTGCTTTGAGGTTCCATCTTTGAACATGTTTTTTGTGATTTATTTTTATCGTACATAATATTTTAGTCAAACTCAGGGTGGCATCAAAATAAAGTTGAACATGTTGAAATTTACTTGTTAAAAAGTAACAAATTTGAGTTTCTCATAGTTCCTGCTTATTCAAAACTATATGGAAATATATTCCTAAGGCAGGTTGGGGTTAAAATACAGACAATGTTTTGTTTAGGATTGTGTGAGAGCTTTGAAAGGGCAGTCATGGTTCATTCTCTTGTGCCATCCCCGTGCCCAAAACATCATTGACTGAGAGTTCCTTCACCTCATTGAGTTGGGGATGAGTTCATAATTTAGACAATTTCATTTATGACTTGGTAAACTTGTGACAATCAAGTTCCATCACCCGATATTCGCTTGCGCGTGTGTGTGTGTTTGTCAAGCATGCCGAAAGAGAACTTCTTAGTTGGACAAAATTTCACTGGTTTTCTGCATTTCCTTTTTCTTGATTTATCAAATTACTCTTGAATTGGTACCTAGATCTCCATCTTGTTTAAGCCCAATACTGCATGATGCTATCTTATTGCTTTTTCTAATCATTTACCCTCTCTTTACTGGACTTTGGCTTCTCATTAGCTGAAAGTAAATCAACTAATGATACAAGTAGAGACCAACCAACAGTTCCAATAGTCTCTTCGACTACCACAAGTAATACTGAAAGCAATTCATCCACTTCCAAACTTGAAGAGGAGCTTAAAGTTGCTTCCAGGCTGCGAAAATTCTCTTTCAATGATCTTAAGTTGGCAACAAGAAATTTTCGGCCAGAGAGTCTTCTTGGTGAAGGTGGTTTTGGTTGTGTGTTCAAGGGATGGATTGAAGAAAATGGAACAGCACCAGTGAAGCCTGGCACAGGGCTTACTGTTGCTGTTAAAACCCTCAACCACGATGGGCTCCAGGGTCATAAAGAATGGCTGGTTTGTAATTTCACTAATATAATTTTTCTTCCGTTGAGTTTAACTTTTTGTATTTTCTTAAAGATGTGTCTTTTCATTGAATATTATATACTGAATTCTATGAAGTTTTAATTTCTTGTTTGGTTCATGTGACAGGCTGAAGTAAATTTCCTTGGTGATCTAGTTCATCCAAACCTTGTTAAACTTATAGGTTACTGCATTGAAGATGATCAAAGGTTGCTAGTATATGAATTCATGCCTCGGGGTAGCCTGGAAAACCACTTGTTTAGGAGTAAGTTACTATTTTCTGACTATTAGTTTCTCAATTCTTTTTCCAATAATAGCTGGATCATTACTGCACCTCGAACATCAGAGGGAGGAGCCTGCCGTGTGTCTCTTGGGAAGCATAGTTCCCTCCCAATACAAAGCCCAATAAATATATGTTTTTGGCTTCTGGTATGAAAAAAAAAAAAAATTGGGTAGGGAGAGATGTGCTTCTGTTATATATGATGTAGTTTACTCTAGTGATCGGCTTAGTTAAAAATAATGTTTAGAGCTAATCTATACCCTTGTAGTAGTGTTTCTATTAATAAAGATCCTGTTTTTTTACTGAGTATCTCACTTGCTTTTTCTTGTTGAAATTTAGCAGCTTCCTCTTACATGGATGAAGTATAGATTGGAATTTGAAATTTCTACTTTATACTCTTCGTTTGAATTGTATACTTAGATCCATTTTCTTATGTACTCATGTTCGAAACTATATCTTCTGAAGGATCCCTGCCTCTTCCGTGGTCCATTAGGATGAAAATTGCACTAGGAGCCGCAAAGGGTCTTGCTTTTCTTCATGAGGAAGCTGAACGACCTGTAATATATAGGGATTTCAAAACTTCCAATATACTATTGGATGCAGTAAGTGCCAATGTTACTATATGATTACATTTTTTCATTTTTCCTTTATTTTGACCTTTATGATATTGTAATAATTCAGGACTACAATGCCAAGCTCTCAGACTTTGGACTTGCAAAAGATGGTCCAGAGGGTGATAAAACCCATGTGTCTACTCGAGTGATGGGAACTTATGGTTATGCAGCGCCAGAATATGTCATGACGGGTAAGTTTAGTTGGATATGCTTAAGTCGAAATCTGCAAGATTTAGTTGTTATTTTTCAGTGAATTAAAGCATGCCTATTCTTGGGTATTTCTATCTGACTATATTTTTTTGGGCATTTTTTTATCTCGGAATTCATTTGTCCTGATCCTGATGACTATCACTAAATATTTCTGAACAAAAACATCTGCACCGTGATTTCTTGTGGACCATGCTCTCATAATGTTTGTAACTTTCAAAACTTGCAGTTCTATTATATTTGGCTGATGATTTTCACTCACATTCGTTCCTTGTCTATATAAATGTAATCCAACATCCGTATCATCTAATCCTTATATAATCAGATTTATACTTTTGTGGCAGGACATCTTACATCAAGAAGTGATGTGTATAGTTTTGGAGTGGTACTACTTGAGATGTTGACCGGCAGAAGATCTATGGACAAAAACCGACCCAATGGTGAACACAACCTTGTGGAATGGGCTAGACCACATCTAGGGGAGAGAAGAAGGTTCTACAGATTGATAGACCCTCGCTTGGAAGGTCACTTTTCTGTAAAAGGAGCTCAGAAAGCTGCTCATCTGGCTGCTCACTGCCTTAGCAGAGATCCAAAAGCAAGACCCCTCATGAGTGAAGTTGTAGAAGCTTTAAAGCCTCTCCCAAACCTGAAGGACATGGCTAGTTCATCATATTATTTCCAAACAATGCAAGGTGAACGTTTTAGTGCAAGCCCAAATACTAGAAATGGGAGAACACAAGGAGCATTGCTCACCAGGAATGGACAGCAGCAAAGGAGCCTTTCAATTTCACATGGTACTCATGCATCTCCATTTCACCATCAGTATCCCCAACAATCACCAAAACCCAATGGCAAGGCATAGAGTTGATGAATTTTCATTTTTCTTTTGGTCTCTCCCTTCTTTTTCATCATTTCTTATTTCCTAAGTATAGATGTAACTTGTGTCAAGCCATTTGTTCATGGGACAACTTGAGAGCAAAAGAAGCATGCTGCTTTTGTGATGTATGTTATGAGTGTTGATTCCACCCCATAGAGCAGGGAAGAATGTAAGAGCAAGTGAAGCTTATTCAGCAACTATGTCTTATGTCAAATTGTCAACCAATATGTTTCTTCAGATTGTTTGGAAATATTCAAGATTATTAACTCCTCAATTTTATTTCTTTTTCTTCCATTTTCTCCTCAAACAGTGAGGCTCCTTAAAAATTAATCACAAGCTTTTGTTTATGGAAAGATGAGAAAGAAGCCTTTTTTTCATTAATTTATGTCAGGTTTTTTTATCCCATCAATTAATCATTGAAGCTCTTTATGAAATAAATCTTTGACATGTTCCCAAAACAAAAAATAAAACTTTGACATGGTAGGCCATTGTCATCATCAAATTTACGTGCAAATAACTAAGTACGCATATGAATGGTGTGCAATATAATATATTGTTCCAATTTTCGTGTATAAATTTTGTGGAGAAGATTTCTTATCTTGCTGAAAGTGAAATCTATCTCTATAAATAGGTTAGGTTTGATTAGGTTTTGCCTTAAAATACTTTAGTTCTGGGTTAATTTATTAGTATAACGAGGAAAACTTTTCTGAATAAGTTATCTTCTACTCAAACAAAAATGTGGGGCCATTGTTTTTTTTATAAAATAAAAAATAATTTTTTTTTTGACACTAAACTCGATGTTAGTGCAGGAAGTGTTTCTTCTCAACTGTGAAATAAGACAATCATTGCCCTAGTATAATATAGGCCCAAATTATAAGTCTGATTTAGTTTATATTTAAAAAATAAAAATATTGTCCTAGATTTGTTAGCATGTTTAAACTTATTAGGTATTCAATAATTTAAAAATAAAATAAAATAAAATTACTTTATTACTCAAAATTATTAAAATAGTAGTCTATTTATTTTATTTAAAATAAATAATATGTTATAAGTCGACATGTAGGCTTATAGGCAAAAAAAAAATAATAGTCTGCTTTCTAAATAGATTTTTTTTTTAAGTTGAGTCTATTATATTTGACTATATATAATAGGCCGAGTCTGGCCTAATGTAGGCTAAGTCGTAAGTCCCTGTTAGAGTGACTGATCCATTTACATCTCAATCTCTAACTAACTTAAGAATGCACGTGCATCCCACCATCAATTTTTTTTCTCCTCTTTTTTCTCTTTCCTTTACTGTTTTGGATTAATGGGAAATCTAATCCCCATAAATTTTAGGCGTATATTATGTTTTTTTTGTGTGGATACAAGTGAAAATTGAACATATTCTAGTACAATTTATCGAAACTCCTCGTCACTAGAGCAATCTTTGTGGCTTATGTTATGTTTCAATTTAGTTGAGATTCATCAAGGTTAAGAATTGAGAATTCAATTAATTTTAATATATCTTTGTAGAGCGAAAAATGATGTCAGTTTAATGTTTTTATTTACTAAGTATTTTTTATGTTTTGGGTGTGAGATTAATTACATTCGAAGTCAATTTAAATGACATGAGTATGGTTGTACTTTAAAATAAAAATAAAAATACATGAGTATGATACAATTTTTTTTTTTTTAATGATAATTTGTGAAAACCTAATCTTACGGATCAATCGTTAAGTGCAAATGGATCCTAACCTAAATCTTATTTAAATGAAAGTGAGGAGTGAATTCTAATAATTGAATCTGGTATGTTTGGTTTGATTTCAACGTAAAATTGTATTTTTAAAAATAATTGTGTGCTTTTAAAATAATTCTAATGCTAGTAATCTAGTTCACAAAAAAAAAAAACTAGTAATCTATTAGAGATGAAATAATGAAGATTGAAGCCTTATTTAATTCTTGAATCATGCTGATATAAGTGAAGGTGATATTGACGTTGACAAAAATTGTTGTATTCAATACTAAACAATACATCTTTCTTTTTTTCTCATTGTTTTTAGTACACGATTCTAATTATTTTTTTTGGAGGAGTCAGATCCTTTGATATTTTCATAATTCGAGCGAAGAAAGGGCTTCGTGACAAATATCTAGCTCTAACCCCAATTTTTTTTTTTCCAGGATTCGAGTTCCTATTTTTTTGATAATTCGAAGTTTTTTTTTTTCTCATCTAAAGAATTTAATTTAATTCATTATTTTTTCAGCCATACATTTACATGCACAATCGTAAAGAAATCTCACCCATGTGAATTAGCTTGTTTTGCATCAAAGAAAGCTTTTAATCATAATAGAAATCGTGACCACCAATTTAAGTAAGTACGATCTATAAAAAAAAAACAAAAAAATTGCAATCTAACCCGTTTAATTTTCCTGCTGAGACGGATATAATATTTGAATATCTCTTTACCCAATTACTATATGAAAAAGTATCTTTCATTTTAAAGGACGTAAAATTGTGTCATTTTAAGAGAGAGAAAGAGATAGATAAAGAAAGAGAGAGTTGACAAAAAAAATAAAGATGTGGGTCCTACCTCTTTGTGAGAGTGAAATAATGTAAGTTGTGTCAATTAAAAGAATAAACATTTTTCCAATTATTATAAGACATAAATGCACCCAAAAATATATGCACCAAAAAACAAAAAAGAAAAAGATGAAGAAGAAGGGGAAATGCATGTAAAACAAAAAAAGGAAAATGCACATTACAGTTACAGATAAAGCGTAGCAGCGGCTACAAATGTTTGAGACACAAAAATTGATTTGTTAGCAAAACCTTTTCCTTTTCCTTTTCCCTCTCTCTCTCTCTCTCTCTCTCTCTAGCTTTCAGGTGAGACAACAAATTTCTCCGTTTCTTCACCACCTTTTTTGCTTCCAATTCCTCTTTTTTTTTTTTTTTTTTTTTTTTTCATGCAATTCACTTATATATGGTTTTGATTCTTTATATTTTAGTTATTGCTTTAGAACACTTGATTTGATTACAGTTATAATAACATCCTTATGAATATAGGTCATTTTTCTGTGTTTGCTAATTAGCCTGGTTATATCATATATCATATATCTCATGCCCTTCTTGTACTAATATATAAATATAAATTGAAATACATTATTACCAAGTCTGGTGATTCAGAAGTGAAACTGCAAAAATGTATATATATATATGTCTAATGTGATTTCTGACTGTAGGTGATACTGGTTGGAAGGTCTTGTTGTTTAGACTATCTATTAGATCAGATGTTCATGGTTCTCATGTCCTTTTTTTTCAGAATTTAATGGGTTATTACTTAATTCAGAGGCATTATGTTAGATTTTCTTGCTATTTTTGTTCAGGGATCCTAAAGATGGGACTAGCTCTGGGTTGTCTTCAAGTGGACCAGTCAACAGTAGCTATCAAAGAAGTTTTTGGGAAGTATGATGATGTGCTTGAACCTGGTTGCCACTTTGTGCCCTGGTTCTTTGGCAATCAAGTAGCTGGTTACCTTTCATTGCGTGTGCAGCAGCTAGATGTTCGTTGCGAAACCAAGACAAAGGTTTGCTTTTAAAAACTAAAATGCATATACGAGACAAAGATCTGTCTAACAATATATTTTAAGTATTAGCTTGTGTCTGTTCATTTTTTGCACAAAATGTTGCACATATATTTTCCTGATTTTCTTTGCTTATCTGATCTTGATATATCATATCCCATCAGGACAATGTTTTTGTCACTGTGGTTGCATCTATCCAATATCGAGCACTGGCAGAAAAGGCAGTGGATGCTTTTTACAAACTTAGCAATACCAGAGAACAGATTCAAGCCTATGTCTTTGATGGTGTGGATTTTGTGACCTAAACGCATATTAAAAATTGGATTCTTTGGATGCTTTATTAGGATGAGACTGATAAATTCCTATTGCTATTTCAGTTATCCGGGCATGTGTTCCAAAGATGGAACTAGATTCCTCTTTCGAGCAGAAAAATGAAATTGCAAAAGCTGTTGAGGAAGAACTTGAAAAGGTATTTCCGTATTCCTTTCTTTTTTTTTTTTGTGGACAACTAAAGGGTTAGCACTTAGCATCCATAATGTTTGGTTTTTTACTTGCTGTGCATACGAAGGCAATGTCTGCTTATGGGTATGAAATAGTTCAGACTCTTATTGTGGATATTGAACCAGATGAGCATGTGAAGAGAGCCATGAACGAGATAAATGCTGGTATGCTTTCTGTATTGGCATATTATTTTGGTTGAGCTCAAATTATTATTATTTTTATCTCTTTCAGTTTCATACTGTACATGGAAGAAATATTCATTTATAGGAAATTACGTGTCATTAAATTGATTATCTTACAAAAAGGTTATAATGCATACAGCAGATCAGCTAGCTGTCAGGAGAAAAAAAATGTGATAACAGCACCTAAACTTTAGTCTATAGAAAGAAAACTGCCGAATTATCAAACCCCTTAATCCTTGGGATTTTAATTTCAGATTCCGTTGCTCCCCTGAAGCTAGTGAATAGATGCCAATCACTCCCAACTAGCTAACGTTCGAATCAAATTCTAACGATGCTAACTTGGTTGGCACATAATGAAGGCTGAAAGTTCCATTTTCAATTTCCGATTTGATGAAAATTTTGTCAATCCTCACATGCTTCATCCATTGTGCTGAATAGGATTATGAACGATGCTAACAGGACCTTCAAGTGGAATAAATGGTCTTGTTGCAACCTAATAGTCCAAGGTTCACAAACTCCTTGAGCAATTGCCCTATATTCTGCCTCAGCTCTACTTCTCACAACAATAGTTTGTTTCTTGCTTCTACATGTCACTACATTGCCCCGCACTTTTGTACAATACCCAGTGGTTGATTTTGTGTCTTCTAATGAGCTCGTGCAATCAGCATTTGTGTAGCATTGACTATTACTCTAGAACAATAGTCTTTTGCCAGGAGTCCCTTTTAGGTAGTGAAGGATTTCATTAACAGTATCTATCTCTTAGTAGGAGAATGTATGAACGGACTCATAACACTAACCACTACCCATTAAACCTTGACTAGTGAGGGTGGGGTGAGGACAATCCTTATATGCAGCTTTACCCATACATATTTGCAAAGAGATTATTTCCTGGATTCGAACTCATGACCTTTCAGTCACGAAAGAGCAACTTTACCTTTACTCGAGGCTCACCTCCTTCTTGGACTCATAACCGTAAACAATTTCAGGTTTAGTGAGGAATAGGTAGGTCATCTTCCCTAATAAGTACGGGTAGGATTTCTTTGCCATAGGAGGATCTTCTCCGTGTTCTGCTTCAAATTTTCTGTCTATAGGATTTCCAGCAGCCTTGCACCTATGTTTTCTAGTCTCCTTCAGTAGATCAAGAGTATATTTCCTTTAGGATATAAAAATGCCTTTCTTGCTACTTGCTACTTTCTAATTCAATCCCAAGAAAGTATTCTAAGTGTCCAAGGTCTTTTACCTTAAATTCTGCCTGAAGCTGACTTTTCAGCCTTTCAATTCCTTTAGTGTCATCTCCAGTAACCACTCTATCATTTACATAGACAATAAGTACTACTTTCTTCCCATTTTCAACTTTTTTAACAAAGAGGGTATAATCTGTACGATGAACCAATTCAACCCAAAAGCTTAAGCTGTTGGGTGGGGCTATACTAATGGTTTTATATTTATCTAACATGCCCCCTCACACGAGAGCCCATTGGGCTTAAAGGGTAGATGATGCATCAGGTTCAGGTTACATGTGCTAAGAGACTCCACAATATTTAATTATTTTTATTAATAGAATGGAGGAAGGTGAGGATCGAACTTGTGACCACTTTGTCACGCCTGCTCTGATACCATGTAATGAACCAATTCAACCCAAAAGTTTAAGCTGTTGGGTGAGGCTACACTAATGGTTTTATATTTATCTAACAATCTGCACTGTTTGATAGTTGAGCTAAATATGGTGAACCAAGCTTCACCCCAAAGCGATATGCGGAAGTTAAGATAGCTTTACCCTAACGAATTTAGCACATGACTTGAAAACATTAGGGACCACAAGCAACATCTAGAATGTAGCCATTTTTTTTTTTCATTTAGCTATATCATTTTGCTATGGAGTTTAAACACAAGTGCTATTATGGAATATGCTATTCTCAACAAGGTAATTTGAAAGTTCATGAGAAAAATATTCTTTGCCATTCGAAGAATCTAATTAGGGGACAGAAACACATTTTGGACAAGTTTGTGAAATTGTTTAAATACGTTTCTGGTCTCAGATTTGTCTTTCATGAGATAGGTCCAACTTATGCATGTGATCAACTGATCATCAATAAATATAATGAAACATCTTGATCCAGTTAGATTAGGAATTTGGGCAGGACCCAATAGGTCACTATGATTGAGGTTAAAAGGTTTGATTTTTAATAAGAGTGCTCAGTATGATGTTTTTGAGATTGCTTTGCGCTAATATAAATTTCAAATTGGAAAGAGGAAACATCTTTATTCATAAATAACTTCGTATACAAGGACTTGAGATAATTGAAGCTAGGATGACCTAAATTTTTATGCCAAAACATTACATCAGAATCTGAAACAGTAGAGAAGGAAAACTTTGATTGTATTTGAGGTTTTGAAAATAGAGACCACTTGTTCCTCAGCATTACCATACATCATGCCCAAAGTCAAATCCACAACCAGTAGGAGGAAAAATGACTGCACAATTTTGATCTATGGATAGTTTGCTAACTGAAATTAAATTGTATTTCAAGTTGGGAACATCAATAACAGATTTCAAACTTAAGCCACATAAATTCAGATCACCAATTTCAGCAACAAGGGAAGAACTTCCATCTGCCACTGTAATTCTCATCTCACTATCACGCCTTTTATCGGAAGAAAACTAAGTCAGGTCCAGTCATGTGGTCTGAAGCTCCTGAATCAACAATCCAACCAGCAAAATTTTATAGTAGGAGTAGAAGTTGTAGGGGCAGAAGGTTCAGTTCTGATCTGACTGAATAAATTCTTGAGCATCTCCATTTGTTCAATGGTGAATGGAGAGCTATTTGGCTTATGTTGCTCCCTAGTAGTCTCTGCCACAAGGGAAGATGCGAAGTTATTGTGTTTCCTTTGACTATGAGGCTTACAATCCGAAGCTTTTCCGTGGATGTTGCAGCATGTTTCCTTGGTGTGTTAAGGATTTTGGCAAGGATAACCCCACAGTTTGTTATCTTTATAGCGTTGGCTCTTTGATAAAAACCTTGGGATGCACTACCCCAAAAGTTAGCTCAAAATGTGGGATATATTCAAGGCTTTATAAACCCCAAATTAGTTGCCTATACAACCAATATAGTACTCCAAATCCCATATCTTGCAAATGGGTCTTAACATTCAACCACGCTCTGCAGCCCCGACGCCCACGCGGGCTAGCTTTGCGTTAGTCTTTTACTAGCCCTAGGCGACACTGCAATGCCAGCGTTACCACCCGTGCCGCTCGATTGCAATTGGAAGACATAGTGGAAGGCTTTGATACCATTTGATAAGAACCTTGAGATGCACTACCCCAAAAGCTACCTCAAAGGGTGAGATTACCTAAGGCTTTATAAACCTCACATTAATTGCTCATACAATCAGTGTGGGACTCCAAGTCCCATATCTTGCAAATGGGTCCTAACACTCTTGTTGCTAGACTCTCCCCCGTTTAAGATTAAAGTACAGCCAAATTGGTGAGTTTCCTCCACAGTTGGACTTGTATTCAGCATCATTTTTCTTCTACTTTCTTCCCTCTTAACTTCAGCAAAAACTTCACTGATTGTAGGTAGCGGCTTATTTCCAAGGATACGACCCCTCACTTCATGAAGTTCTTTGTTATGTCCATGAGGGAAATAAAAAACTCTTTCCTTGTCACGCATTTGATTATATAGCAGGCTGTCTTTAGTACACTTCCACTTTATGGCGTAGAAAACATCCATCTCTTACCACAACTCAACCAATACATTATGGTATTCAGTAACAGACCTATTTCCTTGCCAAAGAGTATGTTGGATCTCAAAACATTGAGAAGAATTTTCAAAGTCTTGAGTACATTTCTTGGACTGTTTTCCAGATTTCATGAGTTGTGTTGAGAAAAAGGAGATTCGAACAATTTTAGGTTCCATAGAATTGGTCAACCATGCCATCAGAGTTCTCTGCTTCTTATGCCTTGTATGTCGAATCTGACAACGCTGGTGCAGAGGTGTCTCTAGTGAGATAGCCCATCTTCTCCCCTCCCTTTCATAACGAGGAAGGGTAATGGTTACCACTCTCGAAAATTTAACCCATTTAATTTATGCTGGGCTATTTGGAAGTAGTTAGACAAACTAGGCACTGGATTATGGTGCACCAGGGTGGTCTGTTGGAAATTCTGTGTGCGTGAGGCACCATCACACTTGGGTGTTTCAGGGGTATTCGGTCAATTCCAGCCATGAAAGAGTTCTGGCCTTGTCCCATGGTTATAGGAATAAGGAAAACAGAGGTGTCGAACACAATTTTCTGTTTTATTCTACAATATATAAACAGATTAACTAGCTGTTGGGAGAAAAATATATGATAACAACACCTAAACTTTAGTCCATAGACAGAAAACTCCCAAAAAATAGAAAAAGAAATAAATTTACAAATAATAATCCCATGATTTTGGGATTAATCAAATCCCTTAATTGTTGTTATTTTAATTTCAAATTCCTTCATAGACTTTAGAAGAAAATTGTATCAGTGACGATGTCCCCTAAACTTCACAGGCTTTATTGCAGATGAGAAACATCTTTAGATTAAGTCTTGTTTTGAGCAAAAACTTGTTTAACTTGACATTTTCTTCTATTTTTTCTTTACCCTGTGCTTTAATCATTGCAAATAGCTGCAAGAATGAGGTTGGCTGCAAATGAGAAAGCTGAAGCAGAGAAGATTCTGCAGATCAAGAGGGCAGAAGGAGATGCAGAATCGAAGTATCTAGCAGGACTTGGAATAGCTCGTCAACGTCAAGCCATAGTAGATGGTCTGAGGGACAGTGTGCTGGCTTTTGCGGAAAATGTCCCTGGGACAAGCTCAAAGGATGTCATGGACATGGTTCTGGTGACCCAATATTTTGACACGTTGAAGGATATTGGTGCATCCTCAAAATCCAATTCTGTTTTTGTTCCACACGGACCAGGTGCCGTCAGAGATATTGCTTCACAATTTAGAGATGGCCTTCTTCAGGGAAACATGTCTCGGTCTTGAAGTCGTATCACATTAGTAGAACTATTGGAGTTTATCTTCTAAACTTTATCGATATAAAATTTTTAATTTTGTCTATGGCTTTTGAGTTTTTTAACTAGTTTGGTTTGTTTGTATGCCCTTCCATACCCACTGTCTTTCTGTCCTTGTCGTATTCTTTTTAAAGTTGTGAATAGTCAAATATAGTACTGTTATTTTTTATTTGGAAATATAAATAATTGTGTGCTGAATTGCTTCACTTGTGGCTTGTGCTTTTGTTTGCAAAGATGTTAAGATATAAAGTTGTCCTTGACCTTGTCCTACTATCAGAATTAGTGATAGGATTAAGTCATGCCAGGGAACAGGTCCACTCAGAAGGTGAGAGGATTTTGCCCACAAAATCTTCAGATCATCTTGGCCAGGAAGATCATTGTTAAAACATTGTTATTCTGTTAAAAAAATGTTTCAAATTTCTTTAAGAAAAAAAAAGGGGTGAGAAAAACCCTAGAAAATGGAGAACTTGGTTTCATAAAGAGCAGGTTCATGAGTTCCTTTTGGTTCTCCACCTCTGGTCATGGTTCAGAGCACAAGTTATGCTTCCTTATCCCACAATGCCAATCGATAGTGTAAACACCTTCTATGTGCTTTTTAGTGCCTGTGTGTTATGTCATGCTTGACACGGGTTACTGACGAGAGTATTTGTTGGCACCTAGTGCAATGACAAGATATTGCTAATGAGAATAAATGTTGAAAAGCACAGGAAGAAGAGGTCATCATCAATTCATCATCATCACCACCACCACTTATTTTGGCAATTGGAAAACCACTAATACCTAGCTTCTTAAGATCATGGCTAGGTGTCAAAGATAGTAAATAAAAAAAAAATGGATGCATGGGGGAATTTTAGGAAATGGCATGAAAATTTAAAGGTGTTTGAATGCAAGATTTTTGCTATATTATGCTGTTATAAGCCATGATAGTAGCATGCCCCGCTCAAATATGTTTTATTGAGGAGAGGAAAAAGTTTCTGCACCTAATCTTCAGTTTTAAGAGTGCTTTGCTTTGGGTTCCTTAGGTTCTTCCCATTGGTGATTGAGCAATTTTTCCTCTGCCATTTCTGCAAGTGCCCATTTGTCCATTGCTGCAAGTATAAATTCCTACAAGATGTTTGATTTTGAGTTGTTTATTAAACAGAATTATGGTGATATGTTTATAACACAAAAATCATAATGATGCATGGGCTTTTCGGGTGTCTATGACGCATTTGTCATTTCGTTGTTTGATGTAACTTTGAAGAAGATAGAATACGGGCTTTGGGGTGAGTTATGTCACAAGAGTGAAGGGATTGGGCCTGAGGTGGTTTTCACTTTTCATAGTCACATATTTTAATTTCGTTTAGCATTGGAAGGAGTATCCCCAACTATTTTCTCTGATAAATGTTATTTTACCCTTTAAGTCTCAGCAGCTTATAGTGTAGTTTTGCTTTTGTTCCCTTAAAAATAGTGAAAAACAAAGGAGTTGAAATAATTTATTACACTTCCCCTTCAAAGGCAAAACCCTTAAATAAGCCATTACCCACCACGCAAACATCGAATTGGTATGTATGTTTAGTATCAAGTCTCCATTGTTTCTTTGTTTTCAAGGGATGAAACAGAGAAAATAACAGAAAAATAACACACTCATGGCTCATGGAATGTGATCAACCAACAGTTAAAATTAACACCCACTTAACACTTTGATGGTTAAGCAAAGTTGATGGAGGTTTAGTCACATAACAACTTTAGGAGGTAAATTGATAACAAGCATTAAAAAAGCTACAGACCAATGTGATTGTTAAACATACGTAATTATTAAAACTTATTCTTTGTCACATACAACAAGCATATCATAAAAACTTAGAAGGTAGTTATTATTTTACTTACGATAAATTGCACTATTTTTGTCTATCAAAAGAAAAAAATTGCACTATTTTTAAATCCAGACTTGCAAATTAAAAAAATTAATATTTGAGTTAAAAATTTAAGGTACAAATTAGTCACACCAAGTAATTTGTCCCACCAAGTGAATTGGTCACAATTTGATTAGTTCAACCAGCCTTTTAAAAAAAATCAATTTGAAATTTTAATTACAAAATGCATTTTTTTATTTCTAATTTATTTTCTGTATATAAAATAAAAAAATCCACTAAATTTAAAAATACAACCTGATATAGAGTCACCATTCAATAATTATTTATAAAATACAAATTTAATAAAATCTGATCATTAAATTATGGAATATTATTTTAAAAATAAATTACACGTTCACACAAATAACTACTTCAAAATAAAATTGAACAATGAAACATCAACCATTTTTCAAGTTAATTAAAGGTTTGTTAACTTAATGAGAACTTTTAATTTAGCAATTAAAGAAATTCAATGACCGTAAATAATTATTAAATTGTATAAATGTCATACTTGCTCCTGAAGCAAGTAAATACAACACCCCCCCCCCCCCCCCCCCCCCCCTTCCTGCTCCTCTCCAAATGTCAATAAAAACTAGATATTCACATTCGAACAAAATCCAAAAAAAAAAAAAACTAAACATATTGCAGTAACTCTCACCTTCCATGTTCAAAATCTTACTCAAATGTGCATCAATCAATGACGTTCGGATGAATCTGTTGAATAAATACAAATTTAAAATTTGTTTGTGCTTTATTAATTTTACACCCCACGCCCCCCAAGATAGAAGAAATTAATAGCTCCAAAATGAAGGACCAAAGGTTCATTCGGAAAGTCAAACCCTACCACTAAACTTATTGCCTCCACCACAAGAGGCGCGGCCTATATCACTCACAAAATCACCAAGTTTAAGGCTTTAAGGCCACTGCAAGACCAACCTTTGCACTCTTTTCAATGGCCCCAGTATCCACCTCACTGACGATAGACACACGGGTTCTTGGATTCCAATCATGCTGGATCAGAGCACTTGCCCTGCCATAGTTATTCACCCGAGCTTTCAACAAGGTTATGGGGTCAAGTGCATGCTGTGTGCCAATAGTGAGCATATTTTCGTTGCTAGAAAAGCTATGCGAAAGCTCCGCACCAACAGCAGTGTTAGTCAGCGGGCTTACAATGTGGTAATACGAGGCATTAAGAGTGTCACCTTTATCATTTCTACATTAATAAAAAAAAGGAACAAATAAATCAGGAGATCAATTCAAGTTGTATAAGAATATGAATAACACTCTAAAATGGTAGGCACAAATAACTACATAACCTCCCAATAAATACTTACATAGTTAGAGACGCAATAAGGTCAGCATGAGTAAGGTTCAGCCCTGCATTGTATTTGACAAAGTTGCCAGAGGCAGTATCAAATGAAAGATCAGTCCCAACAGCGACCAAATTATTTCCAACCACACCAGAGAAGTTAACAATAGGACTTGCTGTCAATCCAATGCTGGTGCTGATTCCAGCATACTCATGCTGGTACTGGAGTTCCACCTATTAAACACCACAGAGAGAATGAATATCATCATCATTCAGGACACTTGAAAAATTATTGTTGACATTAAGTGAATACAAGAAACCTATAATAAAGTAACAATTTACAAGATAGGACACAGGTAAATTCTTATTACCTTGCCAGATTTCTGATCTGGAAAAATGAAGCTAAAAATTGACTTGAGTCCAGGTGCAGGTTCATCCACAGTAATGGTCGTAAGTAGCTGAAAGGTATTCAGTCAGACAAAAGACATGTAGCATGAGCTGTAACTAATCATCAGGTATTTTGTTGTATGAGGCTTGCGTACACAATAGTCAATTAAATTATAAAGGCTGCTAAGATTCCTAATGATCATTCCCAGCCAGCCACAGAAAATAACTCTCATTATAAAAAATTTGCAAACCAAAAAATAAATAAATAAAGGGAGTAACCAGTTACATATCACAGGTAACAGACCTCAGGCAAAAACATAGTTGTCAGCTAAAAATAAAAACTAAGAATATACATTAGATAAATCAATAGAAATCATTGCAATTAATTTTACTATTGCAAAATGGCTCGAGTGTTACGAGTAAAATTATCACAGGTTGAAATTTCGACTCACATTTGAGTTAGTGTCCACTTTGACATCCGTTGTGATGTTCTTGTTCTTAATCTTAGTGCTAACATCGGCCAAATATACCTCGCCCTTCCTCACTCCAGTTGAAGTGATTTCCTGAATATAGAAACCAGTTGAAACTGTCAGAACACTGATAACTCAGCTCTTACAATAAACCAATGAATCCAGAATTCAAGCTAACTAACAACAATCGCCATTACAGTGAAATGAAAAACTTCAACTAGTTTCTTGAATCATTTCCGAATTCATATCAATTATTACAAAATAATCAGCAGAGTTTCCAACTCCAACTGTCCAACATTTAAATTGCGCTGTCAGATAGGGTTTCCATCATCTTGACAAAATAAATTAAAAAAAAAAGAGAGGAAAAAGAAAAAGTAGACATGCAATAAAACTTAGAAAATGACGAAAATCACAAAATTAAAAATTAAAAAAAAAATCAACAAAATAAATTTTCCATAATCAAAGTTCAAAAAAAATTCTAATGCAGAGGCAAATAGTCTTGTTGAAATTTATAAAAAAAAATAAACAAAGGAACTTACCACTCCAGTAGAAGTGTAAGTGGTGATGGTGAACTTGTGGTCATTCTGATAATCCTTGAACAGAAGATCTGAATTGCGATTTTCAGTGAAGGTGAAATTTTCATGGAGATTGATACATGAAGAAGAAAATTAAACGAAAACTGAATAAGCTGAATGATTCAAAATGAAAAAAAAAAAAGAACAAATCGGTCACCTCGAGCTCTCTTGCCGATGTCGGAGTAGAGACCTGGACCTTTCACCATGATTTTCCCGGGAAAATTGAAGCGGAAAATGCGAGAAAATAAAGGTAGGAGAAGAAGAGGGAAAATGTGTGGAATTGTTGGCAGAAGAGCAAAAGAGAAACCCTAATATCTGGGACGGTGAGGATGAAGCACAACCGTTAGATGGAAATATGGAATCGTGAGCGTTGATTTAGAATATGAGAATGAGTTGCCCCGAGAATCGGGACAATGTGTTGATCTGTGGCATATTCCCTCTCCAATTTGGATTCTCTTTTTCTTTGTCATTTGATGAGTTGTTCACGTACGTGTAATAACATGAGCGACATGGATATTATTATTATTATTATTTATTTTTTATCAAAGTCTAAAAGGAAATATTTTATATTTTATATTTTATAAAAGGTTTTATAAAATATAAATGTAGTTGCACCGAACAAACACCAGTTATTAATTAATGAGACTTGATTCTTCTACACCGATTATTACATGTTTTATATTTAAATTTAGTTTTTATTTGTAGGCTGCATGTAATTTCACTAAATTTTTTATATGTTTACCGAATTTATTATATCTTAATAAACCATATCAAGTTTATTAATCGTAGTTGTAAAGTAGTCTTAAGGGACTCCGAAAGAATATTATATAAATAAAATAAAAGTTGGAAGTCTCGCCCAACAATTTCTTCTTTTATTACTGGGGTCTGGGGCTGCTCATTTTGGAAAAGACATCTTCTGATTGAAAATAATTATTGAAAGCGAAAACAATTTATCTTGACATAATTTATCTCATTTTACTTTTATAAAGAGGTAGAACCCACATTTTTATTTTTTTTTATTTATCTTTTTTCTATTTTAAAATAACACAATTTTACATTTTTTAAAATGACACACATTTTTTCCTTAATTAAAAAGTCATTTCTTATATTATTAATGACTTGCATAGAGTTTCCTTGTTGAGGATTATTAGTGTTAGTTAAGTCTAACCTTCGTGATGGGCCAATAGATAGGCCCAGAAGCAGGTGATAGATATCCATGGTGAATTGATTCAGTGTTGATATTTGGACCAAACCAGGCAACGAGCTATCGAAGATCTGTTTGGAGCACCTGATAAAGAAGATAAAATAGGATAATTTATCATATCTTACTTTTATTTCTTGTTTGGTGAGTCAATAAGATATGATTAGTTTATCCTATTGTCTTATTTTATCCTATCCAATACATGATTTCTTATTTTATTTTGTTTTTTGTTTTTCCTTTCTCTTTCTATATAATCTTATCAGATTACTAATCAGGTGCTCATCAAATACAGGACATGATATCAGCTTATCAGCCTCATATCATATCTTACCATTATCTTATCATCGTATCCACCAAACAAGCCCTATAATCTTTTCAACATATTTTGTTTTGTTTATTTATTTGGTAAGATAATATTGGCAAAATGTAAACAACACACAAAAAACACATGGGTAAGATAATAATAGTATTATTAATACCTGGTAATGTTAAATTTGTTTCATCCAAAAGAATCTTATCCAAAAATACAAAACACATGGGTTTTATTTTATTTTTTTAAACCAAAACACACCGTTTTCTTTCAAAGCCAACCCTCCTGGACAAAACAAGTCTATTTCGTCTCATTTGTTCCCTTTTATTCTTCCCCCAAATTTTTCAAAAAGTACTTCATATACTACCAGGAAAGTCTTATTTAATAGTTACTGTTCGACAAAAACAAGTCTACTACTTCGTCTCATTTGTTCCTTCTTTTATCTTCAAAATTTTCAAAAAGTTCTCCACATGCAAAACAAGAAAGTTATTAGTTACAGTTCTCTCTTAAGAATCTGCTTGTGACAATTGATTCAATCCCTAGTAAAGGAATAATTTTTCGTTTTTGGAATTTTTTAAGTGAGTCAAAAAACAATGATTATCAGCTTTATTGAAACGATCGGTTTAATAAATTTGTTACATGGATTTAGACAATATTTGTAGTTTTAAATTTTATATCCATGTCTTAATTAAAACAAATACACAACGTTAACTAGGCATAAGTGGATAAATTAGTCCCTTTTAAAATCAAGGACTGATGAAATGAGATATAAATTTCTTTTATGGAATACAAGTTCCATTGTTATCGATAATGGATGCTGATCGTTTTACAATAAAGATAGCAAAAAATATCACCTCTAAAAAAAATATAGGAATAAATAAACTAATCGTATCGTACTGACGGAACCTAACTGAATTATGTTATTAAACTTATATTAACTTCACATACTCAAAACAAAAAAGTTGTTGATAGGTGTTTATATAAAATACCACTTCTTTTATCCAAAATAAAAAATATCAATTTTCGTGTAGTCTAATTTGATATTTTTTTACCATTATGAGTAAGTTTACCTTATTTTAATATGAGATTTGTTTTTCTCGTGTTACATGAGAAAATAAATTTTTCTTACACACACCATAAAAAAATGTGTCACTTTTTTTTTTTTTTTTTTGTTAAATAAGTGAATCTTACACTTGATGTATCTATGATATGAGGTTAGGATTTTTCTATAACGTAAATTTTATTTTCCCCTTTTAATATATGCACAAGAAAATGGTATTGATGAGGGACTTTTGGGTCTGTAGACAGAATTTGTTGGGGAGAAGAGCACACCAAAGATGACCTTTTTTTTTTTACCATTTTAACAAAAAATAAATGAAATATGGGTTTGATATTTGTTATTTTAAATGACATAAGTTATGTCATTTTAAGAGAGAGATAGACACAGAAAATATAAATCATTAGGAGAGAGAAAGTGGGTGATTTTTAATTTAAAATTTAAATAAAAAAATTTATTTTGTGTCTACCTCTATCTTAAAATGACATAACTTTATGTCATTTAAAATGATAAACACTTTTTCCACAAAATATATGTTAAAAAATTATTTTATTATATTGTAAGAAAATAATTATCTCATGTTATAAAAATAAAACTATAAATAAGATCTATAGATAAAGAGAAAGATGAGATCTACCCAATTTTATGCCTGTAAAAAATTTATTTCACTGGTCCAAAATGTTCATGGAAATTTTATTCCCATTGTCTTATCAATAAGGGGGTGTTTGGTTCAAGTTTTTGGAGAGGATTACTGGTAATCTTTCTTTGGTAAATGTAATTACCACGTTTGGTAGAAGGAATAAATTACGATTCCCGGATATCCAAGGATTACCGGTAATTTGATTTATAAAGAAAAGTCACTATTCAGATTATCAAAAATAATATGGTAATTCGGAATACCAATCAGAATACCAAGTAAAGGGAAAGCACAACAATAAATTTTGAGACAAAAATACTCCAATACACATAAAAATCTAGACCCAATCTATCAACTACAAAAGTAAAAATAGTTTGGGGTTATTTTTGTAAAATAACCTCATATTCCAAGTCATATTTCGTTCTAAACCAAATATGGAATCAGTAATTTTTACCCAATATTTCCGGTAATATTTTGGCGAACCAAACACATCTTTCGTAGATTCCAAGTAAACTCAATTTCTACTGAATTCCCATTAATCATGATTCCCGGTCACCAAAAAATTTCTCGTGTACCAAACACACCCTAAGGGTAGTGGGATCATGGTGTCAGATGGCAACGTTCTGCCAGTCTTGTTGGGGCAGTCAAAAAGAAATTGATGGGATGAACGGTCAAAGATTTTATTAAATGGTAGCCATGGTCTCAGTATATGCCAGCATACTTTAGCCTTCAGGTAAAAAATAATATATTGTTTAGCATTGTTTATTTTTTGAATAGGAAAGTTATGTCACGATTAATTTAACTACTTTCTCATAAAACTACGAAAATTATAGCAATAATCATGTGAATAATCAATTGTCATTTTACTAACAAAACTTTAACAATTTCATATAACATTAAAGATATGATAAATCTCCACGAAAAAAAAAGATTTGATAAATACATGAACTCATAAATAATATAAATACATTCAAAATTAAAATTAAACTCTTTTGGAAAGGAATAAATTTATATTCATATAAGAATAAGAATTCTTGAACCTTTATTAATATTTAATTTTATTTATATCTAATAAGTCTAATATATTGAAGATGAGAGTTATGTAAACCGTCATATACAAACAGAACTAACGATTAATAATAAATACAAGAGTTTTTAAATTTACACGAATATAAATTATTCTCCACAACTCCTAAACAAATTTTCTAACATGTAATAAGCTCTCGAGAAGTAGGTCACGAATTCATTGAAAAAAAATGTTATGTGAAGCTAATTTTTATAAGGGAACATAAGAGCCATATTATGAATTTTAAGGAAACAAAGATGTTGTTCGGAGTTAAAGATTTGTTCTTCTTGGAGTTGTGAGAGACAAGGAAAAGCCTCAGCATAAAATATGCTAGTATGTGTTGAACACTGGGTCAATCAGTCACAATTTTGTGGGTTGAGTTATACTGCCTCTCATGGAAATGGATAAAAAAAAACATGATATGATCACGTGGAAATATCACAATCATACAAATGTAAATTAACGGTTATGATTTCGTAACTATTTATTTTAATATTTTTTTCTCTCTTCCTTTATTATCATTGATCTACCTTTGTATGATTATGATTCTCCACATGATATGTTTATGTGAATTTTCACATGAAAAGATCCAGATCTCTGCCTCATATATAGGTGGGTTAAAGTGAGTTGGACGGAGGAATGGGAAGGAAATAATAGCGCGGGAGAAGAAATATTTTTATTACAATAAGCTAATAGGAGTGCGTTATATCAGCTCAAATAATTTTTGAAGAGAGAAAAAATAATTTTTAATATTTTACCTATATACTACCGATAATATATAGTATAAATATTATCGTCACATCCAAAAATAAATACAAGGGTGGTATTGAAAGTTTTCTTGGTGGGGATCAACACTTTTTTTATTTGATATTGTTGGTTCCAAATGAATTCACCAGGAAGGTATATTGAGTTTATAAAATCAATGCTAGTAACAAATTTTACTAATAAAAAAATATTAAAGAGATAACAACGCGATTACATGGGAAAAATTCTAAGAGGATGTAAAAAACCCAAAATCCCAATTCGGATATCTTTATCCAATTGGATGATAAGTTCAGAGCCAAGCTCAATTTAAAGTATAAAAATATAACATATTATCCTTTTATATAATAATTCACCCAAACTTATCTCTAGATTTAGGTACCAAGTAAATTGTGTCCCAATTGTCAAATTCATGACAATTGCAATATACAGTTTCAACTTAACTCTAAGTCAAAAATATTTTTCTAAATAAAATAGATTTGATTGTTTACAATATAGAATCAAAATTGATTTCAATTCGTTTCAATTGATTTTCAATCTTATTCTTTTTCAATTCGATTTCAATTCAATCCCTAAATATTTTGGCAATCAGAGACAAAGAAGAGGGATCAAAATCATATTAATCCTTCAACAAATTAACCTATTTGTCATTTCAAAAACTAAATAAAGTGTTAGATGACTTGATTTCGCTTGTTTGCTGTCATCCAAACTGCACAATATATGATACCCAACAGATTTGTCATTTTCATAGATATCTCATTGTTTATTCATCAACATATTCACGACTTTGGTGCCATATATATTATATAATACATGTTTGATTTTATATTTGATTATGTTATAGTTTTGTTGCAAAATTACAATATCTATGCGCGTCTTCAATGGTCATTCATTGCCATTATAGTTGAAGGTCAAAATGAACAAAACCAAAAGACTCACACTTCCATAAAAAAATACTATCATTAAAGTAATTTTTTAATAATAATACCAGTATAAAGTTACACAGTGACACATATATTTAGGGGTATAAATGAGTCAGGCAGCCTAACAGGGGCAGCATAACAAGGGTAGCCTACATCCAGGTCAGCCTCGACCTATTACATACAGTCAAATAAAATAGGTTCAAGCTTTTAAAAAAGCTTATTTAGAAAGCATGTCATATGCTTTGTTTACATGTCAGGTCTATAAATCTTCAGGCCAACTTATATCTTATTATTTATTTTAATGATTTTGAATAATAAAAGTAATATTATTTTAAATATTGAATGTCTAATAGACTTAAACAGGCTAACATACCTAGACCAAGACTTTTGTTTTTAAATATAGGTCACACCAGACTTATAATTTGAGATTACACAAGGTTAAAAGATCAAACCAGGCCTAAAGTATTTTACACAGAACTGACTTATTTAAGCCATTCAAGCCCATTTACACTCCTACACACATCTCTCTTAATCACACAAGTCATTAGATAATGTGATAATTTTAATATAATTTTTTTAATATTAATTTACTCATCGATAAAATAATAAAATTTTTAAGTTGATATTTTCAACATATAAATAACCCGCCGGTGGCGGAGCCAGAAATTTATACTAAGGGCTAAAATAAAGTGGTTACTCTCTTGTAGATCTGCCTATGCTTCTCCGGCACTCTGTGAGTGTCAATATTTTCCACATCAAATAGAGCTTTAAGCCTCTCTAAAACAACTATTTCTGATTTGGGTCCATATCTTTCTAATTTGAGTAAAGAAGTATTTACTACAGGAGTGGTGAAAATTTTCTCAATACCCATTTGAGCAAACACTTATCTACAAGCAGAAAGAACAAAAGATCATCACAAAACCATAAAAAGAACCATTATCTCGTTGAAACGCAAACTTGCAAAACTAAATAAAACATTTCTGGGTATTTTTTTTTTTTTTTTTAATTTCAACGGGTAAAAGCATAGATAACAATAAAAATATAAACTAGAAGACTGAAGAGCAATTGTAACCATCGGCGGCAACAAGACTAGCAGATTTACTACTACATGACAACATCCCCAAGCAAATCTCAATAACATTAACCATAGAAAGCATCAAGAAAAGGAAACACATGACAGATCCAATAGCATATCCCAACATTCCAAACCTAAGACTAAGTGCCTTGATATTGGTGTGTGCTCTGAAAGCCTCATCCACGTCCTTGCTGTTTAACAAGTTGAGTGTGAGCTTCAATCCTTGCGCCATCAACGAAGAGAAGAGGAAGAAGTTGAAGGAGACAATCTCAAATTTTTTAGGTATTGTTTGACTCGGGAGAATTTTTTTTTTAATACGGAAATGTAATTGACAGGGAAATGGTTGAAAAATGAGTTTGGTAGGAAAATGTAAAAAAAGTTATTTGGTTGACCCAAATATTATCAGAGAAATTTATTTAAATATGCAAAATCTATTTCCGGAAGAAACTTTGCACCTATTTTTTCACTTCTCCATTTATCTCAAAATACCACATCTCAAGTGGTATTCTGTAACAGTGAATTTCATCCAAAAATCAACATAAAAGTCATTTTCCCATCTATCTTATTTGCCTGGTATTTCTTGAAAAAACTTGAACTAAACGTGATACTTTTCAATATTCACTTACACTTTCCCATCAATCCCAAAATAAACCAACAACCAAACACTACCTTGGGAGGTGTTTGGTAGGAGCTTTTGATTTTTTTTTCCATGCAACTTGAAGTGTGTTTTCTATTTCACTGTGTTTGGTAGGAGATTTAATAAAATTTAGATAGGAGAATGCTTTACCCATCCATCTCATTTTGTTTGCAAAATTTCTTTCAAAACACTGTTCCAGAAACCCATATTGATGGTAGTATTTTGGGTTTGATGGGGAAAAAAAATTTGAGCATGAAATTGTTGACTAAATTGTTACTGTGTATATTGTTGAAAGTGTATTTTTAACCAAATTTTTCTGGTAATATTTTTACCTTCCAAACAACTTTTTTTATATTTTTCTACCAAAATCATTTTCACACCATATGCCTAGTAATTGTATTTTCCTGATAACAGAAAATTTTCTCCTCTATCAAACACCCCCTTAAAGTTTTTTTTGGGGGGGATTATAACCACCTGTTTCGTTTTTTAGAGGATGGAAACAAAAGGAGCATACTTTTAGTGATCCAGATTACTGGAGATGAAAATATAAATAAAAAAAGAAAAAAAGTATTTTTTTTCCCCCACATTTGAAAAAGGGACCACTAAAAATATTCTCAGATGAAAGGATTAATTTCATAGGCAAGTACAGGTGTCTGATCAAAAACCATAATGATCCCAAAATGGTAACACTTTTCATTCTTTTTTTGTTAAGGGAAAGACAAACGAATCAAGTATTCAGTATGATTTGCCGCATGTGTAATTCATGAAGTGCACTGACATTGAATGTTGATATACTGATCTAATTTAATGTAAAATAAAAATTTGAATACCAGGGGAAAATAAAAAGTTTAATTGAATTAGATTAGTTTTTAATTTTAATTTTAAAAATTGATATAATTTAAATTTAATTATATTTATATGTATAGATACTACAATTTTATTATGAAATTATGGTACTTTATATTTATTCTCTTATTTTTTATCGAACAAAAATTAGTAATTAATCATTCATTAATATGTGGTTAATTCAACTTTATGTTAAAACTGTTATAATTATTATGAAATATAATTAAGAGATAAATTATTTTACCTATCTTATTTTCATACCTACTTTATTCATTATTCTCCAATAACATTAAATCAGTTCTTAACTCTCTCCTCTCGAGACCCTAATTTAATAGTATTAAAGAGTAGTGAGTAAGATAGACATAAAAAAATATAAATAAACTAATCTATCCCTATAAATAATTATAGTATTTTTTTTATTTTGACAAAGACGATTAAACCGTGACCCATATGGAGTGTAATCTAAAATTTGCTTAATTAAGTTATCAAAAAAAAAAAAAAAAAATTTGCTTAATTAAGTAATAATTTTATTTGAATTTGTATATATCTAACAATGATTAATATGGGTAGTTGAAGGGAACGAAATTAGAACGAAAGAAGAGAATTAGGGAGGATATTTAGACATTATGAAATATACTTGAATTATTTTCTTCTTCTCTTTTTATGTGTTGATTGAACTAACAATTTATAGAATTATAACTTCAACAAAGATAAGAAAATCCTAATTTAAATTTAAAACTAATAACACTTACATGATAACAATTAATAAGACAATTTAAACAATTAACATAAATATAAACTAATCTAATAAGAAATAATTAGGATAATGCGATCATGATAAATCTTGATTACTATAGTAACAATATAAGGCTAACTCATAGGCATATGACCAAAAAAAGTATTTGTTAGGCAAAAATTAACTTTATTAAATAAGAAAATTTCATAATGAGTTTATTTATTTAGGCAAGGCTATAGATAACAACAATATCAATCCTTTGGTGTTAAAGGCAATGCAAACCCATAACATAAATAATCTCACGGAATGTTACTCTCATTTTATATTAGAGTAATTTTCTCATATTATATAGAGAAGTCACGTGAAGCTCATTATTAAAAAATAAAAAAGAAAAAATAGATAAAATAATCGAAATGGAATAACATAAGATAATTATATTATATAAAATGAGAATAATATTTTTCATAGTACTTTTATATAAAAAAAATGAGTATATTTTGTTAGGGATTTTTTTTTTTTTTAGAAAATTGTCAACAGTGCTTTACTAGCAAAACAAGAAAAGTTATTATCTCATCCATCCCGAGACGAAAATCATTGGAAGTAACATACAATTTTTATTTTATTTTTTATTTGTAAGGAATCTAAAGAATTTTAAAAAAAATCCTGTCCACGTTTACAAGTATGTGCAAGCTAAGAGAGGTGGTGTCTGTTGTGTCGCTGCAACATCTTCCTTAACATTTCCTTGCAAAAGGAGCCACCATACCATGATCTTCTCCACCACCGTTTCCTTAGAGCCACTCTTCAACTTTTGCCATTCTCGCAGAGAAGCTTCCATTCACCGTTCCAAGCCAAAGCCATTGTTCCCGCCTTTCTCTCTCAGTTCCTCTTCCAACACCATCAAAAACTATGCCTCTTGGAACTTCTGCTATTCCCGGCCACACCACAGGTTCCACACTCCAAAGTTTGAAGCTTTTGCAACGAAAACAGATACCCTCGAGTCTCTTCAATCCTCTGATGTCCTCTTCAACCGGACTTTCCCCATCAACCGAACTGAACTGGTCTCTCACCTTTGCCATAACACTTTTTTTTTTTTTTTTTATTGAACATTGTTTTGTTTGTTGAGAAAGTTCTGAGAAAACCCAGAAGAAAAAAATTTAATTTTTCAGAGGAAACAGTGAAGAAGAAGTTAAAGGGTATTAGAATTTTGCTTTTAACATTTTTCTCCGCGGAGAGTAAAAGGGGTATAATTTTGGATCAGCTCAATCAGCTTGGTTGTTATTACTGTTATTTGTTTTTTTGGGTCATCGCGTTTTCTTTTGATTTTCTGAGCAATCAAACAGAATGGTGTTACTGTAAAAGTATCTAGTGAGTTTAATGTTTGCACTTCCAAAAAAGGAAATTACCAGTACATAAAAAGGCAAAAGGTTTTTTTTTTTCTTTACCTTTTTCTCTTTGTTTTTTCATTGACTAGACATAGTTTGGTGTTTGGCGTTGATGGGATTGTTGTCATAATTGAAATGGAATCTGCAGGTGGAGGGAAAGATCTTTGTAAGATTAGATCAGGGGAAGGATTTGAGAAATTGGGAGCTTACAGTGGGTTGCAATCTACCGGGAAAATGGATTCTTCACTGGGGAGTTTCCCATGTGGATGATGTTGGAAGGTACGTCATGTTTAACAAGGTGTTTGAATTTGCTTTCATTATAATTTTGAGATATCTGGTTATTGTACTTTATTTGAAATCATTGTAAGAGAAAAATCTTAATCTTAATGATCCAATAAAGATATATGATGATGATGATGTAAGCTTGATTCTGCAGTGAATGGGATCAACCTCCTCGTGATATGATACCCCCTGGATCTATTCCTATAAAGGTAGACATTGGCTTCATGATTCATGATCTCTCATATGGCAAATGTTCATTATTGCCATGCAGAAAGTTTGAGTGTGAAGTGAAAATTTCAGGACTATGCAATAGAGACACCTTTGAAGAAATCATGGTCATCTGCTGAAGGAGACACTCTTCATGAAGTCAAGATTGATCTTAAACCCAGCAATGAAATTTCAGCAGTTAATTTTGTTCTCAAGGTTTATTTTCTTTCAGTTAGCAGCTGGAGATGTTAGTTACTACTTACTAGTGTTAGAAATGTAATTGTCAAGTACCCCCACCCCCCAAATTTCTTTATTTCTTGCTTCTTTCCAATATGGGTGGTCCTGTTGATGTAGGATGAGGATACTGGTGCTTGGTATCAACACAAAGGAAGAGATTTCAAGGTTCCTCTGGTCAACTCCCTCAAGGATGATGCTAATATTATTGGACCTAAAAAGAGCTTTAGTTTATGGCCAGGTTTTTTTGAAATCATTATGCATTGTGATTTTTTTGCTTCTTCAATGAATTCTTATTTTATCTCTCTTAAATTTGTGCATGTCATGGCTTTATTTTTATTTTTTTTAGAGAGTCAAATAAATAATAATCCTATGATAAATTATAGCACGTAGTTTCAACTAGTTCCTGTTTGTTATATCACCTTCAAGTTTTATAAATGAAGATACTTTTTCTTAAGATGCTTATAGATGATAAACAATAGAGTGGACAGCCATTGAGAATATTACAGCAAAGAAAAGAGAAAGGAGAAGAGAATGTTTGCCATTTGATGTGTATCTCAGTGCTGTGTAGTATTTTCCATTTTAACATAGGGAAAAGTAACAATTTGGTTGATCACAATTTTGTCAGAAGAATGAAACTTGATTATATCCTAACGTCATCCTGTACAAAATTTTGGTATGGGGAGCCAGTTATCTACTTAATTTTCAAAAGATGATTAGTTGTGCTTATAATATGCGTTAGGGATACTTCTTTTCTTTTTATTTTAATTTTGTTATCCTTTTAGATATGTCCTCACACCATATTTTTTGTGAACTTGAGCTGAGACACGTTTCATGGTTTTTACTCACTCACAGAGGCCTTGGGGCGGATATCTAACATTCTCCTCAAGTCGGAAGGAACAGATGACAAAGTTCAAGATAACAACAGTGAATCCAGAGGTCCAAAACAGGAAAATAGTCAACTAGAAGGTTTCTATGTAGAACTGCCTATTACCAAGGAAGTTACTGTCAATAACTCTATCAGTGTCTCCATTAGGAAATGCTCTGAGACAGCTAAAAATCTTTTATATTTAGAAACGGATATAACTGGAGATATTCTCCTTCACTGGGGAGTTTGCAGGGATGATTTGAGAATGTGGGAAGTTCCCCCAGCTCCTCATCCACCAAAAACAGTAGCATTTAAAGACAGAGCTTTGAGAACTCAATTACAGGTAGAAATCTGACAAATTGTCCCTCTTTTGTTTTTTATGTTTTAGCGCTTGTTTAGGTTAATAAATATATTTCAATACTATTGCTCCATTGGTGATGTTCTTGTCTTTGACAAATTCAAGGAAGATGTTCCTATACTTATATACTTGCATAAGATCTCAAACCTGATTTTTCCATCGTTTTCTAAATTATAATAAATAAATCACTTAATATGGTTTTGTCTTATCAGACTATAAAAATTAAGACTGTATCTTTGTGTCAATATCTCAAGGATTAACCTTGTGTTCTTGTCTTTCCTTTAGTTAGGTGTGGGTGTTCTCTTAAAGTCAAATCTATGTACTTTTTTTATTTAAGGTTTCTTAACCATTCTTTTGACGATTTAATCCACTGAATGTTCAAAGTTTTATATCTAAATAATTCCAGAAACTCGGTGCATTTTACCCTCCAGCCAGCACTTTTATATAACTGCATTTCTTTTATAAATACTGCTGTAAGTTTATATGAGTTGATGAATATATTTGGATCATGATTGAAATATTGAATACATAATATTCAATCAACCTGCAGTCAAGAGACAGTGGATCAGGAAGTTCAGTACAAATCTCCTTGGGAGAAGAATTTTCAGGATTTCTTTTTGTTCTTAAGCTAAATGAAAATACATGGCTAAATTTCATGGGAAATGACTTCTACATCCCTCTCCCAAGTTCTAGTAGTGCAATTATTGGCAATAGAGAGGATCAATCAGAAGGTGTGCAGAGGGAAGTGACTGAAAAAGCAGATCAAGAGGAATCTGTCTCTGCATTTACTGATGGAATAATCAATGAGATAAGGCATTTGGTGACAGACATTTCCTCCGAGAAAAGTCGAAAGACGAAATCCAAAGAAGCACAGGAAATCATTCTTCAAGAAATCGAAAGACTTGCTGCTGAAGCATATAGTATCTTCAGAAGCTCCGTTCCAACTTTCTCTGAGGAAACTGTTGCGGCATTTGAGGCTGCTGTGGTATCTGAGGCTGCTGTGGAATCTGAGCCTGCCATGGAATCTGACCCTGCTGTGGAATCCAAGAAAGTGGTGTTGCCTTACTCGCCTCCAAAAGTATCCTCAGGAACAGGCACTGGGTATGAAATATTATGCCAAGGATTCAACTGGGAATCTCATAAGTCTGGAAGATGGTACATGGAGCTTAAAGAGAAAGCTGCAGAACTAGCGTCATTTGGCTTCACAGTCATTTGGTTACCACCACCTACAGATTCTGTTTCGCCTGAAGGATACATGCCAAGGGATTTATATAATTTAAATTCCAGGTACTTGATTAAAATCCTTTTAAAGGTCTAGTTATTTCAAAGTTGCTGATGGCAGTTATCTTTAAGTATTTAGATAGCAGGCCCAGTGTTAAGAAAATTGCTTTCACTCAAAAGCATTTGCCAGATGCTGCACCTTCAAATATTATCATCACTGATTCACTTGAGTGGCAGGAAATATTCTTTGATGTGCTGATTTATATAATGCTTGAGAAAAAGATGAATAAAACTTTGTCTCAGGATAGAAAATAATCACATATCTCCATGAAAAGGAAACTTTTGATATGAACTGTTATATCTTTTATTTAATATATCAGATATGGAACCTTTGATGAACTGAAGGATGTGGTGAAAAGATTTCATGAAGCGGGAATCAAAGTGCTTGGAGATGTCGTTTTAAATCACCGCTGTGCCCAGTTTAAGAATCAGAATGGTATTTGGAACATATTTGGAGGTCGTCTCAACTGGGATGATCGCGCAGTTGTAGCTGATGATCCACATTTTCAGGTTTATTTGTGAGAGTTTTAGATATGTACTTTGTTCTTTACTCTTTACACACTATTAATAATCATACTAAAAAGAATCAGATATATCTTTTCTATTTTCTCTATATTCTCAGCTACTTGTCTAGTTTCTTTATTCGGTTGAAGAACAATGCCTTTCACTTATGTTTTTCCCCCTACTATTAGGCTAGTCAATTTTCTATTCCGAGAATGAGAACCATTGATAATTGATATCAACACTCATAACATGTTTCTAGGAAAGAAGATATAAGTGCTTTGTTTGCTGTTTCCTAGTAAAGTTGGGTACATTTGAAAACTACAGATTGAAGTGTAATAGTTTTTTATTTATATCTTATTTAACCCCCAGCATATCATTCTATTGTTTATGTTTTTAAACTACTTTGTGATTACTTGTAATTATATCTTATACTACTTTGTGCTTGTTTTCAATTTTATTTCATTGATTGAAAACAGAATAACTTTATACTCATTAACCTAGATTACAGTAATTAGCAGTCATCTGAAGTTCAGGGTGAATAATTTTCCTAAAATGTATGGTATAATCTTAAGTACATTTGTATGCAATTGGTAGCACACTTACATTAGTTAAAATTGTTTGAAAGATGCCAATCTTTAATTTTTGTGAGAGGAAGAGACACTTTGTGAATATTTTATCGTATGTTCATATTTTATTCTTATCACTTTGTTAAGTAAACTACGTAATAATAAACTCATAAGTTATTTGTAGATTGTTACTGGATTTGGCGGTCCTATCTGCAACCCCAGGAACCTAATTTTTATGTAATGTCATAAAGTTGGTACTCCCAGATTATTCAAAGTTCCCACATAATAAGAGACCATGGAGTGGATTATGATGATATCGGTAACCAAAGATTTTTCCATCCCTGATTATTATGTAATTGAACCCTATCCTTAATAGGAGTACATAGCATATTTCTTTGTACCTATTGTAAATAGAAAAGGTTGTTGTTTTCTAAGAATAAATAAAATAAAATAGGTTTAATGACTAAATTTTGTGAAGCAAAGGCTCATATGCATTATGTAAAGCAGATCTTCATGTACATTACATTTTTGAGTTGGAAGCCCACTGAATATGCCAGCTGTCTGCATGATAAACAAAATTTGACAACAATGAAGCATTTGAAGTGCCTTTGGTGTTAGTGTGAGATATTATATGACACTGTTATCTTTCTGGGTTAATCTGACATAAATAATGGATATTCTTTCTGCCATACAGGGGAGGGGCAACAAGAGTAGTGGAGATAGTTTCCATGCTGCTCCAAACATTGATCATTCCCAGGAATTTGTGAGAAAGGATCTTAAAGAATGGTTATGCTGGTTGAGGTTTATACTCGTTACCCTAATTTTCAATAGCTTACTATTAGCACAAAATGTTGTGTCAGAGGGAAACATATCCAATCAGTTTGTAAGTAGTTCATACATTATAATGTTGTATTATGAGTCATGATTTCATTGCCAAAATGGCTATGCTGGAGAACTAAGACAATCTGGCATAGAAAATGATGTTAAGATCATCTTTTGGAGACTCTGGCATGTAGCATAACCAATAAGACAATGTTCTAGTTTCATGTAAGAATTCACATGTGTGCTTCAACTTCATGATATATTGATGGAACCAGAAAAATAACATTGAAATTATAGAGATAATGGAGGCCATGCCTCTTTTACATACACTAATTTGCAGAAAATAAACCCCAAGAAAGCCTCAACTCCCCCTCAAACCAAATACCTAGGCTTAAGAGTTCCCTAGAGGTCTCTCATTTCCCACTAACCACTTCTGAATACATGAATAATGAAAACCCCACCCCCAAATCACTTTATATAACAACATCTCTCTCCTCTAACTAACTACTATGGACTCTTTTGCATTGCTGAACTTGGGCCCACTAATCATAGCCCATCATATAACAAGAGACTTTCAACTTCTTTTACGAGAGGATGCTTGAACATGCTTCAACTTCATGATCTAAGTTTCTATCCTATCATCACACTTTTATGGGCGTCTTAATTTATCTCATGCTTGTCATGTTGTCCTTTTGCACTAATGAATGACTCCCGTGGTAAATTTTTTTCCATGGATGAATCATACTGGTGGTGACTTATGCTGACTATGATTCAAACCTTCCCCATTTTTTTCTGTTTGCAGTTTGGTTACATCTCTAGTCCCACATGCATCGCTTGCACTTGTGTTATATCTTTAATTTATTTTCTTTTTGTGTGTTTGATTATAACAAGTCTGTCTCCAGAGTCCAGTCCTAGATGCTATCACCTGCCACTGCGTTATATCTTTTGGTTTATTTTCTTTTAGTTTGTTTAATTGTAACCACTGACAAGCTTAAGGCTTAATAAGTGTTGTAAATAGTAGTTTAGAATAGTAGTTTACTAGTCCCACATCATGTATATCTCTTTGTGTTGAAATATATAAGGCCTTGGGCACTCCCACCCTTTGAGCTAGCTTTTGGAGTGGTGTATCCCAAGGTTCTTTACATGGTATCAGAGCTTGAGGTTCGATCCTCACCGCCCCCCACTTTAAAGTGGAAGCACAAAAAAGGTAAACTAAAGATTGGGCCTGTTGCATAATCCACGCTTCAAGCCAAGAGGGCTCTTGTGTGAGGGGGCATGTTGAGATATATAACGCCTTGGGCACTCCCACCCTTTGAGCTAGCTTTTGGAGTGGTGTATCCCAAGGTTCTTTACACTTTGTACTTCCTTTCTTTTCAGTTATATAATAGACTCTCCGTTGTGTAGTTGAGACACGAATTACTGATAATTCTCTTGGATTCTGATATTCAACATGGTATCAAGAGCCTAAAGAGAAAGATCCTAATCCTCGTTTTTCCGGTGGACCTACTGTTTGCCGAGTACCATTTTTCCGGTCACTGAAACATCAGTCAGTTCTTCGGCCACCACCATCCACCTCTTCCGCCACCAGAAAATTTTTCCGGCGACTATTCAGATCAAATAGTACGTCAACAGACTCAGAAAGAGCCAATCTATCCAACGCCGCCAACCCCACCATCGTCGGAGTTGTTACGCGCTCTCACGCACCACTCCACTCTCTGCGCGTGGTTTCCACGCACCACATTCCTCCGGCACGTGCGGCGTTTTCCGGCAGCCGTTCACGTCGACCAAAGATAGAATCGGTCACCCTTCCACCCTCTATCTAGATCTGCCTTCACTTCGTTCAATGGAGTTCGTTTGGACCACACATCTTCTCGGATTTGTTCTGCCCGTGTTTGTGCCTCCATTTTCTTGCTGTCCATTTGGATCCAGCCGCCAGAACCTCTGTTTGTCATCGTCGTGTGCTAGTTTCCTTTGTTCCTTGTTCGCGTCCATCGTTCCAGATCGGTTCAGCTCATGTCCTGTTCATCGACCGTTTTGTGACTGGAAGTGAAGTGAGTATTCTTACATATAAAGATCCGACGTTTCTTCTTCGTTGTCGGTCCTGTTACAGCAAGCTCGTCGTCCTTGTTGCTTATCCGCTGCTGTCAAGTACCGCCAGTCATATTTTTGACCGCTTACTGCAACCGGTTTTATAGGTGCTTTGTTCACTTTTTAGAGCCATAGGTGATTCTAGCTCCTTTATCCCCGTTTCCACGACTACTATTTTGCATACTGGTAAAGGTAATACCTTTGTTGGTTTCACACAAAATTCATCCTTTGGTCATTGGGTTCTTGATTCCGGTGCCTCTGATCATATTTCTGGTAATAAGTCTTTATTCTCTTCTCTTTCTACCTCTAGTTATTTGCCTGTTGTTACTATGGCTAATGTTTCCCAAGTTCAGTCTAGTGGAATTGGAACAATACATCTTTTTCCTTCTCATACTATTGATAACGTGCTTTATGTCCCTGGTACACCCTTTAATCTCCTTTCCATTAGTCGTTTAATACATTCTCTTGATTGTCTCATCTCTTTTACTAAAGATTCTGTTGTTTTACAGGATCGGAGTTCGGGGAGGACAATTGGTGGCGGATTTGAGTCCAACGGCCTTTACATGCTTTCCAGTTCCTCTTATGCTCATTCGGTATTAGATTCTCCACTCACTGTTCACGCTCAGTTGGGTCATCCTAGTCTTACAAATCTCCAATAGATGGTGCCACATCTATCCAAATTGACCACTTTGCAATGTGAATCATGTCAATTTGGGAAACATACTCGCAGTTTTTTTCCTGATAAAGCCAATCATCGTGCATCATCTCCTTTTAGTTTGGTTCACTATGATGTTTGGGGACCTAGTCGTACTAAGTCAACTCGGGGGTATAGATATTTTGTTACCTTTATTGATGATTATTCTCGGAACACTTGGTTATTTTTACTGAAAAATTGCTCTGAGTTGTTTTCCGTATTTCAATAGTTTTATCATGAAATCCTTACTCAATTTGGTGTTTCTATCCGTACTTTCTGTAGTGATAATGCTCGTGAGTATCTGTCTCAAGCATTTCAATCATTTATGGCCTTTCACGACATTCTTCACCACATATCATGTGCGCACCCCCCCAACAAAATGGGGTTTTTGAAAGGAAAAATCGCCATCTTATTGAAACAACTCAAACACTCTTAATTCATGGGAATGTTCCTACCAATTATTCGGGCGATGCTATCCTCACTGCATGTTATCTCATTAATCGCATGCCCTCCTTTGTCCTCGATAACCAGGTAGCGTACTCTATCTTGATCCCCATCGGCCTTTACATTCCTCACCCTTTCGTATTTTTGGTTCTACTTGTTTTGTCCATCAACTCGGCCCAATCGTGACAAGTTGTCTGCTAAGTCCCACAAATGTGTGTTCCTCGGTTACCCTCGGACACAAAAAGGTTATCAATGTTACTCTCCTAGTCTCCGTCGCTCTTTTGTCTCGGCGGACGTTACCTTCTTTGAGTCTGTGCCATTTTTTGGCTCCACCTCTGTTCCTGGTGATTCTGTTGATACTCTATTTCCTTTATCCTCTGTTCTAGTTCAATATGTCCCAGCACCAGATCCTCCACCAGCATTGCCTTCTGTCACATCTTCAGATGTCCCGGCACCAGATCCCCCTCTCTAGGTTTATCACCGTCGGCCACGTCCCTCCATGCCCCAAGACACTGACTCTGTTGATAATGAAGTTCCTGTGGACTCAGATCTGCCGTCATCAACTCCTACGGCTTCGGTCCCGCCCTCAAACATTGACCTACCAATTGCTTTCCGGAAAGGTACTCGCGATACTCGTTCTCCACTCAGGTATTCAATAAATATGAGTTATCATCGCCTTTCTCATCACATTTTGCTTGTCTCTCTTCTTTGTCTTTTGTGTCTGTTCCTAAGACTACAGGTGAGGCGTTATCACATCCTGGATGGCGGCAGACTATGATTGACGAGATGTGTGCACTTCATGGCAGTTGTACTTGGGATATGGTTCATCTTCCCTCTGGAAAATCTGTTGTTGGATGTATATGGATATTTACTGTCAAGGTTGGTCCTACAGACAGGTGGATCGTCTCAAAGCACCTTTGGTGGCCAAGGGATACACTCAGGTATTTGGTGAGGTTTCTGGGATACATTTTCCCCTGTTGCGAAAATGGCGTCTGTTCGCCTCTTTATTACTATGGCTGTTATCCGTCATTGGCCCCTTTATCAATTGGATGTCAAAATTGCTTTCCTCATTGGTGATCTTGCAAAAGAAGTTTACATGGAGCAACCTCCTGAGTTTGTTGCTCTTCGGTCTAGTTTGTCGACTCCGCAAATCTTTGTATGGTCTCAAACAGTCTCCGCGAGCTTGGTTTGGGAGGTTTAGTATCATTATCCAGCAGTTTGGTATGACTCGAAGTGAGGCTGATCACTCAGTCTTTTATCGCCACTCAGACTCCGGATCTATTTATTTGGTGGTATATGTAGATGACATTGTGATTACAGGTGACGACCATCAAGACATTACTCAGTTAAAACAACATCTCAATCATCATTTTCAGACAAAAGATCTTGGAAGACTATGATATTTCTTGGGAATTGAAGTGGCTCAATCCAAGGATGGTATTGTGATATCTCAAAGAAAATATACTATGGATATTCTTGAGGAGACAACTCTGTTGAATGCTAAGCCCGTCGGTACTCCTATGGATCCAAATGTCAAGCCCATGCCAAATCAGGGGAATTATTTTTAGATCCAAAAAGGTATAGAAGATTGGTTGGGAAGCTGAACTATCTCACAGTTACTCGACCAGACATCTCGTTTGCAGTCAGTGTAGTAAGTCAGTTCTTGAATTATCCTTGTGAAGATTACTGGAATGCAGTGATTCGTATCCTCAAGTACATCAAAAATGCTCCAGATAAAGGTCTCTTCTATAAAAACAAAGGTCATACCAGAGTTGTGGGATACTCAGATGCTGATTGGGCAGGTTCCCCTAGTGATAGAAGATCTACATCTGGGTATTGTGTATTCCTTGGAGGTAACTTGGTTTCTTTGAAAAGCAAGAAACAAAGTGTAGTTGTCAGATCAAGTGTTGAAGCGGAATATCGCTCCATGGCCAAACACATTGAAGTAGACTGTCATTTTGTTAAAGAAAAAGTCCTCTCAGAAGATATAGTCACTAGTTTTGTTAACTCAACTGATCAAATTGCTGATGTATTCACAAAGTCTTTGAGAGGGCCTATGATAGTTCACTTATGTAGCAAGCTTGGTGCATATGATCTATATGCTTTAGATTGAGGGGGAGTGTTGTAAATAGTAGTTTACTAGTCATACATCATGTATATCTCTTTGTACTTCCTTTCTTTTCAGTTATATAATAGACTCTCCGCCTATGAAGCACGGATACGCAAAATAAAAAAATTTCTACGTATCGGACACACGTCCGATACGGATACGTTGGGATACTCTTTCTTTGCGTATCAGATGAGTCAATGACATTTCAGTAATTTTTTAAAAAATAATTAAAGCGTGTTTTTTTTTTTTACAAAAAGCACCCAAATCGATTGAATCTCAGACGCGCTTAAAGTTCTACTCACTGTTGGTTCGCCGTCGCTAGTTTCTCCTTCGTCGTTGGTTCGCCGTTCCTGTTCCTCCTCCGCCGTTGTTCGCCGTCGGCCGTCGCTGTTCCTCCTCGGCTCCTCCACGGTGGTAGCTGTTCGCAATCGATCTTTCTTCCTCCTTGGCTGTCGGTGGTAGCTGTTCGTCCTCCGACCTCCATCGTCGTTCTTCCTCCTTGGCTTTCGTTCTGCTCCTTTTGGCTTTTTGTCGGTCGCTGCTCAAAAAGGATCCTCTCGCACGGAGTCACGGTGTCGGTAGGTAAGTGAAGGATCAAATGATGTATATTCTATTTGTATATGGTATAATATAATAGAATGGAGTGATTTTTATATTGAAGGATCCAATGCTCCTTGGTCTGCTCAAATATAATATAATATACAAATATATTTTTATATTATATTTGTATATTCTATTTACATAAAATTTAAAATATATTATATTTGTATATTCTATTTACATAAAATTTATATTGTTATATTCTGTATATTTGTATATTGTATATTCTATATTTAATTTTTCCATTTAACATGATTTTGAAGTAACGTATATTTGTATATTTTATTATATTTTGTTAATGTGAAGTACACTATTTTAAAAATATTATTTAATACTAAGACATATCGGAACGTATCGAAATATTAGTATTTTTGAAGTAACGTATCGGACACACGTATCGGGAACGTATCGAAAATGCCGTATCGGTATCGGTGCTTCATAGCTCTCCGCTGTGTAGTTGAGACACGCGGATTAGTGATAATTCTCTTGGATTCTGATATTCAACGTTAAGTTTTGATTTGTGTTAGATTTATATGAAACCATTAATGTAGCCTTACCCAATAGCTTAAGTTTTTGGGTTGAATTGATTCTTTACATGGTATCAGAGCCTTGTGTCCTGGGTTCAATCCTCATCGCTCCCCATTTAATTATTAATTAATTTAGTATTGTGGAGTTTCTTAGCACAGGTAGGTGGGCCTGTGCATTGTTCACCCTTCAAGCCTCGTGGGCTCTTGTGTGAGGGGGCATGTTAGAGTTATATAAAACCATTAAAGTAGCTTCACCCAACAGCTTAAGCTTTTGGGTTGAATTGATTCTTTACAATTTGAAAGGGAGTGTTATAATGTATAGAAAATATCTCATAAAAATAATTACTATTATATCTAAACATTTTAGAGTACCTTATATGATCTCTCAGGAGTGGTTTTTGTATTTCATCATATTTCATTATTTGTTTCCTTGTTTAATTAGGATTAAGGGACTAATATTAGTATAAGTAGCGGTTAGTGCTTTTACCTTTGTATCAAACCAATATATTAAAAACCACTTAAAAAACCACTCCTCGTTAAACCCGACTAGAGAGTGTGGGATGGATGCAATCATTGTACGTAGCCTTACCCTTGCATAATTGTAATGAGGCTGTTTCTTAGATTTGAACCCATGACCTTTCAGTCATGAAGGAACAACTTTACTACTGCTTCAGTTCGCCCCCTTTTGTATCAAACCAATATACAAGAGAATATTATTCCGTCTCTTTTATCTCTTTTTTACTCATCCTTTACCTACATCTCTTTAATTTCAACATTTACCATGTGTCTGTGATGCTCATTTATATATTTTCGCCCCTTTTTGTTTCTGTTGCATTGAAGTATTACAAGAATTGTATCTTTTTCTAATGCTGTGTAATTTCCAGGGAAGAAATTGGGTATGATGGGTGGAGGCTTGACTTTGTTAGAGGATTTTGGGGTGGTTATGTAAAGGACTACCTGCAGGCAACTGAGCCTTACTTTGCTGTTGGAGAATACTGGGATTCCCTCAGTTATACATATGGTGAAATGGATCATAATCAAGATGCACATAGGCAGAGGATCATTGACTGGATTAATGCTACCAGTGGCACTGCTGGTGCATTTGATGTTACAACTAAAGGGATTCTTCACGGTGTAAGCACTCAATGATTTCAATAACGTTTATTCAAATTTTACATATTCCATGTATAAAATATTCTTGGTGTGTTTCTCTTACATAACATGAAAATTTGACAGTCATATGTGTTTTCAAATATTCTTCACGGTGTATGCTACTTTCTTACTTGAGCTTCTGTTCTTTTCTTTTTATCTTTCATTAATTTTACTGTTACAGTGATAATGCTTTTAGTTAAAGAATCTCATACTCATTGCTGATAAGCTGCTTGCTGCCATTTTTGAAATTTTTAATGTTTGTTTATTCTTTAATCTTGAAGAAATTTGATTTAATTTCCGCTCCATATAGGCATTGGAAAGATGTGAATATTGGCGATTGTCAGATAAGAAGGGAAAACCCCCTGGTGTTCTTGGATGGTGGCCCTCCCGTGCTGTTACTTTTATAGAAAATCATGACACTGGTTCTACCCAGGTTTGAACTTCCCCTTTCAAAAATATCTCGGTACAGTTTGAGATTTTTTCAAGGTTGAATAATTGAATTTGGTTGAAATAATTTTATTATCATTGGCTGTGCTTCACCTAATATTATGAATGATACCACTAGAAAAATCGGAAATTTTCAAATTAGGCATTTTCCTTTGAATTTCTTCAGATTGTTTATGTAGATTTATGTATCTACCTGTGGATCCATATTAGTGTAATTATAAACATTTGTAATAGTTTTATGTACTAAAAAGTAATGGTTGAAAGGATTTAAATTTACTCAATGCGTGGTATTTATAAGTGTTGATTAGATAAGCTGTTAATATGATGAAACAAGATTCAGAATTGCAAGCATTTAAATACGGGGATAGCCATATATAACAGATAAAGCTATCTGATATCTACATGTACCCCGTCCTCTTGCAGGAATTCATTTGTTCATACTGTTTTATATGCTAAAAAAAGTATCAACTACTATAAAATTTCCTTCATATTTTCTCTTGAAGGGTCATTGGAGATTTCCCAGTGGAAAAGAAATGCAAGGATATGCTTACATTCTTACTCACCCAGGAACTCCATCAGTGTTCTTTGACCACATTTTCTCTCACAATAAAACTGAGATAGCGACACTTATCTCTATCAGGAAGCGGAACAAGATCCACTGCAGGAGTACAGTAAGTATCAGAATATTCTCTTATATTCTACTTAGTTATTGTTTAAGTGGATGGATATTTTCTGGGGTGGACGATGAGGAAAATTTTCTTTGCATGTCAAAGTGATAGAAACTGGAAATCTGAACTGAAATATCACTGTATTATTTACTGGAATATCACAAAGCTAATTTTGGTTACAAACTTGGGTCAAGAGAGTGAAACTATTTACTCATCATAATATAGATGAAGACAATGATGCTGTTGGACAAATAAACGAAATTCTCTGTTTGCAACAGTCCTTAAGAATGCAATTATGTTTTGTCTGCAGTTGTTATATATATATATATATATATATATATATATATAGTGAGCATGAGGTGAGGGCAATTTTTGAATGCAGTCTTACCCTTGTATATTTGCAAAGAAGCTATTTTCCAAATTTGAACTCATGACCTTTCAGTTACAAAGGAGCAATTTTACCGTTGCTCCAGCTTCGCCTGTGTTTTCTTGGGGTTTGATAGGGAATCCATATGCATGCTTACATTATCATGATTCTCTTGATATGTTCTTTAGATGGCCATTCTTTGTCCAACTATATAATGTACAAACATTGAAATTATTGGAACACTCACTTTTCTTTCCCGGTGTTTAAGGTTCAAATTTGTAAGGCAGAAAGGGATGTTTATGCTGCTATCATAGATACAAAAGTTGCTATGAAGATTGGACCTGGTCATTTTGAACCGCCTAGTGGATCCCAAAGATGGTCCTCAGCTTTGGAGGGAAGAGACTATCAGATTTGGGAGGCATCATAATGTAATTATATGTATCTTGTAAGTATATATTCCTTTGGAAAATCTTCCTTATTGCATATGCCATTGCCTTTCTTAGGAGGCAAGTATAAATAGTCAAGAATAGGATATTGTATTCGGATTATGGTACTGCAGGCTGCAATTGAAGTGAGTTGAGTTGTGCCACACTGTTGCTGAACGTATATATGATTCATAGAAGCAACATTATGGAGAAGGCTGCAGAGTGTTCGTTTCAGTCAAAAAGCTGGCTCCTTTGAAACTAGAAAGCCTTCAAATCAGGAAATGAATTGTATCATATGTTACTATGTTTACAAATTTAGACATTTATTATGACAATAAATGTATCGAACAACTGGCATCGATAGTACATAATTATCTTTTATTGTTTGTAAAAATGAATAAGGGATGATTGAAAGATTTCATGATTATATATTATTTTAATCATCTGATTTTAAATAATTTTTAGATTAGAAAATGTTTAATTAAAATGAAGAATTTATACATCCTTCTCTTTCCAAAAGCATCTATCCTAAATATATCTCAAGTTTACAAATTTATGAAATTTTAGTTCTTGATTTTTCACTTGTTCATATCTTTTGTATGGTAGAAGGTAAACTATCTTGACCTGAAGATGGCATATGAGTAAGTTAAGATTGAATACAATGGGAATAATTATCTTAAAGATGAGTATCAGTATGCCTTGCCACCCTCCAATTGCAAGCAAACTAAGATGGTTAATCGTTTCGGTTGAAGGTTTATTTTGAGATTGATGGGAAAGTGTAAGTGGATATTGAAAAATATCACGTTTGGTTCAGATTTTTTCAAAAAATACTAGACAAATAGGATAGATGGGAAAATGATTTTTGTTTTGATTTTTGGATGAAATTCATTGTTACAGAATACCACTTGAGATGTGGTATTTTGAGATAACTGGATAAGTGAAAAAAACAGGTACAAAGTTTCTCCCGAACATAAATTTTGCATATTTAAATAAATTTCCCTGGTAATATTTCGGTCAACTAAACAATTTTTTTTACATTTTCCTACCAAACTTAATTTTCAACCATTTCCCTATCAATTATATTTCCCTAGTAAAAAATAATTTCTCTCAAACCAAACACTACCTACCTTAGAGACTTATATCCGGTGCTTTGGTTCTGAACAATCAAAGAATTGGTTGTCCTTGTGGGTCTCAAATCATGGTTTATGAAATCAAAACTTTGAATTTTTTTTTTCGGTAGATAAACTTTGAATTTTGTATGTCCCTATATGATTTTTTTAAAATATTAAAAAATATCATGCACGGTGAAAGCTGGAAAATCCGGTGTTTAGCATCACTTCCCAAATTTAATTTGATGTAGTTTTCCTATTTAGTATCGTATATTGTATTTTTATTTTCTTCTAATATACTTTTTAAAAAAGATATTTAAAATGTACAGTATTATCAATTTATCTCAAATTTTAATTTTTTATATCAAATTAATTTTAAAGTTAAATACATATTGAATTTAAATTGTAACGCATATACTTTATTTAAAAAAAAGAGAGTAAAGTATGAGTGATTACAGGTTAATCAGTTTTTAATGACTAATTTCATACTTAAAGAGTGAAAAAATCTCATAGAAAAAATAGTTTGTAATAAGTTATCTACATTGAACCCAAAACAACGTTATTTTGATATGGAAATCAAGGTATTTTTATAATTATAATTTATCTTAGGGTTATAATAGTCTTTCTTATTATATTTTTTTAATTTTTCAACTCAAAACAACGTAGTTTTGGAAGTGTATTCACTGTCTTTTTATAGAGTGATGTAGATTACTTTTCAGTAAGCATGGGCCTAAAATTGTTTCATAACTACTTCAGTAAGCATGAGCTAGTTAGATAATTGCTCAGGCATTAGAATGAAAGCTAGCTTTTTTTATCATTCCATGTGAAAATGAATAGCTTTGCATATACCTGATACCCGTTTCCACAGGAATTAACGTTGATAAAGCTCGGCAAAGGGAATAAACTCTTTTCTGTCCGGTTTTCAGTTATACAACCCGATAAGAGACCAAGTTGGTTGGAACTTTTACACAAATTGACAGCTAAGTACTCCTTTTGGACGACATTTACTAGACATTTATTAACAACTTTCCTTATTGACACATTTTGCTTTTGCACGTTATAGTATATACGACAGAATCACTTATACATGGTTATCCCAAAAAACAAAAAAGTTTTCTAAAGACATTTTGGACTCATTATTCAGAACATGCAAAACCCATTTGTCTCACTTTCTAATGCCAAAATTACACCGTCATTGGATTCGCCAACTTTGGTCTTTTTTAGGATGAGTTACTGCAAGCTTATTTATTTATTTTTGGAGGCAAATTGCCTTTTTTAAGTTTGATATACTAACTTTGTAATGTATATTTAGGGTTGACGATACTGGATGAGAATCCAAATGTGAGCAGTGAAGTTACACATGGTTAAAAATGTGTTAAATGAAGACTATATAAGTGGAAGGACTCCTAAATCCAAATTGTCTTTTCACATGTGGAGTCGTCATTTGATCCACTTAACCAATGTAAGACTTCACCACTCACACTTAAATTCCAAACAACCATAGTTCTAAAATGCATGGAAATATAATAATCTTTCGAAGACTTTGATTCTATCAAAAGCTTTGTTATGGATAGTTCTCAACAAAAAAAGTTGTCTTACATTGAGCCATATGATTCTTTTCATACCTTAATAAGTAGGCTCTTAGCTGCAGGCTCTTTTGGTTTTGTGTGGTGTGGACAAATTAAATTTGTCTTATGGTAAAGTTATCATCGACATTTTTGTGTCTTTCTTTCAAAAAGCAGTTAAAAAACAACAAAAGGACAACTCAAGCATGAAACAAATTTTCTGTAGGATATATAGTTAAGTCACAGCTTGAACCTGGTATCTTGTTCCAAGTAAGTTGCAGTGTTATCTATTGGCTTTGGCTGCTGAGAATCAAGAAGAGTGAAATGGAGCTTGCCACTGTGAAGTCTGAATTGAACCCAAGAAGTCACCGGTTACTCATGATAGATGGTGAGACTAATGGCACTAAGTGTGTCAAAAGGCGGCGAAGAGATTCATCTGTAGCACTGTTAGTGGGCAATGAACAACAAGGTGAACAAACAGAAGAAAAGCAACCATTAGGTGGCCAATCAACCACCCCCACAGTGAAAAGAAGCTCAAGGTTCAGGGGTGTTAGCAGGCATGTGATGTTAATAAACACCATACTCTTTTTTCTTGCTGTTTGTGGTTGCTTTCTGATTTGAAGCTAATTGTTAGATGTAATATAAAATCATTCATATGTCTTCATTTAACAACTAAGTCCAAATGACTCTTGTTTGAGAGGGCATGTTAGATATGTAATATAAAACCATGGAGAAGGATCCATTTACAAAACCTGCCCCTAAAACCATTCATGTAGCTTCGCCTAGACATGACACTAATTGTATCTTCTTGTCAAGCAGACACAGGTGGACTGGAAGGTTTGAAGCCCATCTATGGGATAAAGGGACCTGGAATCCAACTCAGAAGAAGAAAGGAAAGCAAGGTAGAGATTTTGAACACTTCATTTACTTCACTTTAATTGGATATCATTCTTCTTTTGCTTTTTCTGATTGCTCACACCTTGTTCATTGCATTGTGGTCTTGTTTGTGAATGTGGATTTGTTTGCCTTGCTGACGTGGAGCAGTATATTTGGGTGAGTACTTCAGCTGTTTGATTCCAACAGTATCTTCTCTGAATAATATGATAGAGTAGAAATTGACCTTTTGATGCTCACTCATGCTTTAATCAGGAGCTTATAATGATGAAGAAGCTGCTGCTAGAGCTTATGATTTGGCTGCACTCAAGTACTGGGGAACTTCAACTTTCACAAATTTCCCTGTATGTCTATTGTACATAAACTGCATAAGTTTAGTACCTCACCAATATCCATGCCTCATACAATGAGATATTTTTGCAGGTACCTGATTATGAGAAGGAACTTGAGATAATGAAAACTGTAACCAAAGAAGAATATCTAGCTTCATTGAGAAGGTAATCCCATTTCTTCAAGAAATACTGCCATTAAGACTTTTTGATACCTTTCCAAGTTCTAAATCCTTTTCTGTTTTTATTGTAGGAGGAGCAGTGGTTTTTCTAGAGGTGTATCAAAGTATAGAGGAGTAGCAAGGTGAATTTTTTTTCTGACTTTTGCAATCAAACTCTACCCTTTTGTTTCCAACAAAGAAATATTTGATGCTAAGTATAAGTCTGAAAACTGATTGCAGGCACCATCACAATGGAAGATGGGAAGCAAGGATTGGGAGAGTGTTCGGCAACAAGTACCTCTACCTTGGGACTTACAGTGAGTTTTCAAGATCTTAATCCCTTTGTTTCTTTTGAAGAACACAATTCAAATAACATTGGCCATTCTACTCTACACCCAAATTTTTAGAAACAAAGGATCAAAAGATTTGAACCTGATAATAGGATAACAAGTCACACTCATTTTCTTAGCTGCTATCTTATATATGTGTTCAATGTCTTCCTCTAAAGGTACACAAGAAGAGGCAGCTCGCGCATATGATATTGCAGCAATAGAATATAGAGGCATAAATGCAGTGACAAACTTTGACTTGAGCACCTACATCAGATGGCTAAGACCAGGAGCACAATCTACTACTTCTCAAGAGCAAAAGCCAGGCACAGACCCTCAACCCTATGCAAACTCTAACTCCATCCAAACCAGAGGAAACACTGATGTAACCGACTCCAACATCCAGCCATTCCCCACAGGTGAATTGGACAGTACCAAGAAGCAAGACCTTTTCAACCACATGGCCCCTTTAAGTCCTTGCAATAAGTCATCTTCCCCAACAGCATTAGGACTTCTCCTAAAATCCTCAGTGTTCAGAGAACTGATGCAGAGAAATCTGAATTCTTCTAATGAAGAAGCTGAAGAAGTTGAATTGAAATACCCTCAAGAGGGCAGTGATGGGATTGGAGGGATATTTGATATTGATGTCAGCAGTAACTCTTACTTGTGCCCTTCCAATATCAACAAATTACCTAACTTGGAGTCACCAGAAGAGAGGACATTGCCTGTGTATCATAGAACTGTGCAATCCCTATGGAATGGTGATTTCAACATTTCTAACAGATAATTTGTTATCTTTTTATGGTGTTAAGAAACACAGTTGAGAGAAAATCTCCTTTCTTAGCATACTTGTGAATATCAAATAATTGCTAAGATGTGCATACTAGCACTGCACCTTTTCTGCTCATAAATCAACAATGTTAATAATTTTGAAACAATGTATAAAACTGTTTCATCCAGTCTTGTGTTGACACCTTATTTAATGATGTTGACTATGTTAACACTATATGAGAAGTCAAAATCACTTAAACAATATGAAGCTTGCTTATTAGTGCATTCAATCCCTATTGTTCAATGGTCATCATCTATATAACTAATTTGCCAACATATACAGCTAACTTAATGTAGAGCTTTTTAAATCTGTATAGGATCCAAATCCATTTTCAATTAACATATTCTAATTCAAATGCTGCCTTGGTCGCTAGAAATTGGTTTCAACTTTCAATAGCAGCTATACTTTACCAAACATGAGGAAAAAATTATAGCTCGTAGTATAAGCAAGCACTTTTTTATAAACAGGACAGAGAATGGGAAAAATCCAGAAAACTTAAGCAAGCACATTTCGTCCTAACATTTAACACAAACTTAAAATCCCCAATTGTTATAGTATGTTATACATGATAGGTAGATCTATGCAGTGGCAGCGCATTAAGCACATCCCAAAACACTCAAGCACGAAGTAACATTTTAAATATATTAATTGTATCATTACCTAGCAACTTAAACTTTTAAAATAATATTTCTTTTTCTTTTATTTATATATTTATTTATTTATTTTTGTTTCCGAGGGTCTCTCCACCCATTTGAATAATTAGTTCAAGACAATATCTACTCAAAAAGACATAAGCAACTTGCCAAATCAATTTCTTTCAAGAAGCGTTTGCTACATCAGAATTACGACAATAATATATAAGATGGGGTGTTATGAATGTGAATATGATAGGAATATACATGTAGGTGTATCTAAAGTAGGTTGTAGGGGATTATGTGCTACTGATGAGGTGGCATAACTAACTTTAGAATATTCAAAAATATTAGACTCAGTATAAAAAGGGAGGATAGAAAGTGTGTCAAATGGACCGGGAAATTGAGACTTGGGCTCTGAAAAACCAAATTGGGAGAGAATCAGAGCACTCTCTAATTGCTCTGAAAACCATTTAGCTTTTCTTGTATTTTTTCCTTTTTTCTTCCGTTACTATCAAATTGTCTCTGTAGTTGTATTTTCCTTTGCTGAAATATAATAGAAAATCCAATTCTCTCGGCCCTTGTCAGTGTTTTGTTGCATTTTACTCTAATAATTTGCCAGATCCTAACAGAATACTTTAAAAACCAAGAACATAGGGAGATATAACAATGCAAAATGTCTATGAGTCCTAGATCTCCATCAAAGATACTTCACGTGCAAACTAGACATCAGAAATTTCCTTACGACCAATATACTCAAGGTATCTTGCATTTCCATATTGAGATAACATCATGACAGACTATATCAAACAAATTAAAATAAGCAAAATGCTACTGAACCAGAATCTTTTTGCCAAATTTTTTAACAGAATGAGTTGGCATACTTGATAACTTTTCGATGGATGAATGACCCCATCCAACAACCACCCTTAAACCTAGCTGAATTCTGTCAGTTTTGGCTAATCGACATTACTGAATAGGTCTTGCTGCAGATACATAAACCTGAGGAAAATAAATAAAGCTTTTCCAGTTCTGATTACATTCCTCAATATGATTTAGGTTGAAAAGCTTGTGTTTTTCACAAATACGGTTATTAATCTTCAGGATGTTCAGTAACAACTGTTCTACTAGGGCATGTCCTAATATTGTGTCCCTCTCTATGGCACAACCGACACTTGTATGATCTTCGAGAGGCCATGTCCCTTATTTTATTAGAAACAACTTGAGGGCATGTCCTGCTGTTATGGCCATATTGGTGACATATTTTACACTGATGGTGTTTTATAACTCTCCCATTACTATGGCTTATCCTTAACTTTCTACACGTTCTTCTGTTGTGGCCTTTTTCCCCACATAGCCTACATGCAAACCTGCGATCAATCAAACTATCCTTGAGTTCTGGACAGTAGTGTCTCCTATGCCCTTCCCGTCCACAGTTTTGGCAGTAGAATTTCACTCCTGCATTAGAGGGGAAAAGAAAAAGCCCAATGAGTCAGAAGTTCAACCATGCCTACCAGCCATGAAGTCACAGGTGCAGGGGTATAAAAATGACCCTTCATGGCCATGCTCCTTTTCTGACGGTTTATTGGATCACTAAAGTAAGCTTTCATTGCTTTGGAGGTCTGCTTTCTTGCTGCAACAGTTCCCTTGGCTTTCTGCATCCATTAAAGCAAATATTCATTGTGCAGAATTTTCAGTATGCCAAAATTCTAATGCTTTAAATACTTGCACAATTTTCACCCTGGCAAGCAGAAGTCTTGTGACCACACTCAAGTAGTAACTCATGCCCTTCATGTATGTTTTTGTATTTCTATCCGAGGCATACAATTTATGTATTTCTATCCGAGGCATACAATTTATGCTAACAGAAAAGAAAATTACTCAGCCTTTGGTAGATTTCGTATTACCTAGCCTGATCAAAATTAGCATCAAACTTATAGAATTCATAAAACATGTGCAAACAGAAAAGGTAAATGCTCAGGCTGTAGAAGATGTCTTATTCCCTAGCCTAATTAAAATCATAGCATTCAAAAACTATTCAAGAGTTTCGTTGAGCTAGGACTAAAAGGAAATTTATTATTGATAAAACTCAATTCATTTCATTGTAGAGTAAACACTCATTTTGATCCTTCAAAGATATACACAACATCATATTAGCCTTACATCAGTGACATCAAATTGGTCCTTCAATTATGATTAATGCCATTAGTTTTCGTACTTCAAGGACAAGTTTGATATCATTTTACGGACCAATTTGATGGCAAAATTGTGAAGTTTAAGGACTGACTAATTTGATGTCCCATATTATCTTTGGAAGATTAATTTGATATATTTTTAAATGGAGAACTAATATGGTATAGTACATATCTTTGGATGACCAAAATGAGTCTTTACTCCTTTACCATATCACAGAAAAATAAACACATTAAAAAATTATTTTGGAATCGTGTTTATTCCTGTGGACATTCCTCATAGATCAAAATCAAGTGATTCCTAATTTCCTAAATGTCAATGAATCAAACAAATATTAACTTGTGAACAAAAATAATTATGAAGGAAGCAATCCATTTACAATTCTGAGAGCAATCACCATTTTTTAAAGCACCAAGTTCAAATGAAATGCAAGTCTTAACGTTTTAAACCTTAATAGCAGCCACTCTCTGAGCCTGAAGCATGGGATCCTGGTGGATAATCTTCATTCGGTTGCTAAATAGACCAGTTTTAGCATTGAGACTCTGCAATCATTCAACTAAACAAAGACATTTAAGTGTGCAACCTTAACAATATCTGAAAATCCTCTTTCTCAGATTATCATATTAATACACCAGTAAACACAAGGAAAGAGAAAACAGTGCAAAATCAATACACAAATATAACCGTCCTCTGAACTTTTGCATGGTCTGTCCATGCATAACATGAAGAAGTTAATGCTCAAGTCTCTTTAACTAAAAATAGGTTAATACCGAAGTCCACATGATAAGAAGCATTCTTATCAACTTAGTTCTCAACGTATGGGACCCCACAAAGAGCCATTTGATTATAGGAATTACTTCTCTCATGTAGTAGGAGAGAAGTTCTCTCATGTTGAGAGACAAATAAAGTGGGGCCTACCAATTCTTAAAAAAAAGAAAAAGAGAAAGGCACATTTTTCGATGTGAGTGCAACATGAGAGATCAATCTCATGCAACATGAGAGTATAATTTCTCTTTGATTATACACATAAATGTGTTCTTTCTTCTCTCTCTCTCTCTCTGTGTGTGTGTGTTTTTTGAGCGTGCATGAGCATTTATTATGTATGTATGTGTTTGTGTGTCTATATATATATATCAATCAAAGAAGGGAACAAGCTAATGGGCTCAACACCTGTGATTCATGTAAAACATATGCATTTTAACAATTCGTATCCAATATAATAATCATGTTATGTAAGGTTAAGCACCCAACTAACTTTTAATGAACGACTAATCTTTAATCCGACTTCAGGAGAAGGTGACTGGTAAACACGCTTGGATTTTTTCTTCACTTTTAGCTTTATGTCTAAGTTGTCAACTTCGTCATCTTCCTTCACTTTAAGTGGGGAACTGGGAAAAAAGTAAAACTATTAAACCCATAAAGAAACATTCTGTATGACCAAAATAAAAAAAAAAACCATTTTGCATAATTCAAGGATTTAGAAGCAAAATAAACAACACATTAAAGTATGTTAAGTAAATAAAACACCATCATATAAATTTTTTATGACATCCTAATGCTAAGAAGTTCACATAAATTAACTTCGAGTCAAGTATACACAATAACAAGAATTAATGCAATACAAATAAAAACCAAAAGCTCCCTACCCAGGTGCTTGCACCTCCCTTGTACAAAATAATAATAATAATAATAATAATAATAATAAATAAAAACCACAAGAGTTGTTTATAATACCATAACTAAAAATGATATAATTATGATTTTAACCAATAAGTCAAAATAATTACCCTCTGAAAGAACAAAATACATTATTGATTATAGAAAGCATGTTAAACATTTAACATTTTATATTGATGGATCATGGTTGTCCATTAATAGAAAAATGCTGCACCAAGTTTCAGAAACCAATATAACAAGTGTAGGGAGCCAGACAGAGAGTAGCAATGCCAGTTATAGCATTTCAACAGCATAATTTGATATAATTTCCTATCCACATGTGACATGAAGAAGTTGAAAAGATGTAAAACATTATATAAGGGGAACAAAAAAGAAAATCAGAATAAAATCTTTTGAATATAGAAACAGCCAGTTGAGCAGTTTACATTGATATTCGAGATATTAAAGAGTAAGAATTGATCCCTTTTGATAGATTGAGAAGGAACATTACACATTACTATTTGGTATATTTATGAACCATTTTTTACAGCAATATTGATTTGAAAGAGGGGTAAGAAGCATGGACATTGACATGGAGGAGGATATTGGGACATAAAAATTGAAGTTGTCATATGAGAATGTGAAATGTCATGTCAAACAAGTATCCGGTATGTGTTTGATTCGAGTATTTAATTTGTCCAACAAAGAGACTGCTCCTTTTTGAAGTGTCAGTGTTTGTGATAACTGAAGTTAGAAAGAGTTTGCAAATGCGAAATGTCATGTCAAACAAGTATCCGGTATGTGTTTGATTCGAGTATTTAATTTGTCCAACAAAGAGACTGCTCCTTTTTGAAGTGTCAGTGTTTGTGATAACTGAAGTTAGAAAGAGTTTGCAAATGCGTTTTTACATTAACATGCACATGATAATGTAAAAAGTCTTAATAATAATGCCAAGGAGTTAACAGAACCAGTCAAGAAAGACGAAATTTATATATCGAAAGTTACGTAGAACGGGCTCTCTCCCATGGTTGTTCATCAATTGATTCTTCCCATATAACACAATCTCCAGAGCACTGGTGGCAAGTCAGTATACCCTGTTTGTACGAAGACCAAAGGACAACAAAATGGTAAAGCAAAGTAACTATTGTGCAAGGATATGATGTTATATATCTGTGTTTTACAACTACTATGAATATTAGAAAATACCAAGCGAGAATCAGTGAATATATGAAGTCATAAACATGTAAGATGCAAAATTAAGAATGGTTTATCTAACTAGTAAATCTTGTGTCTTACAATTGAATAAGTGTCTCAACATCATGGCATCAAGTTATGTGTTGAAGTGTGAGGGTGCGCATCAATATAAGTCCGTAATAATGTGAATTGTTTTGCCTTGTGATTAATTCTCTGTAATAATAGTCTTTCATGGCCCAAGGAAATCAGTTGAATTAGAAAGACTGGTTAGGCTTTCAGGCTTTCACACTGTTATTCTAGCATTCTCCTAATTCATGAGTCTAGGCATAGACACTCTAGAGCCATGATATACTGCAACTTTCTTTCCTAAAGGAGCCACTACCAAATATCAAATATCATGTCTCATTGTCCATGAACTCTAAATATTTCCCATGTGAGTGCATGGAGGAAAGAAGTAAAAGCCCATGCACCCCATCCTCAAGCGAATTTTAAATTAAGAAAAAAGAAGAAGTTAAATTCAAATCAGATATGAATTAATTTCAAGCTGTCTTAGATGGAAAAGAGGCATGTAAGACAACCACATTTACAAAAATTTGATGAACCTAGTTTGTCAGAGGCAATTTGGGTATTCATGGCACAAATGATCTAAGCCATTAAACCCTCCTAAGACCAAGTTGAGATTCTGCTTCATTCAGTAAGCAAATATAATTACGAAGGGAAGTACCTTTCCATTACATATTGGACAGTCTGATCTTGATCTTTCAATTCCACACTCTGTACAAGGAGTATAACCCCTTCCCCGGCAACTTGGACATGGTAACTCTCTGATATACTGTCCATTTGGACCAAACCAGGACCTTGGTTCGGGTGTATGAGAGTTAGCTTTGCTGGACACTCTGCACAAAGGAACCACCCTTCTTCATAAAATACCTAATGTGGAGCAATCTTAACCAACATCCAAATCTTAGTGCATTTTGAGTAACTTGAAAAATTATTATTGTATGTATATATTCAAGACAGTTTGCAATTAACCACACCAAATAGCTTAATCTTTTATCTGAGAAGACCTGGAAAATAAAAAAAAAGAATGATATTTTCAGGGTGGTTGGGAATTGGACACATGTAACAAACTGAAGTATTGGCATTGGCAACAACTTCCAGATGTACAAAAATATTGCTAGTTTCATGTAATGCTTTACTAAGTGCACCTCTATAAACTGACTCAATCATGGTAAAAAATCCAAAACCATTGTTTTGCTTAAAGCTAGCTCTTGTTTTCTCAAAACCCCAGACCCAAAAGAGTACAAGTTTCTCTATGCTGAGTGAACTGAGCATAAGGCGCAGCTAAACCTTAATAGACATCATATTTTCATTACAATGCTGCAGAAAATTCAGACATGCAAGAACCCAAATTTCACTTGAATAAAACTACAAATTTATGGTTTATGACAATAAAATAGAAAAATAAATAAATAAATAAATAAAAATGAAAAAGTAGAGACCTTGGCTTAAATTCCTCATCCAGTCCGAACAGTTCCCCTGGAGCACTGTAACCCAACTGTCACAAAAATATCATCACATTATCCACACAAAAAAGTAAAAGAAAAAAAAATTTATGGTTTTGTTTCTGTTTTTTTAAATAAACAAAATGGGCGACAAAAAAAGAGTGTGCCTGTGTTGGTTTTGGGATGGAAAAGGAGTCATCGGTGAGTGAGGAACAAAGGGTGGTGTTAGTGTTGGCATGAAGCAAGAGCAAGAGATGCATGTTTGGTTGCTTTGTGGATGGATATGTCAGAACGCGAAATGGAGTGGGGAACGTGTGAACTTGATAGGTATTCATTTGGTGCTGTTTATTTTTGCTTATTCAAACTCTTTTCTGTTTTATCAACATGATTATGGCAACTTGTTCTTCGTACTTGGGTGCGTTTGGTCTGTGTGTGTGTTTAATGTGTGGCTAAAAAAGAGACAACAAAAGGCGAGTGGATTACTATCACTACCATATGCCTTCGAACGAGGAGCAGTTATCAAAATGTTATTTTTTCTCAAAAAAATTTACTTAAATATCACGTGAATAGTATTTTTTATCAAACTGCTCCCATGTTGTCACATAATTCGCTATGACTAATAGCAAATTACATTTGTCAATGATTTTGTGAAATGTGGGCACACTTTTGTAGGAAAAAGCTGACGTGTTATAATTCGCTATTAGTAGTAACAAATTTCATCTGCAATATGACCACGTGTCACGAAATCATTGGTGAACGTAATTCGCTACCAATGGTAGCGAATTATGACACATGTTAATTTGGTAAAAAATACTATTCACATGACATTTGGCTAAAAAATTTAGTCAAAAAGTGACACTTTGTCACTATTCCCTAGTGTGCTCCTTTTTTTGGAAGAAAAAATAAATAAAACTTTTTTCTTTTATTTTTATGGATTTAATATATTTTTTAGAAATGTATTTATCTGCTGCACATATATTTACATATCATCCATTTGTATGTGTGTAAAGTTTTGATTAAAAAATATTAAACCCTTACTTTATTTGAGTTTTAAATTTAGTCTCAAAATTATATTCCATTTTGTTTTTATTTTATTTTTTAAAACTTATTACGTTCATCTCAATTATTAACCCATTAAAAATCTTTAGAAAAAAAAATTAAAAGAGGGAGAATTGGTTCTTTAAAATTCAATTATAGATTATTTTATAAATTAAAAAAATTATTCCAACTAAAATACAAATAATAAAGAAAAATAAAACAGATAAAAGATAAGAGATAGATTTGATATAGTAGTGAGAGATTTTAATAAGCAGTGTTAGGTTATGTGTATCATTTTAATTTATATAAAAAAAAAAAAAAAATATATATATATATATATATATATATATATATATATATATATCTTTGTTTAGTCACATATTAAATCGCCTGAGTTTTTTACCTCATGTCAATTTTTATTTCTATTTTTTTACAAGAATTCTCGCAAAATCTTTCACTTCATGCCTAATGTAAAGTGCACAACTTTTTTTTCCCCAACTACATTGCAAATTTCTCTCTTTATTTCCATCTGAAATAGAATATACTGTATTTTTTTCTTTCGAGAATACCACAAAAATCTTCATTTATCTCCACTCAAAATATAATAATTAGCTCAAAAAAATTTCTTTAAACGCTACACGCACGATTTCCTTTTTTTACTAGGGCAAGATATTCATTCTACTCCTACATCTAAATGCTCTTATAAATTTATATAAAACAATTAGCAACTGTTTGTTTAGAGTAAATACACAAGTTTTTGTTATAAGAGGTTTATCTACTTAATGTGATTTCTCACCTCGCAATAATTAGTCTTCGGCGGCTGTCGGCTAGTGGATACCTAGTCTAATATTGTATTTAAAGCGTATTAAATGAGAACACAGATAGAATAATACTACACAAGTGGTTGAATCATATGAACACATGTGGATGCTGGATATACAAATTGTGAGGGATTTCTTGCTCCATATAGAGGCTATCGATACCATCGTAGTGATTGGAGATATGAGTATAAACCATCATATTAACATTTGGGCTCTTAAAAATGCGTTGGGCTATACTTAGAATGAATGGCTAACTAATAGACACATAAATTGATTTTAGTGTTCTTTATTTGCAACTGTATTCGTATTTTGTAATTCATCGTCATGCCTTTTTGAATGAGTGAAACATGGTTTTTGAATGAGTGAAACATGATTTTTGAATGATACAAAAGTAAGTAGTTAAATGAATCAAGATTTTTGAATGGTGTGCATAAATATAGAGGATAAAAAAATTAATTTAAAATATTATGTCTAAAATTATAATTGTTACAATTGTATAAATAAATTTAAAAAATTTAAAATTAATTTATAATAATTTTTATGATATTTTGTTAAAAAAGATATTTTAGTCTATTTATATCATATCCTTATGATATTTGGTGCACCTCTAACACATGATAGGATAGCATAATCCTATATCACATTGCTAATCCAATGCACATCAAGATATGATATGTGTTTATCCTATCCATATCATATCATATCCTTATCCAACTATCTTATCCTATTTGTTTTTATCATATCATGTCCACTAAACGAGCCCTTAAGGACCAATGCATGGAATTGAAATATTTTAAATACCAATCAATAGAATAAGCAAAATTTATTATAATATAATACGTAATGTGCATTATTTTTGGGTGTAAGAAAGTTGAGATTTTGTGTCTTTTCACAAAATTTTATAATTTAATTTAGTGATTAACAAAATTTTAAAACTTGGGTTATCCCTTAATTATTATTTTAATACTTATATTAATTTACATGATCAAATAAAATAAGTTATATTCCTATGTTTTAGCAAATTAAACTGATCCTAAAGCACTCAAAAAGTGAGAACAATGGATCACAAGAACGCTATAGTTTATGGTTTACTAATCATCAATCTTTTCCAAAGAGTTATTTTTTCATATAAAAGTTTAAATTAGAGAAGACATATCCTATATATAATTAGGAAAGATTACAAATTTTATTGACGAAAAGGAAAATCTAAGAATCAAACCAAAACCATATGATTGAAATTTAATTTTGCTATTTATGAGAGAATAATTGTACCTTGCAGAGTAAAAAAGACCTTATTAAATCTTGAAGAACAAAAATGATTAAAAGCGGTACAAAAATGATCAAAAGCCTACAAAATTATCAAAAACAGATATCATGGAGCATAGAGAGCCACTAGAAAAATCATCGGAGGAGGAGGACATCCTGAAGTGCAGTAATAAACGAAATAAGGATCGTGGAAATCAATTTTCCCATGATGTATCAATGGTTCTTAGGGAGGAACCCTGGATGAGGGACCAAGAGGAGCGTCAAACTTCATGGAAGGAAATGTTGTTACGTCATAATGGAGAGAAGGATAACTGGGAGGGTGATGCATGATACCTATGAAGAAGAAAACTTGCAGGGTGATCTGGCTGAAGAAGAAGACGTTAATTTTGGGGGCATAAAGATGTGGGAGGAAGAGGATGGGAGGACTCATTTTGGCTGCACGTTAAGAGGAAGAAGACGTTTGCATAAAGTGTGGGAGAAAGAATTAATTGTTAACTTGCTGGGCAGATCAATAGGTGTTTCTTTCATGAAGAAAAAGACTGAGGCTTTATGGGCTAGGAAGGGAAGAGTGAATGTCACTGATATTGGGAACGAGTTCTATGTGGTCCAGTTTAGTGATGATGAAGACATGGAATTTGCTCTTAATGAAGGCCCTTGGGTTGCCCTAGGTCACTATTTGTCTCTACGTAAATGGGAACCTGCTTTCAGGCCAAACGCTGAGGGCATCTCAAAAATAGCAGCTTGGATCTGTCTCCCTGATATTCCATTGGAGTTTTATTATAAGGATTTCTTTCGTATGGTGGGTAACTGGATACGAAAGCTGATAAAAATTGATAGCACTACAAACCTTCATGCCATGGGTCGCTTTGTAAGAATTTGTGTTGGACTGGATTTGGCTAAACCGTTGAAAGGAAAGTATGTTCTTGAGGGAATGTTGAAGCAAATTGAGTATGAAGGTCTAGGACTTATTTGTTTCAACTGGTGAAAGTATGGCCATACTAAAGATTCCTGCTCTGATTTAGTGCAGGGACAAATTGTGGCTAATGAAGCTCATCATAATGGAGATGGTGGAGAAGAAAAAATTGAAGAAAATCGTGACGGGCCTATGCCTTGGATGGTGGTTAGCAGACAACGTCGTCCTAGAAGCCAAGCTGCTGTTCAGGAAGGCAGAACTCCGACAACAGTGAGGAGAATCATACGTCGTGATTTCGGGGAGAATTCAGCGCAATCGAAGCAGTTATCAGTGCAATCATATCAGCCCATATTAAATGCGCCAACTACAAAAACGAGATATGATATTCTATCGAAAAATGAGGAAATGAATCAAGTTGAGTTGGAGGTGATTAATGAGGGACCCAATCATGTGTATAAATCAAGCGTTATAATTGACCAAATGACCGTGGGGGAGGGAGCAATCATCGCAAAAAGTAAAGAATTCATTAATAATAGTATACAAGGAATTAATCGTAGAGATCTTTCGAGTCAACCTAGGATTGCATTGGAGGAACATGCAGATAGATTCATACATATTAGGGGACCCTCAGATGATAGGTTAGTTACTAAAAGCAACCTTATGCCATCAAAGAAAGAAGAAATTCCCAAGAAGATAGGGTAACGTCAGCAAGTTGTTGCTAAAACTCAGAACCAGCTTTTGAAAACACCAACGTTGATTGGAGAGAGATAAGTTCATATGCATCCCGACCAAAACACAGAAATGGAAGTAGATCAAAATCTGGGAGACCACAGTGGAGGTGCAAATGGTTTAAAAAAATCCTAAAGCTCCATATCCTAATAGAGCTTTGGTCATTAACCAATCGGAGTCCTATAATATTATGCATCATATGGAGGTTGATAAAGTAGTTATTGATGAAGACAGTTTTGAGGAAGATAAGAGATCAGCAGGGAACCTAAACCTGCAACCTGTATGGTGAATTAATGTCTTTGATTGCTTGGAACTGCCGAGGTGCAGCAAAAAAAAGGTTTATAGAAGCCTTGACTAGTATGATACAGAAACACAGAGTAGATTTGACTACTATTTTTGAACCTCAAATAAGTGGTATGAAGGCTAAGAAGATTATAAGAAGGATAGGGTATAGTGGTTGTATTGTTGAAGAAGCTCAAGGTTTCATGGGAGGGATTCAGGTATTGTGGAGCATGGAGAATTGTCAAGTTACGATTTTGGAAAAAACCATGCAAATGATTCATTTGAAGGTATGTTTCTCAGATAAGGTTGCTTTCATCTGCACCTTTATTTACGCTAATTCTAGAGAAGAGGTTAGATGTAGCGTTTGGCAGGATCCTCGTCGGATTGC